CACTGAGATCCATCACGTGAAATAAACTGGGGTACCGAATCTTCAAGTGATCCCAGGAGTCGATATTCGTGAGGTGGAGGCAGCTGTGAGAAGGAGGTTGGGGGGGTTAGTTATCACTTAACCTCACTTAATGTTAAAGTTGAATCTTATTAAGTCTAGATCTTTCGTGTGTGTTCTGAGTGTCATAGCCGCGTCAAGCTCAACCCTTAAAACTGTATTTACTCTCTCTCTCTCTCTCTCTCTCTCTCTCTCTCTCTCTCTCTCTCTCTCTCTCTCTCTCTCTCTCTCTCTATCTCTTTATCGTCATTTTCACACCTTTATTGTCCAAGAGATGCGGTGATGAGAGAGAATATGAGGGTGAGAATATGAGAAAGAGAGAAGGAGGATTGTGTAAAGAGGGAATGAGGGAGGGAGAGGAGATGAGTGAGGTAATGAGAGATGTGAAGAAAGGAAGAGAAGAAGTGATGGGGACGAAGGGAAGAGGAGGTAACTCAGAGAAAAAGGAGGGAATGGATGGAAGGAGGGTGAACGATATGAGAGAAATGAGACCAGAAAGGGAGGGAGTAAAGGGAAAAAGAAAAGATGAAAGAGAAAGACAGGAGGACAGATAAGGGATGGAGAAAAAGTAAGAAAGTGAGTTAAGGTCTTATTAAACTATCGTGATGATGTTGTTGAAGGTGGTAGCGCTCAGCTTGAAATTAATGATGTCTTTAGTCCGTAAAATATAATAACACAAGAAGAATAGAAAGAGCTTTGGTGGCAGTGACAATGGAGCGCAGAGAGAGAATTGGCCCCCCCTGCTCCTCCTCTCCCTCCTCCTCTCTCTCTCTCTCTCCCTCCCTCCCTCCCTCCCTCCTCCCTCCCTCCTCCCCTCCCTCCCTCCCCTCCCTCTTCACCTCCCTCCTCCTCCCTCCCTCCCTCCCTCCTTCCCTCCCTTCTTCCCTCAATTACCTGGCATTAGAACGTCAAATTACACTAATTATCGGGTGAGTTGAACACACTCCCCTCAGGCTCTTTTAATTCTGATATTTACGTAATTTTAATCCTTATCTATCAATCACGAATTCATTTGTTCATTATGCCCTTCCCAGTGTCATTAATCCATTGTAAAACGTTATATGTGGTTAGATTAGGTTAGGTTAATACTCAAATTCATTTAATAAACAAAACTGGCAGATGAAGCGCTTATTCTTATGTGTAAATAACATATGTGTAAGAGAAAACTGGCCAGGTGTAAGGGAGACTCAACTATTAAGTCGATTTAGTTTGAGATTAATTTAGGTTAATCTAGTTTTGGTGAAGTCGAGTTAAAAATCAATGTAGTTTTAGTTAGGTTAATTTGGATTGGATTAGGATAATTTAGTTTTAATTATGTTTATGTAGTTGAGGTTGTTAATATAGTTTAGTTTAGGAAAGGTTAATTTAATTTAGACTCGGTTAATTTAGGTTAGTTATGGTGTGTTAGAGTAGGTGAGTTAAGGTTTTGTTAGGTTAGTCCATGATAGGTTAGGTTAGCTTAGGACAAATATAGCAAGGGACGAGTCTGGCCAGTAATTACAAATTTTCACTGAGGCAACACCTGCTCTCTCTCTCTCTCTCTCTCTCTCTCTCTCTCTCTCTCTCTCTCTCTCTCATGTTATTATTATTTGCCAACATTGTCAAGGTAAAATGTAATCTAAATAGTTATATATCCGTCTATCTGCAGTCTGTCTAATTTTCTTTGTATGTATCTATCTACAGTATATCTATCTATCTATCTATCTATTAATCAAGGTGACTCCAGCAAATTCAGGTGCAGGTCAAGAGGGTAATAGCAGTGAGACGATTAAGTGTGTGTGGGAGGGGGGTAACACATGGCCCACAGTATATTACTAACTAGGCTATGCACTTAATTCGTTGTTGAAGCTCAATAATAATATAACAACAGTATCTCTCGTCACTAATGATAGAAAATACTTAGAGAAATCGATCAATTAAACTTCAGATTTTTTTTTAAACAGTTTGCTTAGTAAGAGGAATACATTTTTAGTCCAATAGTGTATTTTTTTTTTCATTCATAGCAACGATCATCTCCTAACAATAGTACAATACGGTATTCCTTTAATACCAGAAATTATATTATTTTATTCTTGTTTTATTAGGGTGCAATAAGATGTTTATTAATGTATATTTTAATTAAGAATCCTGAGGTAACGCGTAACTATATAATCAGTATGTATATAGAAATTCTTTACACAACGCTTCCCGATTGATTAGTCTTAACTGAGGCTTCCTTATAATTATACCTGTACATTGATAATAAATCAATAAGTGTTGTTAGTGAGGTGAAATTCATAACCATGTAAATTCTAAAAGATAGACGTATCTGAATAACAAGTGAAGATAAATTCTCACGTTGATAAAATAATATTGACTTCAAGTCTGTACCTTATCTACCTATGTAGAGGATATGAACTTATGAATGTGAGTTAACAGTGAGTATTGAAGTACACTTATTATCATGTATTGTAGAGGATAATAAAATATATAATTATTAGCAAGGATGTTATATATGGACACAGAGTGGCGGTGTAGGGAGCGTGGCGTGACAGTGACTGTTGGTGTGTGAGTCTTGGAGCTGCTCGGCCCGCCGCCAGGGGGATTACCTCCCTCGCCTGATGCGCGATAATTACAAACAACACAATTTCTTTGATTTCCGAAGTAATTAACTTTTGTATTCACATAATAACTTTGTTACGTGAAGAAAAAACGATAAGAGCTGTTTATCATTAAAAATGGACGCTGGGAATTATCTAGGAATAAGGAACATGATGTATATAACTTCGACAACATAGTCAAGCAGAACAAAAGGATATAAAAATGTGGCGACGGAATTAAAAAGTTGATTAAAAGATCATTTTCATATGTTGCTCGGAGACGAGCGGGAAGAAGAATTCTCCTGAGCCAAGATGTTTTTTTTATTCTAAAACAGAAAAACAACTCTGACTTAATTAAAAATTTTGAAATTAAACTGGCAGGTGATAATCAGTAATGTCAGATCCCCTTCGCAAGGAATAATTTTCACTGATTTTTTATTTTTTTTTGGATAGTCTACCTACAGAAGTCCTGGCTGAGGGTAGCGTAGCGAGGAGCCAGTAACATGGGTGACTGATACAGATATTTGTGTACCGTAGAGGATGAAAAAATAATTCATTATAATAATTTTTAGCTAAGAGGAACAATGGAACGGAGTATTGGTAATGACCAGCGTCTGAAACACACACACACACACATCCCTCAACAGCTAGTGAGGCTTTACATCCACTTGGCATGGTGCAAATGTACACTTATTCCACCATCTATACGAGCCCTAAGCCCCTAACGGTGTACCCTGGCCCCTACTGTGTGCACAAAGCTAGAATCCATTCCTCCAATCCGGTCCAGACACTGCAGTACCGGATAATCTACCTATTGATATTTAGGATTACCTGAAGATTAGGCACCCCAGTTTATTTTACGCAATGAATAAACACTTTAACATTAACCTAACCTAACCTTACCTAACTCCACAGGCAGTGTTAGGGTGTTTAATCATCAGATGAAATAAGCTGGGGGGATAATCGTCAGGTGATATTTACTGGTGACCAAGACCTGAATCATTCGTGTCTTCCCAGGGCTGCCTCATTAACTGTGGCTACACCCAACTGAGGGGGCAGTCTCTCTACCTACTGTACACTGACGTCGATGTGCGAGCTGGGTCACATTTTGGGTCAGGTAGGGGATGACCTCTTCTCAAAGTCAATATAAGAGTATCGTAAACACACCGATAGCATACAATCGTTCGTAAACCAACACCAACACCTCTGGGTCGTGTAGAAGGTGAACAAAACTCATCTGGTTGTGAACTTTGTGTCGCCATCTTTAATTTGTTACCTAACTTGGTGTATTTATCATCAAACTTTTAATGACCTTATCAATAAATGGGTCGTGGCTGATGACGTCACAAACACCTGCTGAAGGGAACCAACATTTCTTCTATTAAACACCACTCGCAACTCACTACTCACTACTCACTAGTCTCCACTCGCTACTCACCACTCACTACTCACCACTCACTACTCACCACTCACCACTCGCTACTCACCACTCACTACTCACCACTCACTACTCACCACTCACTACTCATCACTCACTACTCACCACTCACTACTAACTACTCACCACTGACTCACTACTCACCACTCACTACTCACCACACCACTCACCACTCACCACTCACTACAAACTACTCACCACTTACTCACTACTCACCACTCACTACTAACTACTCACCACTTACTCACTAGTCACCACTCGCTATTCACCACTCACCACTCATCAATTACCATTCACTAGTCACTACTCACCACTCACTAATCACTACTCACTAGTCACTATTCACCTATCACCACTCGCTACTCGCCACTCACTACTCACCACTCGTCACCACTAATCAACTTACTGGCCGTTCAAGGGGTTGGTCTATCCAGCGTAAATTCAGGAGGAAACTGTAGACCTGGCCGAGGCTCGAACGGCCGACACATGAGTGAGAGATACTCGCGTTACCACATTATGCAGTATTGGATAAATGTGGCGAGTGAATGTGGGAGCAAGTCAGTCAGTATCTTTTCATATTTAGAACTGTTGGCTCGGATAAATTGCGATAACTGATGAACGCCATTAATGTTAATTATCTGACGCGACGCCAGGTGTCTCAGGTGAAAGATTAACCCCGCTACAGTAACTCTCTTTTATTTCTATTCTCAGTAGAAGTCCGTCCGGCAGTGACACATTATTCAAACCAAAATAATTCGGATAATTCATTTAATTCAAATTACAAAACTGAATTATGTTGGTGTATTACCGTCATATGTCGTCAATTACAAAATACAAGATGTAAATTTCCATACACACACACACACTTGTATACTGTACATGTGTGGGGCTCTGCCGCACTCTGACCAGTCTATAGTTAACGCAGCTCACAGCCGGTAACATCTCTCTCAGTGAACGACATTGTACATCAAGATTTTCACAGAATAATACTGCAGTAATCGTCACATAGACCGCAATGGTTTTACTTGTACATATATACAGTAAAAATATAAAACAACAACAACAACAACAACAAAATTAATACATCTACAGTAGCCTACAGTCGTGTTTACATCACTGATCCCTCACACTCCCGTAGACACCATCGCTAGAATAGTACTGTAGAGAAAAGCAAGTATATTTATCAAACACATACATACATACATACATACTCAGAATACGTATCATGCGAGTGACACTTAAAAACGGTGTGAAATATGTCATCTTTTTCAGCGGAGTCTCCCTCCTCCTCACACACCTGTTGGTGAGTTAATCTATGTATATCACGCCATACATTACCTGTATATCACGCCATACATTACCTGTATATCACGCCATTCACCACCTGTATATCACGTAGAGTGAGGATGTAAACGGCACAGGAGGTTACTGACGGTACAGTGAGGATGTTGACGGTACAGTGAGGATGTTGACGGTACAGTGAGGATGTTGACGGTACAGTGAGGATGTTGACGGTAGTGAGGATGTTGACGGTACAGTGAGGATGTTGACGGTACAGTGAGGATGTTGACGGTAGTGAGGATGTTGACGGTACAGTGAGGATGTTGACGGTACAGTGAGGATGTTGACGGTAGTGGGGATGTTGACGGTACAGTGAGGATGTTGACGGTACAGTGAGGATGTTGACGGTAGTGAGGATGTTGACGGTACAGTGAGGATACGACGAACACAGTGAGGATATTGATGACAGTGCGGGTTGCTTTTCCTCATTCAACAAGACTACTGTATGTGAGGACAAACAGAGGAATCTTAGCTCATGTGATGTCGTGTGTCATGTGATGTATGAGTCGTGTGTCATGTATGAGTCATGTCATGTGATGTATGAAGTCGTCAATGACATCATGATGTAAGTCGTGCGTCATGCTGTGATGTAATGAGGTCGTGCGTCATGTGATGTATGAGGTCGTGTGTCATGTGATGTATGAGGTCGTGTGTCATGTGATGTATGAGGTCGTGTGTCATGTGATGTATGAGGTCGTGTGTCATGTGATGTATGAGGTCGTGTGTCATGTGATGTATATATTATACTCTATGTACTCAAGTCGAGGTTATATATGTGTAATTAACCTTTCAAAATATAATGGTAATGAGACACTTTATGAGTAATTTATGTTAGGTTCCTGGCTATGGTGTGCCCGCGACCCCCCATAGAATGTTGGTTGTATCCGACGTAGCGGTCACCTCTTAGGAGACTTACGGGATATGTCTTTTTACCAGTCTCTTTATCACAACAGGTAATTGTATGTGGAATTAAGAAGCATATGTTTCCCACATTTTGGTGGCTGATGAAGCAAGTGGTGCTGTGTTTTAGGTTTAATTTTGTTCACTTCTGCCACTAGCTGTTTGAGCGGTTGGTCTGTTCTTAGTTACTTTTTTACTGCCTCTATTGTCTAGTGTTTGTACAGGAGGAAACCAGAGTACCTGGAAAATACCCGCTATGTTTGGTAGTGTCACAATGGATAGCGCCATTATAACATCTGTTCCAGGCCGGTGAATCAACCCTGCAGGACACAGCACTAGAGGCAGTCAAGCGTGTTATCGTTGTTATTATTTTGTTCTAACAAATATTCTTTGTGGGTGTTGTTAGAAATGTCTTTACAATGAAAAACTTAGTCATCATTTGTACAAATACTTCAAAAAGTATCTTTACAGACGGATCCAGTGAATTTCAAAGTGAACACTATGACTCCCGTCTCGTTAGGGCTGTCAAAATCTTTTCCCAGTTGTGTCACATTGTCTAACATAAAATTGTAAAGATACTTTTGGGAGTGTTTGTACATGGACTATACAGCCCCTCATCTGCAAAGTTAGGTATTCCTTTACAACTGGGTGGACTGGTGGTACCCTGCATGGACGCGAACCAGCGTACCTTAGGGCAGAAGGCGAGTGTTGTATCCACTCGATCACCACACCCTGAAGTAGAATAGATAGATAGATAGATAGATAGATAGATAGATAGATAGATTTTCAGTAAAATCGTCGTACGAGTTTACTTTAATTCAGTATGTATATAAAAAATGCAAGCATATAACGTACAGTTGTGGACCAAATTCCCTGAACACTTTGTAATATCTGACATTAACTTCTGGGTCATATATATGATTGGTTTATATCTTAATAACGCTGCTCATCATTATGTTGGAGCCACAAAATGGAGAAATAATCAACAACTCTGTAATACAAAGAAAAATCTGAGAAGATGCATTAAAACTTCAACCCCCTTCACCTTAAGTTTCTCAGTACTTACATGGCTGATATTGCCAAGTGTCCAAGGTATTTTGTCTGTATCTGTACATGGACGGTGGAGGCATACCAATGATATACACACAGACATTACGGGTATATAAGCAATGGTAAACAATATGTCGATTCAACTAAGAATAACCAAAACGCCACCATATACTGTACGTCCAGGCTACTGAGTGGTCCTTATAGCTGTGGATGGAGGACTAACCCGTAACCTTTAATCTACAAAATTAAACATGGGAATTTCCGGTTATTTAATTAATAATATCAATAATTTCCAATGTATCTTCAGTATATACTCCCTTAAGATAAATAAAGTATATCTTGCTCTAAATAACAATATCATGATACAGCTCATCTGTTTCAGAACAACGTTGATCATGATAAGAACAAGATCAAGCAGATGCAGAGCGCACTGAGAAATGTTGGCAAAGTTTGGTATCAAAGTAATAAACACGATTTCGTCCTCCCACATAAGAACCAAGAAAACGTTCACATTCAAGTGATACCAAAAAATATGTCTGAGGAAATGGTACCACAGGAGATATATGAGGTCGAAAATGATTTAGAACCTGATCCTGAAGTCTTTACAGCCATCGCCATCACCAAAAAGAATGCAAGTGAAGAAATATCCCAGGAAGATCCAAGAAAAGATCAAGATGACTCGAATATTGATGCAAATACAAAATTCTTCTTGGAAAGAGAGCAGGTTTGATTGATATTTTATTCCCATTATATACATGTATAAGGCTGTAAACATGATTATCAAATGAGAAGTTAGATTCCATGGCTAATATGTAGATAAATTTATCAGTAAGTAAATATAACAGTGAATCTAATCACCAAATCGTATGTTGTGTCACAGGTTTACAGGAGAAGGTGGGCGCGGATCAAGGGTGTGTGTAACCTGCTGAGAGGCGCGGGTTCATATGGCTCTCTATCCGCCACACCACTCCACAGACTCCGCTGGCTTAACTCACACAAGCTGATCATGTGCTTCAACGCCAAGGTAAGTTGGTCTTGCAATGTAGCAATGCATTTTTGTTCCCTAAATTGTAGGCATCGTGGGTTGTGGTGACACTTATAATTAGGGAGAACAACTAGTAAGCACGAGGTAATGCACACTCTGGGAGGTGAGGAGACACGAGTTTTGTTGACGAGTGTACGTACTTTTGTTTTCCCTCAGCAGTCACAGTATTTCAGGCACCTTTAACTGAGTGAGTTCATTAGGAAGATGTCATCACGCCTTCGTGCTTTCTTTTTCTGTAATTGGTTATCTAGAAGCTCTCTTTAGATACGAATTTACGAAATGATGATGAAGGTCAATTTGACATCTTTGATATAGTCTGTCATGATGAAATACGTTCCCTCATTCTCACTCAGAGGAAGTGGCATAAAAATCCTTGGGAATCTTGTCCGACTTTTTTAAAGAGAACGTTAAAAAAATAATCTCACAAATACTCTCTTAACTTGTCTTTACTATGACGATAAAATATTACATCAGCTTTCGGTAAACTTTCATTACAGTTTCGATGATATTTAGGCGAAAATTTTGATGTAATATAAGAAACATATATGAAGTCTCACGTCCCCTGTTAGAAGGAAAATTTGGTAGGTCAGTCATGTGTTCGATTCATTCATTCAGGTGTTTGTGCCGCAGGTGGGGACGTCGACGTGGTTACAGTACCTGATGGAGGCGGGTTATCCTGGGGTCCTCCGTAACTCCTCCAACTGGCACCACACTGCCGAGATTTACCTCAAGCCCTCACAGAAGCGCCTCAGGTCCTTCTCTTTTTATCAGCTTATTTCTTTTCATAATTGATGTTCTTATATTTTTTTTAAGCGTTTACTCCTTTAGTGTTTGTCCTTATGTTTAATATTGCAATGGTGCCTTTATCCAAGCTAATGTTCTCTCATGGGTTTATTTTATTTATCTCTTCTATTGACATTATGTTTTATTAACAGTCTTCACCTTAATTACTGTATGTACTGTACCTGTATATAACATTTTGCGAGGTAACCTTAAGAATGTGTTTCCTTGGCTATGGAATCCTCAGCCGATGAATCAACCCAAGACGTACACAATGGACCTTCTTTCCTCAGCAAGATCACTCTGGCCTTGATGAATCGGTACAGCAAGGTGATGATCGTCCGACACCCCTTTGCTCGTATCGTCTCCGCCTACATCGACAAGATCGCCTCCAGTCCCTTCTCAAAGTACGTGAGCGATTTTCTGCTTGTACCATAACAAAGCTCCACTTTAGGGAAAATGCGAACAAACATTTGCCTGGAGTTGCTTCTGTAAATGGGTCACTGAAGAGTAGGGAACTCCGAGAAATGTTTCTTACATATGCGGACTCTGTACATGTGTTTTTGTTCTGGTACAATATTCTGGTACAATAGAAAAGTGCAATTGCAACATGCAACACTGTCTAGCGTTCGTCTTCAGGTAATGTACCTCCATATTTGTACCACCGAGGAGTGGAGAACACACATTGAACTGATCACGATAGCGTTGACTTTACGATACGATGGATTGGGACTTTATGAACTTCATGTATAATTAAAGGTCTTGGACTTCTTTTTGTTAATCGTCAATGGACAAAAGATTGTTTCAAAAGAGGTGTTTGAAGAAAGAAGTGATAATTGGTAGTTTCTGGTAAGTAATCAGGCACTGAAAATGGTTAAGTTGTAGAGATCTTGTGAAGACGAGGATGATGTAGAGGAGTTGGCAAGGTGTGAAGGCACGACGATAATCCTTTAAGTTGTACTTCTTCCCTCACTCCGAAACACACCTTACTTTCTTAAGAGTTAACTTAAGTGTTACAAGTAAGGCCATACAGTTAGGAGAGCAATCTTGAGGAAGTGCTGAGCGGTTGACCTTAGTAAACTCATGGCGCAGCTCTCGGTATAGTAGGGGTGAGGGGAACGTAGCCACCCCTCGTAATCCAAAATTCTTAAAACTATGTACGTAATTTTTCCCCTTTCCTAAAAATATGAGAATGTATTAGATGCTTCTGTAATCTACAACTCACCAATGGCTCAAATTGCACTGAGACTGTTCTGTAACTGCGTCTCTCCCTCATTTCTGAGTCAAGAAAAAATATCGTTACAATCACTGCCTCACTCCTCCCACAGGTTGTCTCGTTATATCATCAAGAGGTACAGCCACCAGGAATCCGGGCAAACTTTCAGAGCACCGAGCTTTGAGGAATTTGTGCGCTACTTGGTGGATTCCACGCCGGTGGAAGACGATGTGCGAGTGAAGAAGAAACATCGCACCAACCGGCACTGGTTCCCTTACTACGCTAACTGCGCCCCCTGTGATATCCAGTACAACGTCATCGCCACCATGGACACTGTAAAAGAGGACACCAGGTAGTGAGAATCAGACAATTATCTAAATACATCAGTACGGTCAAGTAAAACTTAATATGAATTACAAGATAATTAATGCCCCCCCCCCAGCAACACTTTACCATGGATGGGTGATGCACTTCTCAGTAAATATTAGAGGTACCATCCACTACTTTATAAAATTGTGTATCAAAAATTACAATAACGAATTAATTTAGTTGCAATTATCACTTGCTTTAATTAATTGCCTTGGTTTTATTTAAGTCTTTTGAAAGTTTAGGGAAATTCACATAGAAACGTCAACTGGGCGAGCGATGAACTACACTATGTTAGCGGCAGCCACAGGTGACGTAAAACAACCTTAATCTAACGGGTGTAGGTCACTTGTAGGTCACTTCATGGTTGCAGTTCATATTATTTTAGGGCCTCATCCTATCACTTAACACAACGGACTCCATTTGTTGATATATTTCAAAACTTTTCTCAGCATCAACTCGCTAAGCAAACCTGAAAGGCTTCTACTGACACAGTGTCCATTATCGCCTGCATCAGTACATGAGGTGTTTTATGAATTATGTGAGTTTAGCTCAAGATACAAATTAAACTGGTGTTGTGGTACAGATACAACATTAACTAGTGTTGTGGTACAGATACAACATTAACTAGTGTTGTGGTACAGATACAACATTAACTTGTGTTGTGGTACAGATACAACATTAACTAGTGTTGTGATACAGACACAACATTAACTAGTGTTGTGGTACAGATACAACATTAACTAGTGTTGTGGTACAGATACAACATTAACTAGTGTTGTGGTACAGATACAACATTAACTAGTGTTGTGATACAGATACGTAATACAAAAACACAAGTTGGGTGTGACTAACCTGACCTGGAAGAACCACCGCGCCCCCACCTCCTCCGAGCAGCTTGCCCTCGATCTCTTCAAGGTAATGACTCCACCCATGTACACTCCATTCATGTACACCCCACCCATGTACACTCCACCCATGTACACTCCACCCATGTACACTCCACCCATGTACATTCCACCCATGTACACTCCCCCACCCACCATGTACCTCCCACCCATGCCTACACCCACCTCCCACCCCTTCACCCATCCACTCCCCCACCACCTCCCTCCCTCACCCACCACTCCCTCCCCCACCTCCCTCACCCCCACTTCCTCACCCCCATCTCCCTCACCACTCCCTCCCCACCCACCCTCCCCTCCCACCCATCTCCCTCCCTCACCCATCTCCTCCCTCCACCCACCTACCTCCCTCACCCCCTACCTCCCTCACCCATCTCCCTCCCTCACCCATCTCCCCTCCTCACCCACCCCTCCCTCCACCCACCCCACCCCACTCCCTCACCCTCTCACCCCTCACCACTCCGCTCCCCTCCCACCCTCCCCCACCCATCTCCACCCCCTCACCCCCTCCCCACCCCCTACCTCCCTCACCCACCCCTACACTCCCTCACCCTCTCCCACTCCCTACCCCATCTCCACTCCCCTCCACCCACCTACCTCCCTCCACCCCCCCACCCTCACCCACTCCCTCACCCTCCCCCTCACCCATCTCCGCTCCCTCACCCACCTACACTCCCCCATCTCACCCCCCCCATCTCCTCCCTCACCCACCCTACCCTCACCCATCTCACCCCTCACCCATCTACCTCCCTCACCCCTCCACTCCCTCACCCACCTACCTCCCTCACCCATCTCCCTCCCTCCCCACATCTCCTCCCTCACCCACCTACCCCTCCCTCACCCATCTCCCTCCCTCACCCACCTACCTCCCTCACCCATCTACCTCCCTCACCATCTCCACTCCCTCCCCACCCATCTACCTCCCTCCCCACCCATCTACACTCCCTCCTCCCCCTACCATCTCCCCCCTCCTCCCCTCACCCATCTCCCTCCCCTCACCCACCTACCACTCCCTCACCCATCCACTCCCCTCATCCATCTACCTCCCTCACCCATCTACCTCCCTCACCCATCCCTCCCTCACCCACCTACACTCTCCCCATCTCCCTCCCCTCACCCATCTCCACTCCCTCACCCACCTACACTCCCACCACCTCCCCTCACCCATCTACACTCCCCACCCACTCCCTCACCCATCTCCACCCTCACCCATCTCCACCCTCACCCACCTACCCCCCTCACCCATCTACCTCCCTCACCCATCACCTCCCTCACCCACCTCCACTCCCTCACCCATCTACACTCCCTCACCCATCTACCTCCCTCACCCACCTCCACTCCCTCACCCACCTCCACTCCCTCACCCATCTACACTCACTCACCCATCTACTCCCTCACCCATCTCCTCCCTCACCCATCTCCACTCCCTCACCCATCTCCACTCCCTCACCCATCTCCACTCCCTCTCTGACATTGACAGTACAAACGTGTTACCTCCCCAATACAATTCTATCCACTACTATAATTATAAGAAGGAACATGGGAGAATTTTTCTTGTAATTTTTAATTTATCGTTTATCTTATTTTTTAGTAAACGCATTATAAACGTTTTCCGAGTTAAATTTGTTATATTTATGAACAAAGAATTATGATGATGAAATGTGTTTTATGATCTCATCTGTCGGATAAAGCTGACTTTTGTACAGTACATGTTGTGTGGGGAAAATGGGAAGGTTTACGTCAGGTTTAGCGCTGCTGTTGCCTTTTGATATTATAGTTACTGTACTGATATTTTTCTTCTCGCCACAGAAGCTGCCGACCAACCTGACGCTGGCACTCCACCAGAGATATCGCATTGACTTCCTTATGTTTGGTTATGATGTCACCTCCTATCTTTCCTCTCCTAACTGACAATCATGACTTCATCTCACACTCACTCACAAGAATCACTTCCACATGAGACATAACCACACCTCCAGCAGGAAGTCACTGGTGTATGCACTCATTCTTACTCAAGTATTATTACTTCATGACCTTAACATCAGAAATACTGTTTTCATTAGTCACTCAGATCAACAAGATCTGGGTAAGCTGTGTTTCAGTGTGAGCCGTGAAGGTCTTATGATGAGGTAGGGAGAATGAACACAACCGGAGCAAAAAACATATTGTTCTGCCAAGGCAAAATTTATTATTATAATTTTTGTGAACTAGGCATTTTGTTTATTTTCTATTCCAAGCATCAGTCATTTTGGTAAGTTTTATGAGATTTTCTTGTATATATTTATGTATTAACTTTGTAAGAATTTTCTAGAATGTATTGCATCATTTTTGGTATAATTTACTTAGTATTGTAAGCCTCGATCAGAGTATAGCGTCCTAGAACTTTTCAGGCGTGTCTCGTTCTGACCTATGACGCCTGGATGTTGCAAGCAAAGTCTAATTAAACCAAGTCAACCTAAGCGCAGGAGGCGGAGCTAATTATGTGATGTCATTGGCTCTTAGTGGAAGAAAATGGTAGTAAGGGAGGACTTGTATATTATCATGGGTGAGACTACCTACGGTATTAGAAAATATTCTTGCCATATTTCCTGATTTTCTCATCCCCTAGCACACTATCTTTCAGTTAGCCATTTGAACTTCTCATGTTATTATTAAAAATTTATTATAATTATCAATAAAACTCTTCTTCCTCTCTTTATTACTGTATTATTTCTACTCTCATGATTTCGCTGCCAGTATCAGTGTAAAATCAATTAAGTAATCATAGGCATGTGGGCTAGCTATTTTACCTGGGGAAGAACAGAAAATACAATAATTAAATAAAATAGCTAAAAATAATAACAATTGTTAATGATTATAATTATCACCATCCTCTCTCTCTCCAAGCTGTTACAGTAAATCAGTGAGTACAAGAATATATGTGTAGAGGTTTTCAGTTTACCAATATGGCCACTAGGTATATTACAGATGACAAGGCTATATAACAGTTTCAAGCAACAAATAGGTACTTGTCTCTACACATCCAGTTCTCCTGGCTGAACGTTAGACTTTTAGGAATTTAAATTTAAACCTGCCAATGGCTCTCAAATATTGCCCTTCCTCCTGTTGCACCCTAAGTATTTACTGCATGCACAATAAAATCCACTTTTTTCTCTGTTTTCATCCTTTGGAAATCAATGAAAATATCAAACTTTTATCATGTAATCTGTAATTTGATGTGCATACAGGTACAGTGCATTTATCAGACATTGTCATGGACCTTCACATCATGACGGTCAACTGTTAACTGAGGTCCCACCCCAGGCCACCTCACCTCCTCCCTCGGGCCGCCGACCAGATGACGTCATGCACAGCGAAGGACGAATTTTCGACTCGAAGTGGGTTGACTTGGTATAATTAGACTTTGGGTTCTAGGATTCTCTAGGCGGCTGATGAGAGGTGTAAATGGCTCAGCAAGGCGTCTGGGAAGTAGTGGGTTTATTTCTTGGAAGGGTTCTGTAAGGCACTACTGGGGTTGTTTGGTTTATGGCGCTGTGTAGCTTATCTAGTTCTTCGTCGAATTCTCAAGTGTTGCTTGTTTTACATTCACTACTGGATAGTTTTCCAGTAATTCCTTGTATTTTATCCAATCTGTTTTGCTCATCTGGAGATCTTGGTGGTATTTTTATTCATATTGGGCTGATTAAGATTGTGAATATTATCTGGATATATGATCAGTTGGGGTAATGGGGCCTTTCTCTATGCGGTAGTTTAGGAATGTTTTGTTATTACAGAGGATTTTGTCGGGTGTTGAGACGCCGTTTGGTCCCATCCATGTGGTGAAGTACGGTCCCAGGTGTCTTCCGGTGTTTATTATTCTTTCTAGTGCCGTACCTATGTTGTTATTATTGTCATTGTTAAATATGCGATGTTTAGCATTAAAATCTCCCAGGATGTACATTGGGATATTGTTGTTTATTAGTTTAAGGAGTACTTCGATAGGGAGGAATGGTCTTCTTGGGGGTAGGTAAGTTGTTGCTATTACTATTTCGCCCTGAGTTGTCTGTAGCTTGATGGCAACAAATTCACTGGTAAAATCCCCTCCCCCCATTACCTCCAAAGTTCTTCCAACCCAAACCTCCTACCCTCCCAACCAACAACAAACAATAGCCCTTTATCCTTATCTACAGGTGTTATGTCAAGGCTGGAACTAATCGCCCGTAAGTACAAGCCAAGTGACAGCTAAAGATAACTGGTTTTCAGGTATTGTGGAATTGTTGTGAGCGATATAAGGTTAAAAGACTAAGGAATTGTACACTGGTAGTGTGCTGACTGTATATATTCGAAATGAGAAGTCCAGCGGTAAAGACAGACCCTGTGAACGGTGCTGTGAAGAGTTAGTGATTATTTAGTGTGTTTCTGTGACCTGGTGGAAATCTACCTGCCTGTTGTTTGTCTGTACACTGATACTGATCGTCGGGAAATTACGACACTTGTGATATATCTACTGCTTCTGTATATACGACCTGGCCGCTGGTAAGAGGCGAAAGTGATTCCTGACAATATTTAAGCTCATGCTAGTGACCGTGTTGGCTTAAGAACCTTGTTCAATTAGAGATACTTTTACGGTATCTCTGAAGGAGACTTTTTCTGATGTCTTAAAAACGGAATATTAAAATTTAATAATATTACAAGTAAGAGAATAAAAAAATAGTAATATGGAAATGTGGACAGTCAGCTTATAGCTGAGGTAAACATTGAAAATGTGAATCTGTTACAGCTAGTCTGTGCTCGAGACAAGGACCGACTCTTGGTGGTTCCCATTTCCAACTTATTATCTACATAAGAATGGAGGAAACTGCAAAAGGGCCTATTGGCCCATACTGGGCAGTCCCATTTACACCCAACTCCTATTGCTCATATATCCATCCAACCTATATATTAAGTAAGTAAGCAGCACCTCTTCCTATGCTGAGTTATGCCTCTTCTTATGCTCGAAATATGCTATGCAATTGGGGAATCAAGCCATGACCCTGAACTTTCATCTTTTGACAACGAACTGAAGTTCTCGCACCATTGTGACTTATAAGGTCTTATAAGAAGGTCGTTCAGATATCAGATAGTTCGTCGTAACGCTCTTGAAGAGTGAGAGGTGTTTCCCCGAGATATGTTAGAGACTCAGATTGTTGGAAATGTCGAAGAAGGGCCACCAGACTGGTGCCTTCACTACGATACCTCAAGTACCCAAAGAGATTAGAACGCCGCTCAGGTTCAGATACATAAAGGAGCTAGTGCATGCCCAGTCCTTGCCAACAGAGCGTAACTGAGACGTGACCGATCGCCTAAGCGGCTAACGAGCCGATCAGTGGTGAAGAGGATAAAGGTAAAAAAGTAAGTAAAAGTAAGCAGTTGATACACACGAAAATCATTTTAGCTATTTCATAAAATGACAAAGGTAGAATTTAGGTCATTTCACGCAATGTTTGGTGCAGGTAAACACTTATATACAGCATCCTTAACCACCCCAACAGAATGCTGTAGTAATTCCTGGTCCGGTAAAGTACATCGCCCTCGCCCCTTTGGCTCAAGGAATTATAGGGAGAGAAACATAAGAATTCGCATCTGTCAGCGTGGAACTTATTTCAAACGTTTATCAGTTTTAAAACCTAACCCATATAATCTTTCAATCATCTTCACCATGTAGTTAAATATACCCACACTGTGGAAGCTTCTGTTGTACTGTACTGAAAAAACTACGTTTCAAGACAAAACTCCAAATAAATTCTAGAAAACTCGACTTTAAATATAATAAAATGCACATGGTACAAAAATCGTCCATTGTACATTAAAGATCAAAGAGAAGAAGAATCAATTATATTTTTCTTAATTGCTCGACAATTATGTTTTATCAGCTTTTTTCCCCAAGTGAAAATTTTAGACATATAAAGTACAATAATTTGCTTCCATATTAGTTTTTTTAATAGGTACCAGATAATTTCTTGAGTTATTTGTATGAACGAAGGATAAGTAAAGATAAATAAGTCAGTGGTGTAGTGGACGCTGCCCATAGAGGAAGTGTATCCCCTCAATATTTATCCCTCAGTGGCTGTGTATAGAACGTGACGTATTGTTGATATTTACTTGACTGATACTAGTTTATGAACACCTACGTAATTCCAAAACAATGAAGAAATTGCAAATGTACAGTTTATTGTTGTAAGTATCAGTGGTTTTGATTTTATGCTTACCATGAATTTTCCCAAGATTGTGTGAGGGAAATTGTCTATGTTGTCTTTTATGGCATGGTAATTCATTATGATTTTCGTAGTTGATATTTTGCCGTGACTCGCTAAAGTCCTACTTATGCTATTTTACCGTGAGTGCGATTTGATTGGCTAAGCACTGTTTTATATAATACGGGGAGGGGGTCAGCTCCCTCCCACAGCTAGGAAGTTAGTCTGTTTCTTTGGTTGGTTAGGTCTGGTTCTAGTAAATGTCTCCTCTTTTGAGTTAATATATAGGGCTGCATAGCGTCGATGCGGCCATATCATCTCACGTCCAGAAATGCCTCAAATTTCACCATATCATCGTAAGTTCTTTCTGTTTTATGTACTCAGAGTATATTAAGAGTTAGCTAAGGTTAGGTAGGTTTGGTTGGTTGGGTCTGTTCTTCATAACCACAAATATTAAGAAGCGTTTATTTTAAAAATATAATTTTTTTTTAATATTTCCACAAACTACAACAGTGTCCACTATAATATAACAATGAAAATCCGGCGTTTTTATAATTGTTTTCAATCAATATCGCCTGTGGGTTAGTCCTATATAATTACCCTCTTTTATAAGGATAAGTTTCCATGCACAACAGATACATGCCGCCAGAGTCACGGTTAAATATAGTTCTCACATTGTTCTCCGATAAGGGGTGATTAGCCAATCAGAGTGCACTCATGGTAAAATAGCGTCAGTAGGAACTTACCGGTCACGGCGGCAAAATATCCACTGCCTATGATTTTAGGAAATGCTGGTTTCTTTGTAAAGGTACCTATAGTTTGGTCACCTTGTGTTAAAATGGAATATTTTGGGAATACCCCTGTAGTGTAGATCACAACAATTTTTTTTCCAAGCACTGCTGTCGCCCCAACTTTTACAAGTCCCATTTGGACGGCCATCTGTTTTATATGATATTTACCATCGCACTAAGATGATAAAGTTTGGTTGAATTGTATAAAAGAGAACATTGTCCTGATGGAAGCAACCAACTGGAATAGAATTCTGGTGCTTGCTCGGCTTGGTACAGTCATACAAACCTAATTGTGCATGCAATAGTGTTCTGAGAAAGTGGCAATCTTGCAGAGATGATCAGAGAAATGTCATAACATGGTTGAGGGTTAATATGTAGAAGTTGCCAACACCTTCTTATGTATTGAGTCGGTAAATATTGACTATTTTAGGATAAAATTACCCACAATATTAGTTGAAGTAGAGGAAAATGTGGGTAAATACTAAAAGACACCGAACAAACCTTTGAAAACATTACCTAACCTTTTCTAACTTGTAAAAATGTTAAGAATTGCTTTCGAGCTTATGGATCCCGCCTCATCTGAACACCGAACACAACACCAACACATACTAAAAACCGAAACGTGAATGAGGTAAACTTTTTATAGTCTTAGGCCTTTTAAGGTTAGGAAACGCTAAGTCTGTTTTTTCAAAAGTTTGTTTTGTGTTTTTAAATTTACCTCATATTTTCCCCCTACTTCAAAGCCCTGTCCACTTTGAAAAAAGAATATTGTTAATAATGTTATTGGTTAAAATACTTGAAAAATATAAATTTCCGACGGAAACAATATAGTATAAATTATTATTTTTTCTCGTACTCCATATACAGTATAAGACTCAATATGTAAGTAGGTGTTGGCAACTTCTAAATATTTAAAGGTTAAGTAATCTGCTACTTGTAGCCTTCACCCACTCAACATAAAGATTGGTAATAATTTAAACAGCCACTTTGGGGAAATTTTCCATTGAAGAAACTGTTTCTTACCACTGGGATATATCACAGATAGTCGGAGGAAATGTTTGAGAACGGCAGTACAGTGTAAGAAGGAGTTGTTTGATTTAATAAATTATTTCCACAGATGTTCTCATCATTATAGTAAGGGTATTGTTGTACAGTATTTTCAACCAATTATGTAGCCAGAGGTTTTTGACATAAAATATGAATAGATCTTGTCAAGAGCTATCTTCTGAATCCTACTTTACTTGTTGCAATCGAATAATAAGCTTGATATGGAGTGCTCTTACTTTGTTTACCTTAAAAATTTTTCTATGTCCATTGTTTATGTTACGTGCTTGTGTTCTCAGGGTCGCTCCTCATCCTTCAAGTGTTAAGGTATTCATTGTAGGTTAGGTTAAGTTGGTTTTTGAGTTGAGCACTGTGTTTTTCCGGTGGTTCTTGATCTGTTTTATTCTACTTTGATATTGATTTTTTTTGGAAATCACTTTTTTGGTTGTTGTAGGGATATCTCAAAAAATGAGTGGTTCTAACAAAAATCAATATCAAAATCGAATAAAGCACACCAAAGCCACCGGAAAAACACAGTGCTCAACTTCAGAGCATTACTGGTTGAAAATCAAATTTACTATATTAAATATTTTAAAAAACAGCATTTAATTGCCTAATAGAAGCTAGTGAAATTATTGTTTTGATGTTCACCTATTTTCTGATGGTCAGAATCGTTCAAATCTCAAAAAAACCACCCGGAAAACATAATTTAATCCTACCTAAACTTAAATTAGTTGCATGACCGAAACAATAATAATACCTAGAATCTGACCAAACCAACCAAAAACTACTATTATACCTAACTTCCTAGCCACGGGCTCTGTCCTCCTGGACCCCACCATATTAGTACATTTGGGTAACTGGTACCAATGAAAGCAACTTTGTTGAAGTGTCATGGTGTAATTTTTTTGTGGACGTGAGAGTTCGCTCCTACCAAGCTGGTCTATTCCTAAAACAGACAATGCAGTGACTTGTCAGAATTTTAGTAGGGGTATTCTGTAAATACAGTAATTAATTTCTTCACATACAAATCACTTAGAGACATAATTTTAGTGTCATATCAGTTTTTTACTGTTTTTTATCCAAAATTTCCCTCATCCTTCATGCCCTGCCCACTACAGGTGATTTATGATTGTAGATAGAGAAAAATTAAAAAGAAATACTGTACATAAATACTTATAATTCAAATAAAAAGTTGTTGCCTCGTTTTAAAATACTTACTTCAATGATAATTACATCTGTAGAAAAATGAACAAAATCAAACAACTCCTTCTGTTGGTAGTGGTGTTTTCAGAAATTACCTGGTGGGGAAATTATATACAGTAACTGTATAAATTTCTTCACTTTGGTTTTTCTTTGTTTTGTTGAAATGTGTCACTTGGAACATCAAGTGTAAATAAAACAATCACTTTGTGTACCAAACATATACTATGTATGTACAAATTAATGATCTTTTAATTGCTAAATGGCAACTGCCTGCCTGCAGCTTGTCTAAAAGTTAGAAGTGTAGAGTAGGTTTAGTATATTAACTGATGATGTTACAGTATATTGCTTGTATTATAGCTACAGTACTGTACTAGGAAAGTATAAATCAGTATATCTACACAGAACAGGTTTGATGTATTGAATACCAATCATAAAATCATCTTAAACTACATACCATACTTATAGCAATAAAAAGTGAGTTTTTGAACCAGTAGTATTCATGAATGCATTTATGAATACTTTCACAAAGTATTGGTACAGTATTTGCATTCAATTACTGAACTTTTGTACTGTATGCACTCCATCCCTTCTGTACAGCACTTGTGAATACTGTACTGTAGTGTTCTAAGCAGAAGGGTTCAGATTATTTAAATCCATATTAATTTGTGGTGATGATAGCTGTGCTGTTATGAAGTCTTTCCAAAGATCTTAATTTATACTTTTATTTTAGGATGTGTTGAAGAAACGTGAGTCATGGTAGGAGGAGGTGGTGGAGACAGAGACGATGGAGGGGCTGGAGGAAGGATTCACCGAGACTATCGAGGTGGGGGTGAGGCGAGGGGGAGTGGGCGCTACCGTCGAGGCTTGACCCATCACCGCCACATCATCCCGGAGACGAGGTATCCCAGAACAGGGGCATCTTGGAGATGATGAAGCCAAAGCTGACCCTGATAAAATGGATATTGTGAAGCATCTCCGCATAAAGGTGAGCCAATATTTTGCTCTCTGATATGTTTGTAGTAAACTATTTTTTCAGTGCCTTACCATTGCATTGTTCATTGTCTTTCTGTCCCCTGAGCTCCCTGTTAATGGAGTTTGTGTGTACCGTATGTAAATAAAAGAGATTTTGCATAATATCTAGTATTCATGTTTTTATGACTGCTATTTGAGTGAGAAATTACTTTATGGGTATCAATATATTTATCTGTACAGTATTCATAAATTTGCTTACAGTTTTCAATTGAATTTTGTGAAACTTGTTAGAAATGATCAACATAGATGGATGTGCCAGGAGGGTTCCATTCCAAGTATTTTTAGTAGAGTTATCGTTCCTTATTGTCTGGTAAGCCAAAGTTGATGGCTCTTAGCCATCTTCAGTTGCTCTTGTTATGTTACAGATGTAAGTCGAGGATTCAGTGAAGACTCCAGAATATCTAAACAGTTAAGGAGGCTCTCTCGAGAAGATGACTCAGAACGTTACCTTGCCCAGGTTCAGCAACTACAGGTCAGTTTTCTTTCTTCCTTTATTTTATGATTTTTACTTGTTTTTCTATATTCATTTTGAGCTTCATAATTCAGGAGAAAATCATACTTAAGAATGTGGTATTTCCTGCAGACAACATAGTACTGTACAGTAATACAGGCGACTAATAAAATGGACCATTACCTAACCTAATTATTAGGACTGGCACCCAGTCTAAGTGGCCTGATCCTAAATGACAACAATTTTAATGGGCCCAATTAGACTGATTTAGTTAGCTTAGGTTGGGAATAACTAGGATTGGGGCCCATCTAAACTAAAACCATAACATAATTTACATTTATTGGTAGTTCTCAATTTTTGTAAGTGTTCCATTCCAGAAAACCTTTTGTATATTGGATCCTGTTTTCCCATAATAAAGCTGAGATACATTTTGACAAAACTTTTGACAAAAGAAACTTCATCAAAAAGTCTCAATGTAATATAAAAAATTTTAAGGACAGTTGGTGTACATACTCATTATATGCCAATATTAAATGAAGTTAGTGAGTTCCATGTAGTACAGAAATAATTTTATATTTTTGAGATTTCTTAGTACTGTACTTGAAACTTAGTGTGATCGATTAACCACTGGTTGTGATGCATTGTGAGACTGAGAGGCAGCCAAGGCATATACAGTACCGTAATTATAATTTCATAGTGAAGTACCGACAGTAAGTCTACCGCACTGTACATATAGTACAGTATATCCATTTTGAGAAATTTTGCTTTCACTGGATTTGAATTTTTATGATATTTTATCTGAAGAAGAAATTTTAAACTTATCCAATTAATATTCAATTATTTCTGACATCAGATCACACTCTGAGATACTAAACACATCATCATTCCCACAGTCAAAACACCTTGTCATTGCTTCACCTGGAGATCCTGTAAGCCATGATAACTAAAACACCACTTGTATTTTATTTTTACCTTAGTTACCCACTCTTAATACAGTACCTTACTGTTTGTTGTTTTTACTGTAGTTTAATTGTCTTTATGAATTGACCAGGTCAGGTAATGGAATCCCTGAAATGCCTGTGTCAGCACCTCATCATCTTCCAGTACTGTGAAAAAATTGCAAGAAAGCAAATTTTTTTATTTAACATCTAATTCTTCTTTCATAAATTAAAACCATGGACAAAAATTTAATTTTTTCTTAACTTCAGATTTATGTAAACTGAATCATTATACATCAGAGACTGCCTGTACCAATGCTCAGAGATTTGTTCAGTTAATGAAAGTAACAAAGATTTTATGTAATAAATTCATCTTTTTACAGTACTGTACTGTACAAGGTCTGTACTGTACTGTGGTTCCTGACCAAGCCTTTTCGGTGAAACTCTCAGAATTCGTACCCCTCTAATTCGAAGTCACTCAGAATTCGTAAAGTTTTGCTGTTACAAAATATATACCAGTACAGTATTACAATTTGTGTAATATTTGGTAAAAATTTGAATTATGAGAAACATTTACGAATATGCAGTATAAGACACGTCGCCATGAGGTGCGACCACTGATCGCCCGCTGCCAAAATGTAAACAAAGTACTATACGAGTCATGTTTGTCGGTCACTGTCAGTTCACATTAGTTAGTCGTGGATTGTACATCTACAGTCTACCATGCAAGCTTTTTTCCACTTGTTTTTGCCCAGTATTTGAGCAATTATATTTGTTAAACTTGGAGTGAGTACCTAAATCTGGTAATGTACAGAGGTAATGCAGTATTTAGAAATGTTTACAATTTGCTTGGGGCAAATAATGGAAAAGTATCTTTCTTTTTTTCTCTCGGGAGAGTGTCTCATATTTCGTAAAAAAAAATCTCATAATACGTAAGCATTAGAGCCCCTATTATTTCGAATTATGGGGATTTTACTGTACCACATATTTAATTGGAATAATAATGTTGGGCAATTTTTTTTTTTATCCAGTTAATTTTTGCCTTGAAGCCAAATATGAGGGAATTATTTGGTACAGACTTCAGATATGATTGTACCCCTCGACTGATGGAGTGCACAAATTAAGCATTACTGTACCATACTTTACTAAAAATAAATATAAAACAGTGGGACCTTCCCTGCAGTACTGTACTGAGAGACATTAGTAACAAGACAATGGGACTTAACCTCTAGCTAAAATAATGTTCATGTAGATAATGAACTTTCTGTTTTTATTTTGCATTTATTTCTTTATATGTATTAATTCTGAGTACAGTATAGTATACCATAGACAGTATGATTTGTTGAATTATGTATACTGTTCTGTTAATTACTTGACAGGAATCAATAATGCTGAATGAGAATGTGAAATATGTCCGCCGAAATGCTGACCACTTATTGGACTCCTTATTTGAGAGTCTTCATGCCGCTCCTTCACCTCCATGCCGCTGGGAAATCACACGATGCATTGGTCGAGTTGGTCATGTGATGGAAGGAGACATAAAGAGGTTAGCAACTTATGTAGTGGCAAAATATTCAGATTCCACTTTGTACCCTAAACTGTATAGTTATAGTACATGTATATGAAAATTATTATTTGATGGTACTGTAATTTTATATAGCTTTTATCAATTTTACTTTGATGTACACTTTGGAGTATTCATTTAACATTTAAGTGTTTAAACTTCCAAGCTGTTGTCATTAACCAGACTTTATTTTTTTTTTATCCTTTTCAATACTTATCCTTCAGCACTGTGCACAGTTTCACCTTCTGCTGCTGCTGCATCTCAATTGAGATTCTTTGATGAAGAACTGAACAATGTAAATTTACTCGACAATTATGCTGAATAGATTGACCTAGTACACTGATATTTTGTTGGTGCTTTGTTCTTACTCTAGAAGACTTGTTTAACCCTAATCACCCATTGCTCCCGTATCTTCTTGAGCCACATCAACTTTGCTACCAGGATCACAAGATACACAGTACAGGCTTTACCCAGTGCCATTGTTTAGGGTGGCCCATTCGATTTTATTAAAAATAACTCAAGCTTCATTCAATTCTTCCTTTGATTTTCTGATCGTTCTTAGTTTCTATTTTGTTCCATGAACCATTTTTACAATATTTAGTACTTGTGCCTTTCATATTGTACTTTTGAATTATTATTATTATTATTATTATTAACTATTATTATTATATATTTTTGAGTATTGAACACTGAGAAGAGTAAGGAGAAATATATGTTAGTTCAAGAGCTATATGAAGGTTATTGGCATTAGGAAGTAAAATCCTTAGATCTTGATTGGACTGATAGATTATTTCGTAAGTGGAGTCTTTGAATAGCACGCACGAAAAAAAGTTTTATTTATATGACTAAAAAAAGCAAAGTGTTATTTACTGTATATACAGTATGTTCAATTTAATTAGTGCACTATATAAGAGTTACCATACTATATAGTACTGGTAAATTATATACTGTGTAGAGTTCTTGTGGAAGGAGCTTCAAAGTTAGTACTGTACCTATGATTAACAAGGGAAGAGTAGCAAGTGTGCATAGAGTATCTCTCCATGTTGTTTAAGCCCTATATTGTTTCTTCATCTTTCTTATCCCATCCCTTGTGGTCCACCCCGCACAAGATAAGTTAGAAGAGTAAAGATTATAAATAGACAAGGCAGATATTCAAAGTGTTGATATTGTCTTCTTATTTTTACTATGTTTTCTTTTCCATTTTCTGCCAGCATAGTAAATAAAGTACATTGTAAAAAATTATAAGAATAATAATCTGATAGTTTATTGGTTATTGGGAAAGAGTTTTTGCTTTTAATGAATAATTAATCATCCTTTTTTTGTTGTTGCATAGAAACATGGCAGAACAAGTCAAGATATTTGGATTTTTAGACAAATGGAATCTGCATTTTCAGGTATGTGGATGTAACTCTAGATCGATTGGAGACTTGGAGAGCAGCTGAGATGAAGGTGTTGGTCTTAAGATGTCTCTTAGAGATGCTGCGCTTGGACTCCGATGGATCGCAGCTGGATCAGGTAGGTAGCACTTTTGTGTAGATGTGTAGCCATGTTTATATCAGGCATGTTACTTGGTTCTTCTTATCTCTTTGTACGGTCTTAAAATTTTCAAACATAAATAGTTAATATATTTTTGTCCAGCTATTTAAAAACTGTATACACTGCATTGTTTCTCTCTGGTTTAAGTTCTGGTGCTATAATGTTTTATTGTAATTCGCTGTTTACCCTGGGTAGAAAATCTTGCATTTATTAATGGTTGGACTCTCAAACAGTATTCATATACAATATACCGTCAGTAATCCGGACGTTCATAGGACTTATATTAACACTTTTGCACACCATAACACATTTCTGAATCAATTATAATCTTGTCCAATTAGCACTGATATGTATTTGCATCACTAAAGAGAAAAAATCACCCAAAATTGAGTAATTCCTTTTAATGCTTAAAATTTTGGCAAGTTACTCCTTGGTAATTCAACGTTACTTAATATGGCAACCCCTCTTAGCACGAGGTTTGAGCACTTCACTAGTCTCCCAGCAGTCACACCAGAATGTGCTGTGCACTTTCCTTTTAAATTTTCTCCTTTTTCCCTCTCACTTCTATGCTCGTCTCCAAGGAGACATGACAATAGACTCTGTACTCTAATCGAGTAATACCAAGTTCGGTGTCTGTATGAATCACTCATGACAGCTCTGAGAAAATATGTGGAGACCAGTCCTACTACTACTACACGACCTCACTCACACCATTCACCATGATAAACCCTACCATTAAAAGAAAACTGGTAGATTTATACTGTGTATAAACAGTATCTACTGCTCCACATATATTGGTAGTTAGGCTATGAAACAAATTAATGACTTGTCCACAATCTGTTATTCCTGATGCTTCATAATTGATTATGACTATACGGGTACTGTATTTTTATACATACCGGTACCCCTTTACATTGTTTTGTAGGTTGGAGAAAAGATTGTAGAAGGCCTACAAGGAGTATTAGAAGGGACAGAGACCCCAGAGGTGATGGTGGCAACTGTTGATGTCTTGAGAGAACTTAACAGAAACCACAGTCATATTCTTAACAACTATTTCCAAGTGAGTATGGATTATAAAGCAGATTTGTGTGTTTGTATGCAGCTGAAGCTTCATTTTTCCAGTGTTTGTATGAAATATTGTAAAGCCAAGTAGAGGAAAATCTTGAAATTGTTAACTGCACTTCAGACAACTTTATAGTTATATAAGAATGTCATTTTGTTCAGGATATCGTGGACATTTTGGTTGGATGGCACATTGACCATCATCAGTCTGCTGAGGTGATGAAGTATGTCTCTATGGCTCTTCAGAGTTTCTCTCAGCTATGGCACATTAATGTTCCCATCTCTACCACGCTCCTCTCGCAGTTTGTTGAGGATATGGAAGATTACTGTGAGGTAAGTTAATGGATTTGACTGTGGAAGTTAGATGGTTAAGTCGGTTGACAGTATTCTTAATAAGAACTCTCTTGAGTTAAGTAATGCTTAATGATCTAGACCTAACTGCTGGGACAGATTGGAAGACTGTAGATCCAATGGGCCCCAGTTTTTATACAGGGGGGGGGTCCCTGACTTATGAACGCCTGCCGATATGAACGAGAATTAACTTTAAATTTACAGTATTTTATTTATCTGATGACTTTTTTACTTTCGTATACTGTATTTTGTCATTCTATTTCTTCTTTTCTCTTAAATTAAGTGATTTTAGATGGATATGGACGTAGGCCATGATATAATGGGATTTTAAACATTGTTCTGTAAGTACGGTATGCACATAGCATGTGTTCCGACTTAAGAACATCCTCAGGAATGGAACTCATTCATAACCCGGGGACCCCCTGTACACACCAACCTAACCTAACCCAACCTGACCTAACTTAATACAACCTAACCTAACCTACAGTAATCCAACCTGACTTAACCCAATCCATCCTAATCCAACTTAACCTAACCTAATCTAAACTGACATAACCTAATCCAACCTAACGTAACCAAATTTAATCTAACCTAACCAAATCTAATCCAATCCAACCTAACCTATTCCTAATCTAATAAGGTTAGGTCAGTATTATTAAGACTTGGGCCCCATGTTATGAGTCACTGTTTGATCATACGTATTTGCTGTAGGAGAATGAAATTGTAAACTCCACGATAAAGTCTCCTTTTTTCCTTGTCGCTTTCCTGTGAAGTTATTATTGACTGTCCTTCATTCCCTGTCTCTCTCTCAGAAATGTCATGCCTTACCCCTTCTTCATGGCTTCCTACTTTCACTTCTTAGCCTCATCTTGTCCCATAATCTTCTGTCTTGCCCTCAACTCCCTTGCTCTACTCTTTTGCCCTCACCCTCTCCCCTTCTTTTCTTTCTTGTTCTCACCCTTTTATTCTTTCTTGGCCTCCTCTTCTCCACTTGCTCTCTGATTTCCCTTCCATTGCATTTAGAGTAAAGGACATCATCTTGTATTTCCACAGCATTTTTATAGGTCTGGGTAAAACCAATTAACATTTTGCAGGATTTAGACAGAGGCGTGTCTGGTCGTTCTTCCCCTGAGGATGAAGCTTCAACAGACCCAGTAGTGTGTGCAAAAAAAGTAGCAGCTTTCATCAGGTAAATGTTGCAGCATATTGTAATGAGCAAAGTTGTTTAAAAATTTATATATTTTTTTTTCACTATCTTGCTAAACCAATATCCACACTGTCTCCCACACCATAACACCTTATACCATTACCCCACACTGTCTCCCACACCATAACCTTATACCACTATCCGCACTGTCTCTCACACCATAACACCTTATACCATTACCCCACACTCTCCCACACCATAACCTTATACCACTATCCACACTGTCTCCCACACTATAAACTTATGCCATTTTCCATGCCACATCCCACATTACCAGCACCAACGTCATAACCTAGTGTGTGTCAATGGTGCCAGGGAACTGTGATGGAAGAAGTAGCTACTGTACCTCAAAACTGTGATTACTGATTCACTTTCTGGGGTCTATTACCTATAGCTATTGGCTTCCTTTTGTTGCTTCTGCACAGATTGTTACTTTATGACTTTAAGTAACTGGTACTGTTGTTGTCAAGGCACACTCATTACTCTCCACTCTTACCTTCCCCTGTGGTGGTGGAGCTTGAGCTGGAGTTGGAGTAAGCAATAGAGTATGAAATTAGCACTTAAAGCTCGCCATACCAGAACAGGTGTACTGTATATGATTTTGATATCAACCTGACTCTTTATTTCCAGTGTATTCACAACTGTTCTTCACTGCCTGGAGCCACAAGTGGACCACACAGTCAACCCGATCCTTTCTCCAAACTTTCTGGTGGATGCCCTTGGCAAAATGAAGTCTGGAGCAGCAAAAATATTACGACATCACTGGGAGGAAGCTCTCCTTGATGCTCTCAACCAAGTAAGATGTCATTGCCCCCCATTCTAAGGCTGCAGGTCCAAAGAGTTAGCAGAAACCTGTATATAATACTCACTCTGAACTTGAGTGGAAATAACAGAGGAGTTTGTATGTTATAGAGTTGGGCTGTGCTATTCATCATTAATTAAATTAACCCCAAGAATGTATAAAGGACTTGTTTTCCTAGGAGTATCTCAGAGGGTTCTTAAATGATATGCACATACAGAGAGAATAAGAAGTAAAAGATTGGTAAAATGGATGTATAATTGAGAGGTGGATGATAGGAGGGAGAGGAGAATATCAATAAGATGGAAGTACCGTATGGGGTGGAGGACATATTAAGAAGTGATGGAAATGGACATTAAGGAAACATTGTACTGTACTACAGTATGTGAATGATAGAAGAGCATGATGTGTAGGCATTTATAAGGGTGTTATATGAGTAAAAGTGAACAGGTGACAACAAATAAAGTTGCAGTGTTTGCTCTTAGTACTGGCTGCCCTACAATATAGTGAGGAAGGGCCTGCAAGACTGAATAAAAAGAAATTCAGAATTAGTCATAAATAATTCATTATGAAAATCTGTTCAGAATTTCTGTGAGGTGTTATTTTTTTTTTCAGGTATGCTTGGTCCTTATTCCATATAGTCAAAACATGCCAGAACTTCAGGTCCATTTTTGTGGAGTGGTTGACCTACAACAGAAACTTATTGTCCATTTTGGCTTTATCACCACCCAGTCATACCTGACACTCCTTACTCAGGTAGGTTGTCAGTGATTAGTTCCAGTTGTTATAAAATATTGGGATTGGTTATATTTTATATACTGTAGTGTAAACATATATATATATATATATATATATATATATATATATATATATATATATATATATATATATATATATATATATATATATATATATATATATATATATATATATATATATATATATATATATTCGTACAAAACATGAAATTGCATTTGGTATTAGTACTATTGTATAAAAGACAATGTTTATCCTTTTTTTTTTGTGTATAGATGTTGAAGCAGATTGGCAGCAGCCTGTTAGTTGAGTTTATACAAAAAATTCTGGGTAAAGACTCTCCCCTACGAATTCTACGGTTATCCCCACACCTCACAATATGGCAGGCAACACTAGGGGTGTATCATGCTGTCCTCGGCCTCAAGAATGTGCCACTCCTTCAGGAAGCATACAAATATATTTTGGCTGATTTACAGGTTGGTTTTGTTCTTTTTTGTATTCAGCTTTATTGATGTGACTCCATAGCTCTGTCATAGAGTTAAAATGAAGTACACAATCAAGTTTGTTTGCTAATACTAGAACAGTCTTTCAGCAGATTAGCATCCAGCCAAGAATATGGAATAATCCACGACAGTATCTGATGCATGCTAAAAATCAGGGGATCATCACTTTCTTTCCAACCAACTTGCTTCGTAGCAGATAAGCTCCTACTCAATTGGTTCTAGCTATCTTGACATCCAGTATTGCACAGAATATTGGATGGATGTATCATATTAATCACTTGTGAATGGGTTCCCTCTGCGCTGAATAAAATTGTATGACATAAGACAAATAAAATAATAAACGTTGTATCCCTGCAGTGAAGGGGTTAAAAATTAGTTGGGTGGTTGTTGGCTGTAAAAGATGGTAAATCACTGGTACAGTATCCTGGTTGAGACAGTACTGTATTATAAAAGCAAGTCATCCACAAATTGATTTGCATTTACCTCCTCTTGGAGACCATTAATAATACAGGTACACTATTGTTAATACATATTAATCATCAATTTTCCACATTAATGGCATGGTGTCCTAGTTGTCATTAGACAAATCTGAAGCTGGCTATACAGAGTTGTTTGATCTCAACTGAGTTATGAATGGGATATTAGGATCAGTTCATAATGTTTATTATCTTAGCTTGTGTTTTTGTTTGTGCTTACTGTAGTATTGTTTTTATTAATACCTATATTCTACATGTGTATAAAATTAGGGTTGATTTATTTTACAGGTATTTTACTTTTATAGATTTTAAATGAATTAGTGGAAGTGGTATTTGATACCTTGAATTATTTTCAGCTTGCTCACAGTGTACTGGTGCCAGCTGGTGAACCATTTACCACTACAAATGTGTTGGAAGGTGTTGTATATAATGAAAATGAAGCAACAATTTTACTTATGTATTACATGACAGTTCTTGCAGAGGTGAGTTATTTTACTGAAGTATTACATAACAAATCTAGCTTAGGAAAATTAATGCTGAACATCCAAGTGACTACTTTATTATAATATTGTTTGTGAAGGTCTAATGTACAGTCCCCCCAAAAAGTACCGTTAGCCATAGGGTCGATGTTATTTGAGGCTTTCCGAGCAATGTTACTCGACCTGTTTGTAAATGGTACGTAGTTCTACATCCATGACCTTTGAGCAAGAGGAGTATATACATTTTTGAACGATACATACGTTAATATAGCTTAATGGATTTCTTGTTATATTGAAGTATGTAATATGCCATACAAGGACGACTCCCACCCGCTAGTCCTACCCCATCTAACTGTTGCTGATATGGTAAGCAGGCATACCAACTTTTGATGATGTACTGGGGATCATATAAAAACATTTCGTCTAGCGTTTAAAAATGTAACAACAAAATATCTAACGATACTTTTGGGGGGAACTGTACATAATGTGAATGTATAACTTATAAACATTAGACTATGGAATCAAATTCTTAAAAGGTTATGACTCATGAGACAGATGAATAATTTATATAATAGATCTGCTATTCTGTAGTAATGAATGCCTCGTATCTTCAGGTGGCTAATACACGAAACTCTATAATTACAATGTGGGCCCTCACTCCTCCCCTGGTGGACCTCCTGGCTGCTCACCTCACACCATCCAGCTCACATCTTGCATTGCATTATCCAGAGGTATGATCATGTTGTACATTTGTGTGTGTGTGTGTGTAAGTTTAAATTAAGGTTTTGTTTAATATTCATGTTTTCTCTTTCAGGTTCAACACGCAATATTATTCCTCTTGTATTCTCACTGTGCCAAGCATTCTCACTACATAAGCTCCAGTACCCTGATTGTTGGGGCTTCATCACCTTTTGTACCACCTACTGTGTCTGCAGCCTTCTCAGGTGGATCTCCAGGAAGCTTCTCTGGTTCCTCCACCAGTGAGAATCTGACCACAATACTTACAACCCTCACCGCTGTTTTCCGCCAGGTAAGTCAAATAATAATAATAACAAATATAGGAACAAATTGAAGTAAGTATACAGTGTCCTTTGAAAGGAGAGTTTGGCTTGTATGTCCAATGCCTTTTGCAAGGTGATTCATGAATTCAAGCCATTAGTCCTGGATTTTATGCCATTAGACATCATAGTCTGATATTATACCCTTTCCACACTAACCTGGCCTGTAAGCCAATTCAAACACAAATGTTATTACCTAAATAATGTTAAATTTCTGGACTACCATTTCAAGGCATTAGCACTTCAGAGAGGGTGTTACAAAATGTTAAATATTTATCATAAAAGGTCAATATAAATACGCGCTTGGATACGCACAGTCCGGGGGAAGTAAACGTTCAGGGAAACCATTCGGCTATTTGTAGCTATAGAAGAGGGTCTTTAGAAGCAGCAGTACACTATCTAAAATAAGAAGCAATTGATTGTGAGCACTACATGAGGGTGCACATAACCCAGTTCAGACACACTGTAAGAGAGTTTCAAACATCAAAACTATAGTAGTCCCAGTTTAGACCTCATGCCATCCATCTGACTCTCCTTCACTCCATTTACAAAATAGAGACAAATGTTGTGCCTCTGTTTTAGGTACTTGTGAAGTCTCAAAATGATCCATGCAGCTGTCAGTTTTATGGGTTTGTGTGAGGCTTTTGTTTTTGTTTACCTTAACTTATTTACCTAATGGCCACCCACTAGAGGTGGCCATCCCAAGGGAAGTAGGCCAGTGGCCTCTGTAGGATCCCTCCATTGTTCTTGATAATTTTGTCGAGGGCTATTCTTAAGCCCAGTACTGCTCTTGATTCCACAGCTTGGGCTGGTAAACCATTCCATAGGTCTACCATCCTCAATGTGAAAAAGTATTCCTTATAATCGTAATGCATGATAACTTGGTGTTGGTGGTGCGTGACATCACAAAAATAATCCTGGGTTCACATTTTCTATCCCTATCAGCATTTTGAATGTTTCCATGAGATCTGCCCTATTGTGCCTTGTCTGAAGGGTTGTTAGTTCTAAGGCCCTCAGTCTACTTGGATAATCAAGAAGACATAGTTCCAGAATCATCTTAGTCGCTCTGTGTTGCACCTTTTTTAGGGATGTTAGATCTTTCTGGAGGTAGGGTTTCCTTGCCTGTATACAGTGATCCAGAATGGGATATACTTGAGATTTGTATAGTTGAAGGATTGTTTTATTATCTTTGTATTCGAAGGTACGCTTTATAATTCCCATATATTGATTTGTTTTCCTCACTGCTACCCCCACTTGTTGCACCTCCTTCTGTGAATGATGTGTCCGCATATGTGCTCAATACATCAGTCTTAGTAACTAGACTTCTGGCATTTGCATACCAACACTTGATTAACCCAGTTTCTATGATTCCTTTTTGAAGACTCATTCTGGAGCATTTGTTCTCACTGGGTTAGGAGTACAGTAGAATCCCAGTTATCCAGCATCCAGGCAACTGGTAGATTCAACTAACCGGCACCAAAATAAAATAATACTCATAAAAATTCTCCTCAAATCAGCTAGAATCGTAAGTTTGAGTATCACACGCAACGGGGATGAGCTGCTATGATAAACAATAGAATCAATACATAGCATATCATAAAATACAATGGCACATAATTTATGTACAAAGAATAGCTCCTTCCACACTCAAACCATCCTCTGGGCAATGCAACATAGTTCAGGCAGTCTACTGCAGTCAACCAGCTGACTCACAGATGTGTGACCACTGACCACGCAGTTATAGCCCAGTAACCCACCGCCTCAACACACATTCACTTCCAAAATATACACACCAATGCTCTTCATTTTTCCTATTTTATAGTTTTATATTAGATTTTCTTTATATCTAAGCCACATTAGAGTACTGCATCACAAGGTCAAGGCAACAGCATCTGCTTGTGAGTACAGTATAGTGTATACAGTAGTATATTTTATTTATTTACCATACTATATGGGACTGTATGTGTACAGTAGTGTTTGCATAAACAAATAATTCTCATGACGTATTGGTCATCTCATTTTCAAGATTTTACCTATACATTTCAAGAGTTCTATCCCTTGAAATAATACTTTTGTTTTTATTGACTTCAGACAAGGTAAATTTCCTTGTTAATGGGATATCTACTAATTTTCAGAGGCAAGTAACTGGGGCTAACATCCTCCAGCTATGCTTGGAGTGGGCTGCTGATTTGATTCGGAGCAGTGAAACATCTGTACCACAGCTTCTCAAGATCAAAGTTTTCACTATGATGATTGACACAATAGTGCAAACTGGCTACCACCATCTTAACTCTGTGACTGCTGCTGTTGCTACATGCTTGTCTACAGTTTTCTCAATATTACAGCCATCTCAGGTAAGAGTATCAGATATTATTGTGTAAAGGAGTAAAAAGGACTTCACTGACATGGATTATGGACTGATCAACATGGCATTTGAAGAAAATCTGTTTGAAGGAAAGTATTGCAAGATTAATAATATGTATATGGAGAGACGAAAGTACTATACAGTATATTAAAGTAGTTTTTGTGTTTTTTAGAAGACCAAAACTATAAGTTTGTACAGATGAATAAATTTGTGAATTATTATTGAAGAGTTTTGGTCCATATTCTGAGGTTTATATATAAAATTCTTCTTTATTATAATGAACCAAAACATAGGTCATAAAACATGAAAAGAACTTAGTAGTGGAGGTAAAACTGCATAGTACTGTACATTATTCTTTATTAAGTGTTCCATAGTATCAAGGGTTTGTGGTAAATAGTTATGTGAAAGGTCCTGAGACAATTTGGGGAAGTTGATGATCATGGGAGCCATGGCTCATGTACAGTTAAAGTCAAACGTAATTATCAACTCCACCACCTAACCTCTGGGTCCTTTCTGCACGGTAAGTCACGTGGGATGGAGAGGGGGAATGGTCAACTTGGGGGATGGTTGTGGGAAGGTGGTATGCAATGTAAGATGCTCATCAGGGAGGAGAGGGGATTGATGAAAGCAGAGAAATTTATGAAGGAAGGAAAGGAAAGATGGATGTAAAAATAAAAATTCACAACATTATCTTAGGTTTACATGCTTGAAAGAGTAATATTTGAGGACCCTTATTTTATGATTTTTATAATGTTCCATCCATCTCCTTATTTATCATTTTTTTCAGGCTGTTATAAGGGTGAGTATAAGGGTAGAAATCACATTTATTTTTAATATTTACCAACACTGGTCATACATAATCTCTATAGCCCTTCCAGTGTATTCCTCGCCTGTCACTCGTCGTCTCCCGGGCCTAAAATTATATCATTTATATGAATTAAGAGTTCAAATATGTTTTGTTTACATTACATACCCAAAATTAGTCATTTTAATATAACAAATATCAGCAAACCCTCAAAAAATCCTCGCAATGATTTTCACAACTGTAATAAACATATAACAGGGTGGACAAGTCTCATGCTATCCAACAGTTCATTCTTAATATTTTTTTCACCAATTACTGTAATAGTGATTTTTTTTATTTTTTCAAGAACAGCAGTGGCAAGAGGTGGAAGTGCTTAAGTAGCGATTCATTCTTTTTTTTTCCAATTAATAGTGATTTTTTTTCAAGAACGGTAGTGGTTAGAGGTGGAAGTTATAACAGGTTCGTTTAGTGTTACTGGTGGTGAGTAAGCTATGCCTCTCCTCTCTTATGTTGTCATATCAGGTGTTTTCCATCACGGAAGCCAGACTCCTTATTAATCAACCCTAATGACACATTACCTGCCAAAAGCTCGCCCACATTCCTCCCCAGAATCTCAAGTAAAGGCATAGATAACTAAGGGAATAATAAGTCCATATGACACCTCCCCGAACACCTGCCCGCCTGGTTGGTTGATTGTTTGGGCTTTAGACCTGTCAACTGCCAGAGTTATTAAGGCCGTCATCGTCAAGCTACAGTACAGTGCATCCACCAACCTTAACACCTTCTGCAGGTGTTAAGGATAATTGTAAGACCACATACTCTCTCACTACGCATGTGGCCCTTGACTTTGATCTGTCCTACCTTACCCGGGTCTGCCACCCCTAGCTCTCCCTCCATCAATATCTCTCCCACCCTCTTGAGCTCGTGGGTATGGTAGTAGGAGGGGTGGATGATTACTTCTGACCGTGACTGTACTTACCATCATTACATAAATGAGACAAACACAGCAACTGTTGACTCACAAAGTAAATTCAGAAATGTTTTGAGATCGACTAAGGTCAATTTAATATTTTTTTGAATCAATTCAGTGATGAATATACTCGTATTTTAAGAAGCATTTTAAGTAGCTCAAACATAAGATGAATCAATCAACATAGCCAATTCTTGATGAAAACACAAATTAATATATTGTTGTAAAGAAAATTTAGATTCTTAAATATATTAACTTTGTTTCTCTCATAAGTAATATGTCTTTTTTAACTTTACATCTTCAGCATACAGTTGTGTTCAGTAAGAGTTTGAATGTTCACCAGGGCTGTTTTTCATTATTTTTGTCACTCACCTAAACTTGATGTGTGGAATGTTATTTGCAGAACTTGGAGGAAGTAATAAAACTGTGTCTCCATCATGTAAGCCACAAGGATTCCAAGATACGCAGTATGTATCTTGACTTGCTGGCCAGGTTACCCCTCAGTACTGTGTCTCATGCACTCTGTACTGGCAATGCAACTGATGAAAATGAATACACAGCAAATAAGGTTGGCGGACTTGTACTGTTCTTTATCTTAAGCACATAAGACTGTTATGATCTCTAGCCTAACAACAGTTTAAAGTAACTCATGTATAAGCTGCAACCCAGGCTAACCTCAAAGGTGATGGCTGGCATTAATCAAACAGTCAGTATCAATTCCCCATCACCACACTATCCCTCAGATAGGAGTTTGGGAGGTGACAAATCACCACACAAGTGTGAGAGCTAAATAAGCCTTTCTTGCTGCAGTGCCATAAATAAGTTAATGATAAATAATTAAATAATCATAATGAAAATGTCACTTTGGAAAACTGATATTTTGAAAATTTGCATATTAAGTTGGCATGTGAACAATTATCTCTTAACAGGGTGATTCATCATCAAGTGTGGACTTTGGAAGTCTGGATTCAACCTCTGTCAAGAGTTTGGAGCGTCACTTTGTACTGCGCTCTACATCTGGTCAGCTGCCATCCAATGCCTTCCACACACTTATGGGTTTTATTCTTCATGTGTCACAACCCAAGTAAGTTTGGTTCGGAGCACTAAGTCTTATTCAGTATTTCTGTTTTAAGATGAAGGAAGATGGTTAACAATACTGTATTGGAAAGCTATTGAATATAGGAAGAGATATATTGTGTTGAGATGGACCAAATTTGTAGCTGAATTGCTTGTCAAGGAATATAAGTTAGTTGAGTATACAGATTAAGGTAAGGATTTTGCATTGAATTATTTGCTTTAAATGTGAAAAATAATGAAATATACAACCTTTTAAACATAGGGTCATTTATCAGGGAGACTTATGTATGCCCACCAAACACACAGTTCACAACCCAGTCGAACTGTAGACGTTGATGACTGACATTATTTTACCAATTGGTGCATCTTTCCAGTTACAATCAATTCAGCATTTTTGTTCAGTTGCAGATCATCATGTAAATACATGTTTTGTGTTTTCCAGGGGTGAATTTTGGCAAGATGATCTGTTTGCTATTTGTCAGCGGGTAGAGAGAATGGCTAAAGCTGAGGACTGGAGTCTGCCTGTTTTAGCCTCACACCTGCACACTATACTCTGGAAGTGGTTGGCATGGGAACCAGCACAGCACTGTATTGCTAGCAAGCTGAGAACAACACTTGGGAAACCCCAAGATACATTTACAAGTATTGAAGGTAAATTTATATGTGTGTGTGTGTGTGTTCGTTCATAACAATAAGGCATTGTGGAAATTAGTTACAATCTTGCAAAAAGCATGTTTTGAGAAAATGAACTTCAAAAGTTTTTCTACACAAATATCACAGTAATTCAGCCAAATATGAGTCAATTTTTGTAGGGTTTGTACCATATTGTTTAGAAATGTGTCTACCTTATTGGGATAATACTACCAACATGTTTGGAGAGGTGGAAGGCCCAGCCACCTCCCCAGGTTGCCACTGGTATCTGTGGGCTAAATGCTGATATTATGCACACTCATCCAACATACACCCCTTGAAATGAGTGTAATTTTCCCAATACTGGTGATGAACTTACATCTTGGGACATTGCCCGTTTTCTTCTACAGATTCAGGAGAATTAATATTAATAAAAGACTGACTTTCGTATCCATGTCGAGGTCGTCACTAATATCCACAACGCGTCAGTGTACAGGTGATCCACATTATACGTCAGGGATGTATTCCAGAGAAAAGCATCTTAGAGTGAAGCATTTTATAATGAGGAATTTTTCATCAAAAGAATTAGTGTAATTAGGGGTACAGTATATGCATGCCAACATGTACTGTACAGTAATGCTCCTTGGAAACTCAGCACATCAGTTTACAATGGGGTCATTATAACATACTGTACTGTATAGTATTTGATATGAAGATACAGTAACCTAACACCATTATTTATTACCTTTGAATGATACATGATGGTTTGATTTTGCTACTTGTACACTTAGACAACTGATTTATGTATAAACCAGGGAATAGGCAGAAGCATAATGCACAACAGTATTATTTATTAAGTGCTGATAAATACACTACAATATTATTTACAGTACTAAGTGTTGAAAACTGTTGTTTTGAAAAGTACCAACCCTCTTGGGCAGTGACAGCAGAGGTGCATGAGAAAAGAAGTGCATTGGCAACACTGCTCGGAGGGAGGTAGGGCTGTTCACGCTTTATATACAAGCACCAGGCGTTTAATAAAATGCAATAACTCATCTGGGTTTGGGTGTGGGATTTTTTCAGGAAAATAGATTATTTTATGATAATATTTTATTAACCCGGCACCAAATGAATGCAAATAATATGAGAATTTATGGTGGAATTGCAAACTGTCATATTACTGGAGTCAAGGGAAGAGTTAATCAGCTACCATCCACCCTACCTCTCACTTATCCCTCACTATTCACTTCCCACTCTTAATTTTTCTTATTTTCTTTATTTTGAAGTCACATTAGAGCATTGAATTGGTATTTCCTTAACCTTTGTGGTGTCTTATGTAACAGTGGCACAGTAACAGCCTTCTCACACCTGTCAAGTGCCTGTATGTTATGGTCATTTCTAGACTTGATATTCTCCCACACACAATATACTACTACACTGTACAGTATACAGTATTTTCCTCATTCATAAGACACACTGGCACATTGAAATGACTTTTCTACAAATTCTGTGGTTACTTAACACACAACAATGGCATTAACGCTCAGCCATGTTCGAGGTTACTGATGGCTATTGGCTTTTAACACTATCTATTCATCATATTTGGGTGCACATAGACTTAGTATAAAACAGTGGATGATGCAGGCGACGTATATGTGAAACAATTGCCACACTGTATTAAGAAAATGTCCTATATTTGTTAGCGACGTATATATGAAATGACATATACTGATACAACGTATAGCGATAACCCCCTGTACATTATTTCAAGGGTGTAATTGTATTATGAACCTTTAGTAATATTAAAAGTGTTGTTTCAAAATCTTTGCCAGTAGACAGCATGAAGATGGTCAGTAGCTAAGTAATATGTACAGGGAAGGATGTACATGTAACCCTGTACATTGTTTCATGTCAGAAGAGTTGTGTTGACCATTATGATTATTTATTCCACAGGTGTGATTAAAAGTCGTGCAAAAGAAGTGAGAGAATGTGGTCAAGAGGTAGAAAAGGGCCAGTCATCTGGGAAGAGTGAAGAGGATAAGGTACCCACCAAAAGTTTAAATGGAACTGAAAAAAATGAAAGTGAGAATGGTAATGTGAAAATTCATTCACTGGCTGTAATGCTACTCGTAGAGTTTGTGGAGAGTCTTGAAAAAGCCATGTTTAATGCCAGTGATGGATGTGCCGTTGCTGTTCCTCCACCAAACAAGGTGAAGTATTACATACCCCATTTGTTAATATTATCAGTTACAGTAATTCCTGTACCTTACCTTTCATAGATTTGCTGTTCACATTTATACCTTTCACGATCAATATACTGTATATCCAGCTTTTTTACGTTTTCATACTTATCATGGTCACACCTCAAGGCAAGCAATAAAAATTTGTGCTGACGGATTTTTCATTGCTTGTTCCTTCAGTCTTGCACGATTTAGTTTTAAAGTTTTTTAATTACAATTCTTTGTGGTGTAATATGGCCAGCAAACCTGCATCTCTGTCAGGGTGTGAGAGCATCTTGAATGGTGAATTTGATACTGTCTCTGGAGGGAAGTTTTGTAGAGGTGGTGGACTGTTTTATTAATCCAGTTTTATCAAATAATAATTTATGGCCTTATGGCTGGGACCATTTATAACCTGTCTCTTGCTCATGAATATGTTGCAGTTCATTCCTTCGAGAGTAACGGGAAGGAAGGTTATGGTTCTTTCACAGGTCAAGGGGAAAGTTGGGCAATTTAAAATTTTGAATTTGGTAGTGATACAAGGTGCACATAAGCTTCAAAAGCTGTTGGTGCAAGAAATCCATCCCCCTATCCCTGATGAAGTGCTGTCAGAAGACAGGCTTTCTGGAATGACTCAGAAATTGAAGGAAGTTAGAAATGCTCAGTTCACAGTTTTTGACAGGCTGCAGAATTCGATATGTTGTAGTTTTTGAAAAGTTTGTTTGTGAGGAAATTTAATGCTATGATAGCACATTTCTTATTGTGTTGCTTAAGGGATTCTGCTAATTGGCTATTTGATTATTTTTAGCAAATTGATTAGGAGGGAAAGATCAGAGAACAGTCATTTGGAACATTTCCAAGATTATAGTAGAATGATTGGAACTAATTCAGTCACTCATAGTTCTGATATGAGGTTAAGGAATTAGCAGTTAATTTCTGGTTAAAAATATAGAACAAACTTTGTTGGAAAAATATTGAATTTTGAATAAAAGTAATCTTAATTATAAACTCTATTTTCATATATAAACTGAGGCAACATAGGCATGCATTGCACACTTTACACTATTATGTATGTATACAATGTGTACACATACAAATGAAATGTACTTTTAGATTGTATTCAAATATTGGCATTAGTACAGTCTATAAAGGAAGAAGATTTTTAGTAATGTAATTGGGCTACCGGTATTCACAGGAGCTTTATATTAATTAGAATCACTGAGGTAACATAGGAGTTTAGCTTGTTGTCTAGTTGTTTGTAGGGATGCATACGATGCTGATGTGTGATCCTGTATGATGTGGAGCAACAACTATAAGCCACTTGGAAAATTTAGGACCTTATATGGTCTCAAAAGATGACTTTATTTCTAACAGATAACTAATTTGTACTGATAGTGTGAGAGATGTTTTTGGATGTGGTTTTATATTTATTTAGATAAGGAAAATAAAAATACTAATGTCTTTTTTCCTCACCAGAGTGTTCGAGCTTTCTTTCGGACAAACCGTCAGACATGTACTGAGTGGCTTAGTCGTATACGTGCAGCCGTTATAATTGTTGCACTAAACTGTGGACGACCAGAGGTAGCAATAAGACACTCAAACAAACTTCTCCAAGAACTAAAAGATAACAATAATACTCAGGTAATATTTACTATACCTTGGCTTTTTAGGAACTCTACAGCAGGGCCTGGGAGAGACATCTTAATTCCTTATTCCTGAATTAGGTCCTCCCTGTAAGTCCCTCCTTGTACTTGTTATCATTACCAATGTTTCATGGCCGTTTTACACACTTGCATGGGTTAGTCACGATTACCTGATGGCAGCTGTTGGGTAAAAATCAGAATGGTATGTTCCCTCCTCCCTTCACAATCCTCAATATTTGCTTCCTGTCAGTTGTATTACTTTTAACACTTTGAAAGTCATATGAATTTTTTCCAGTTTCTGCGTTACTGCCAAAACCTTTAACAATAGAGTCAAAACACCTGAGCTCAAGATATTTTTTCTTTGGATTACTGTGGTTGGCAGGTAAGAAATACAGTGAAACCTCTATTTCACGGACAATATGGAGAGGAAAGACTGTTATATTGAAGATGTGTTAGATTTAAAACATCTGTCTAAAGAACTATATAGAGGTGAAGAGTCCATTATATTGAGGGTCTGTTAGATGTAAAACATCTGTCTAATGAACTATATAGAGGTGAAGAGTCCATTATATTGAGGGTCTGTTAGATGTAAAACCCCCATCGCATGGATTACAGTACATGTACTGTATATGGAAAGAGAAGTCTTATTAGGAGGTTTCACTGTAGTTAATATGGAAAAAATTCGTTCAAGCAAGAAACAAAAGATTTTCAGTGAATAATTGAAGTTAATGAAATACAATTAGTTCTCCCATAATACTATATGTGTTTTCATAACACAAGTTGGTTATAACTTGATGAATGTATTAGGGAACACATTTTTACAAAGTGGTTGCGAATTGGGTATAACGTGATCGAGTAAACATAATTTTGTCGCTCAAGTAAGAATAAGCAATTGTGCAGCTGCTTCGGCTTAGGGTCACACAAGGTAGGATGCCGGTGGACATTTCTAGATTCTGCCCTCACCGGCAATTTGGTAATAAAAAATAACTGGTAATGAATGAAAATTACTGTACAGTATTTGGTATTAACCCTGAATAAATTCCCAGTTAACATGTGTGATCACTAGGGGTGAACTTGAAGGCGGGCAGTGATGATTTCACTGCCCTGTATGACCTGAGTTATTACTGAGTCAGTTTATACAACTTTATCTACACTTCAGTTGTATAAAAATAAGCTATTAGGCTGTTTTCCTAAATTTAAAAAAAATTCTCTACTCTATGCTATAAAATTTGGTGTTGAAACACTCGATTTAGTAATGAATTTTGAGGGATCTGGTAATGACAGGAAAATCAGACTTGGCAACCCAACACTCCTCAGTCATTGTTCAGCTTGCATACATATCACATGTGTTGTTGCAGAGTGTGCCCTACCCTTTATTTACATTTATTATGGTTAGAAATGTTTTGATTTAAAGGTTGTTGCGTCACACTCCACTAATATCATCGTCTTTCCTCTTCATCCTCCTTTATGGCTACATTTTCTATCACTTAGCAATGTAGACTAACACGCTTTAGCAAGCATTTCCCCCCCTTTCATGTTGTTGTTATAATAATGAATGATATCAAATTTAAACATAGTTATAAAGAACACATAAAAACTAACAATAATATAACAAATTGTAATGAAAAATGTCAGTCTTGCAGGTGTTTAACAATCTATTATCCCAAACTCCTAATTTCCATTCAATCAACTGTTCTTATGATGCGATGTTCTTCAGGAATGCAATTACCATGGTATAGGAGAACTGACTGTGTGATGACTTTTAGAAAATTTAAAAAGATGTTTATTTTTTTATAATGTTATTCCTACCGAGTTCCCTAACTCTGAATCTGAAAGAAAATGGTCTTTTTGTATTTTTATGTGTCATAGTTTTAAATTGGAGAGAAACTGGCTAACACCAAGTAACTTAGTATTGTCACTTTAATAATCTGTCTGACAAACAGGAAATTTAGACATTATATTAGGATAATTTTTTCACATGTGCAGAAATTTCTCTTATGAAATTACTACAGTGCAACAACAGATTGCACTGTAGTAATTTCACACAATCCATCAGTGTTCAGCTGTATGCTGAGTTACATCATGTTTCTGCCATTTCACAGGGAAGTGACTTTGAGCGAGCCATCTGTTACTGTGCCCGAGCTCTAGTGGCTGAAGGATGTGATGAAGGAGTGACGGGTCTCTATCACTGGTGTCGAGATCACATTGGCCGGAGATTTGCCTGGCTTAAACCTGCAATCTACAGTGCAGGCAATAAGTAAGATGTCCTGTTTACTATATATACTGTACAGTATATACCAAATGGTAAACACAAGCCACCTGTTTAGTCTCCTTTTGCAATACAGGGTACACAGTTTGTTCTTTATGACTTGATCTTAATGTCAACCTTCCTTGCTTCTAGTGATCGCAAAAGGCAAAAGAGATAGTACTGTATTACATGACTTTTTTAACAAAAGATTCCCTCACATGAAGCAAATGGGCAATTCTATAGCTGTGCTTTTGATTTGCTCATTAGTGTGTAGCTAATACTGTACAGTACAGTATATCTATTCTTATTTTTCAAACTATTTTGTCCTGGGATTTTAAAATCCCTATTGCAGTACTGCATTATTAATATAATTATTAATTCCTCCAGGTATGAAAAGTCATTGAGGGGCTACTTGCATTTCTTAGATGGCATAGAAGAAACAGAAGAAACTGAAAAAGAAAAGACTGTGGAAGATGAGTCTGGGACAACACATGTTGGAACAGGCAACCAAGCAGATGTTAAGCAGTTAGATCCTCTCATCCAAGAATTCATTTATTCCCAGGTGTGAAGGCTAATTACTGATATTTCCTTGTTTGCACTTTTATTCCATTTTGTTTTGTCTTTTTTTCTTATGTTTTGTTGTTTTAATATCTCATCTCAGGGTCTTGCAGGAGAAGAACACCTTAATGGAACAAATATGTTAAGGCAATTGGAAACAATAACTGACAGGGAATGAAGAAGAGTGTGTTATACTCTTAGTTTCAGCCTCTCTGTGCTGTGGAGGTTCAGGACATACAAAAAAATTTAAGGAAAAAAGAGTACTTTCTCTATTTTTTTTGTATCAATACTTTTTTCTCCTTGGAAGGGGAAACTTGTATAGAGATAAACCCTCACCACCCACACAAATCTAGAAATAATTTTTATAGCTCAACTTCTTTCAATTATTACTCCTTTATTTTTTCATAGAATGACTGTGTAGTTCAGCAGAAGTGTTCTTGCACACAAATTATCAAGGGTTTGAGTCTAAAGCACATTGGAGAACTGGGTTCCCTCTTTGTACACACTGAGAAAAAATGAGTACTGTACACTTATAAGTAGGCAGGGGAGTTGTAACCCAGCCATGCCAGCTAAGAGGGCACTTGTTAGTCCTACCTATAAAGCCCAGTTCCCACTCAGTAAAATTGGGTTGGGGATAGGAAGGGCATATTGTGCATTTAGTCTAGCCTTTTAATCATAAAGCTTGATTTTTTGTTTTGCTCTCTCAGATTGCAGAATGTTACAGTAAACTGAGCCAGTGGGGAGAACTGCAGAAGTGGATGATGCAAGTTCGAAGTAATCAGAAAGATCCAGAGAGCACTACAGTCCATTCTGGTCTTCTCAATACCTACCGGAACCTTGCACATGTTCAGTAAGTTTATTTTTCTTGTTAACAATAATAAGTGCTTTTGTTTTATTTTTTGTATATGATTTATTACAGGTTTTGTTTGTTTTCAAGTTAAGTTATAAAATTTTTTGTCTGTTTGATTCGCTCTTTTATAACAGTACTCAAATTTTAAAATTCTGATCTCAGATCCTTAACCAGCATGTAAAAGGGTACCCTTGTATAAATTTTGAACAAAATCCATGTTTTGACCTTATCACGATAAAATGCCTTTTCTCTGGAAACTTAAAACTAAAATGTTTAAAGTGTAAAGGTAGTCCATATTACTTAAAAAATGTACAGTGGTCCCTCGGTTAACGAACGGTTCGATTAACGAAATTTCGGTTAACGAATTACCTCCCATAAGAATCTTCAATTCGGTTAACGAACAAAACTTCGATTAACGAAATCCTTACGACAAACACGTTTTGTTGTGAGTATCAGCTGATGGGCTAGTTTGCCAATTCAATAATCTATTCTATGTTTACATTCGTTTCCAGTGGAGTAAATATCAAGAAAGCTGTGCTCTTTAATATTTTTGCATTTTTTATATTAAAATTATTAGTCATTTTAAAATTTAGTTAACATATTGATAATATATGTAGTACAGGGAACTAGTTTTTTGTGTGCCCATCAGCCGCTTGACTCACCCACCAGGCGTCAGTTTGCATTTGTTTACAGTGGAGTGAACATCGATTTTATTGGTGTCTTGAATATTTTTGCATTTTTTCATTAAAATTATTGGTCATTCTGAAATTTGGTTAACATATTGATAATATATAGCACAGTGCAGTGTTGATTTGAATAAAATAATCTTGAATTACACCTAGTGAACTTAAAATTTTATTGGTGAAATTACTGCATCAAGCATGGGTCCCCTGATAGGTGATTTCTCCTCCATCCACACTTCCTTCTCTTCTCCCTTCTCCACCCCCACTTCTAATTCCCATCATCTTCATCAACCAGAAACCTTTTACATACACACCTCAAAATAAGTGTACGGTACTTTACTGCATTTTTTTTTTTTTACTTTGTATGTACAGTACTTTTCTGTTAGCTGGAACCAATTACCCAATATCTCATTTAAACAATGGATTCGGTTAACTAACGACTCTGGAACGAATTGTTTTCGTTAACCGAGGGACCACTGTATATAGGGGCAATTTAAAACTTACGGGACCAACGTATTTGACGATTTAAATATTCCGTTTGTATTAAAGTACATAAAAGCTCATTAATTAACACTAATTACTTGAATTTTAAAATTCATAACCCAGATCCTTAACCAGTATGTAAAAGAGTGCCTTTTTTGTGAATTTTGAACAAAATCCACGTTTTGACCTCATATGCTGAAATGATGTGTAATCGCTCACTACACCCAGAAATATTTGGTGTAAAATAATGCATAAAGAAAAATTATGTGATTTACAAGGATAGGAACATTCTTTTAAGTGTTAATCAAGTTCAGAGGATGCTTATGAAATATTTGTTTAGTAGATCGAAAAGCTTGCTATGGTTCCACAATACCTGCAGTTTCTTCTGTATTTTGTAGCTGACATGATGACAGGATGCCAACTAACATTTCAAATATAAGAAATTATTACAGTACTAATTTTTCCAAAACCAAATGAAGTGGAATTATATTTGAGGATACAGTATAATAATTACTTTTATAATGGTTTACAGCCACTTTTATTTCTCCTCTGCATCATATAAGAACTCAGTTGTTAACTTTGCCACCTCCATTTATTATGAGTACAAATAGTATGGCACTGCTTTATTTATTTATTTTAATTTCTCACATGATACTTGTGTTTATTTGGCCCCATAGAGTCAGTGGTACCTTTTATGTACTTGATCATTTGTGTTTGTAGTCTTGGGTCCGTGCACCCATGTTATAAGTCACTAGTTAGCTTACAACGTTCTCACATTTACTACAGTGTATGGAAACTTAAGAGATCTTATTACAGTACAATATATTGTGCCATAATTCAGTGGGATGCTGGTTGGCAAATTATGGATGTGTTTTGTTTGATTCTTATCTTCTTTATCTATTTTTTTTCAGAGCTTTGGCACACTTTGACTCTGCAGATCCTGTAGGAGTAACAGCTAGTTTGAGTAACTCTGTGAATTTGGTGGATTGGTCAAGAGGTCAAAATTGGGTTATGTGGAAGAGGTTCCAAGACATTAATACTGTCCTCCTTCATTCTTTCACCTCAGCAGTATATCCCCAGCCATCCACATCAAGGTGAATTAAGCTGTTTTCAGTCAACACTTTGGATCTTTATGTTGGGAAAATTGGGTCTTAAGTCTTATTTTGTGTCTGTTTTATTGATGGCCATAACTATGATTCATACAAAAACCCACTCACACATGTGCACCACCACACAAACACCCACTCACACATGTGCACCACCACACAAACACCCACTCACACTTGTGCATCATCACACAAACACCCACTCACACTTGTGCATCATCACACAAACAAACACCCACTTACTTGTACAGTACAGCCTATTTTTTGTATATCTGACCATTTTAGTTCTTGAGACAGAGCCCCAAGAGAACTACAAGGACTGGTTTTCACAAATGACCAGTAGTTGTGGATGTGAAGGAGTGAAAACCTCAAAATTGGTTTTTACTGATGATGAAGGTCATTAGTATCCAAAATATTGACATGAATCAAATTCAAGATTTACCAGGTTAAATTGCATTAAAATTTTTCATTCAGCAGTGATTTTTGCATCTCGGTTTTTGTAACGTACAGTACGTATACTGTATTCATTATCACTACCACAAAGGCAAGGATGTTTTTATATATTTCTCTATAAACCTTGTAATTGTATAGGTATACCACTTCTCTGATCCCAGCATAATGATTCTTAAACATTAATCTGAACCTGTAAAAATAAAATATGTAATAAGATACATTTTAAACTGCACTGAACACTATGAGTCAAACACCCAGAGCTGCTAATTACTCCATTCCACTTGCACACTAGTGACTGAAAAGTTGAGTAACTATTAACTTCCAGGTGAGTGGAAATCCACTAGTCTGCTAGTGCTAGGGGCAAGTTACTCGTGGCTAGTGGAGCCGTTTACACAACATATGTAAGGCACCTGTTGCTATCCCGTCAGCACTGACACCTAGTAACACACCTCATGCAATCGCTCCCTTGTTCTTCTTGCTCTGTTTAATTCCACACATGTAACTTACAGAATGATAATTTTGGGAGTCTGCAGTTCATTTACCATATTAATATAATGAAACATATAATATATCATAAATCCAGGAATTGTAAGTTTTATATGTACTGGACAGGAGTAATTGTAATTTGATATGAGTATGTGCATCCGTTATCTCCATCCAGGGAATCCATAGGAAAGATTGTGTCTGAGTGTCAGGAACAGGTAGAGTGGCTCTTGCAGTTGTCCACTTTATCTTCACATTCAACAATGCATCTTCACTTGCTGCTGTTCCACCAAGTCCTTCATGAGGTAGCTATTTAAAGATTGTTGTCATTGCTGTTTTGTCTCAGGTGCTTCAATTGCTAGAATTAGTTGCAACTTTCAATTTATTTTTATTTTTAAGGATGTCAAGTCAATAAAAGTACCCGCTGTATGTGACTAATTATATTCAGACTAATGTATAAACCTTACAAAGAGAACAGTGATGTATCAATTATAATATGGCTACGACATTGTGGAAGGAAACAAATAAGATATTTTTGGTAGACAAAATAACTTTTATTGGTTTTAATTTCATTGGAAGATCAGGAACAATAGTACAGCTTTGTCTTTATAGTTAAGGAGTATTTTGGATGAGAGTATGGGAGTTGGTCGTCTACACGAAGGTTGGGAAAACACCAATCTTGTGAGTCTGCCGGCTGACCTCATTCCTCATGTTTCTCGCTGGGCCAAGCTTATTGCTCGTCTCAACCGAACAGTCACACCAAGTAAGTACAGCACTGTATAAGAATGTACACCTTTTTATATTTGTAGAACTTAGTATATTATTATTATTATTATTATTATTATTATTATTATTATTATTATTATTATTATTATTATTATTATTATTATTATTCTGCAAGTCATTACCCCAAAAATCTGAATAGAGGCCTATAATAAGTCAACCTCACCAGACTTTATTAGTATTGATGATATTCAAGTCTTAACACTCTTAGGGTCTTCATAAGAATATAAACTCATATGTAAGAATTTATCACCTTGGGGTCTTCATATGTGAAAATGCATAAAAACATAGGGTGATATTTAATTTTATGTTAAGCTTGTGTGTTCTTTGCTAGATATGCACATTGTCTCTTTCATATGGCTATCAGCTTTCCTCAGGAAATGCCATTATATACATGATATATATATATATACAGTATATATATATATCAAGATTAGAATCCTTTGATATTTAATTAAGTTTTGAAAACTAATATTGTTACTATAATTTTTTTTTTCATTTATTTTTCAGCCTCAATTACAAAGTTGGATCTCTTGTCTGCCAAACAAGCTCGCAAGCAGGAGAATATGGACTTTGCTGAGAGTACCCTTATAGGCCTTCTGGGAAGTGTTAGCTCAAGTTTGGCTGATGCTGCACTGGAAATTGTACCTGGTGCTGAATATAATCCATTACAGGCAAAATTGCATAGGGAAGCAGCTAAGATGCTTGCATGGTATGCACTGGTTTTTATTACAGAACTTTATAATGTACACATTGTTTTATATATCTTTCTGTATCCAAACAGAAGTGAAATATTAAACGTATTATCATTAGAGGAAAGAATCAGCTAAATTTTCATGAACAGAAAGCCAGATGCCACACACCAGTCAGTCACAAAGGAATTTAATCGATAACACTCAAACATACTAAACTGACTCTAACCCAGAGTCTTAATTTCTCTACCATTTTCATTGATTTGTTATGATTACCTTACCAGAAAAGGAAAAAAGAGAATAACATTTAATTTTCCTGTGGTTCTCGACCTATGAGACCTACATATATCGAATCATTCTCCAGTTACACTGAGTGAGACAAAATAAATAGTGATGCCAACTTAAATTCTTAGCTTAATTTTAAAATCATTTGTTTTGATTAGAAGAATTAATTGAGTGCTTGAAATTAATTCAGTCACAGAAATTGAAATGTATGTCAGCCAGATCTTTGTAAGTTAGCTCAAATAAGGCCAAATGTTATCAGTACCTTCCATTTTTGTCCACGTAATGGATATTAAAATTTTCATGTGTATATGTCTCGGAATCATAAGCTTATAAAATGAATATGTACAAAAAATTTTAATAGGATTTCATGTGGCTTGTAGAAATAGTGTGCAGTATATGATAAATGAATGATTCTTGTCAGATGATTTTTGGCCCAGTGTTGTCTTATATTTTCCAGCTGCGGGTGACATGTCATCTTCAGATTCTGGGTATTCTTGCCCTGTCAGTGGTCACACAACATTTAAATTTTTCAGTAAAGGACATGTTGCTCAGGGGTGTGCTGTGCTTGCTGAAGCTGTTGTTGGTCTAAATCCCAGCTTGGCAACCTTGGCAGCAACAGACACCACACTTCTCACACTTCCCCCCAATGAAGCTGGTCATCTGTGTGCACGTTCCATCGTCACCCTCAACAAATGGTGGTCACAGGATGAGAGACGACTTCTAATGCTGTGTGGAGATTCATCAACCCCGATTCCTCCATGGATAGAGAAGCTCCATGCAGGTACATTGATTTAGTATGTTCTTCAGTATTTAAAAATCAATTGTTATCATACTGAGGATAGCTTATGGAGGATAATAATAGAGAGTTGTGTTGACATATTTTGGAGTGATTATGAGAATACCGTATGTTCTGTATGAATTAGTATTATGAACTATGCTGATGTACAGTAACAGGTATAAAAACAATAATTTCAGAACACATTCAGAATAGTGTTAATCACTTTATTGAAATTAGATTTTGTTTGTTACTGGTAACTGAAATTACTGTTTTCTAAAATAGTGGGAATTTAAAGTGGGTTAATAATCAAGGCTGCCAAACAAACAAAGACTTACCCCTTTGCTATGAAATTAAGCCCTGCCCACACCACTCTGAAAGTGTGTGCTGTTTCTCCCAAATCAATTTGCCTGCAGCACATTAAAAACACAGTTAGCAAATTTTTTCATTACGAGTACTGTACAGTACAGTATTGTACATGGTGCTATATAATAATTATGGTGAGGTTGCCCTGTAAGTGTTAACTTTAAAGTTGAGCAAGGAGCATAGACATCAAAACTAAGCTGCTGCCTTCACCATTCAGCCCAAACATGAGTTGAATAAAACTTATTTTCTTAGTAATTGGCATATTATTCTCTTTTAACTCAATGCAGTAACTGCATCATTTGGGACCTTATGGGTGCCCACAACACACAAAAAACATGACATAAAAGTTAAAAAAAATATAAAATTTAAAAGCCATAAAAACCATATAGAAAATTTTTACTCATCATGGGTGGCAATTTATAAGGCTGTGAACTGAGGCGGAGAGTAACTGCCAACTGCTGAGCCCTGGTTGTTGTTGTGATGCAAGAGGTGGTTGTGATGACAAACAATGTGGTGACAAATGCCAATTGTCTTAAAACGACGATAATGCGATTTTGGTAAATTACCTGTAGACAGTGTTAGCAGTTAAGGGGTTAACTAGAAGAAACCGAGTCATTATAGGTAAAGATATGATGTAGCATTGCATTCACATTAAAGAGAAATAAGCAAGTAAGAAAGTGAAGAGAAATACCGGTAATAGTGTGGTTGTCACTGTAAGGCATTAATGTTTTTCAGGTAGAGTATATAGAGTTCAATAGAAATCAGAAATGTTAATAGCTCAATGCTGAAAATAATATAGAAACATTTTCTCCTCTTAGAAACATACTGTACTAGCAGTTGTTAAATAACCCAAAGAACTAGTGAGCTCCAAAACATGTGATTATACTAAGAATTAACTTACAAAGTTGATGAATATAGCTACTATATTTTTTCCTTTGGGCAAATAATTTATGTACTGTACAACTAAGCAGAGATTAATGATGAATAGGCCAATAATAAAAACCTTTATTAAGATAAAATGCCACTTTGTTTTCTCTTGCTGTTGAATTTTGTTGTATTTATATTGGTGTGGACTGCCATGTTTCATACTTAAAGGTACAATAACTAAATGTTGTGTTTTTTATTAGTTTATCAGGAGATGAAAGAATTTGCACCAGAAGAGTTACAACCTCTAGCAGAAGTTAGTCACTCCACACTGCCACCACTGGAGAGCAAGATGGGTCACATCCTTACTCTAGCAGCCACACAGTGCCCTACACTACCCAAAGTTTGGTTCCACATTGCTTCTTGGTGTTTCAGGTAAGGAAGCTATCACCCCCCTCCCCCAAATGTTTTAACACCTTTACCATTAAGCTTGTAATGATTTTAAAGCTTTGATGTCAATATCTCAAGTCAAGGATTGTTGAGTATTTGAAATTTATAAAAGCTATACCATGCAACAGACATGGGGTAATAGGCCCGCTGCAGTTTCCTCCATTCTTATGTTCTTATTATGTTCTTGATGTGTTGTCCTGTTCATAAGTGTCATTATTTTTTCCAAAGGAAGACTAAGCAGTAATATTTATAAAATATAGGAAACAAAGTACAATTGGACTGTACAACGTCAACTGTTACAGTTTGCCCTCCCTGACATGGGTAGCCACCTCCTACAATTCCCGTGGCAATATCTCTGTTGGGGAAGATTTTTGGTTCTTGTCCATGGTCCACAACCTTGGCAACCCATGTAATATGTGTAACTTTCAGATCTCTTAGCTGCTTATCTTTTGAAGCTATGGCTGGAACAGACTCACTAACAGACACTCATGTCCTTTAATTATTTTAGATGAAGATGAGTTTTTATCTCTAAATTTTGTGATATTACCAGATGGGGCAGGAGAATTCTTGAGCACAGTTGCACCAATGATGATCAACTGTCAGAATCTGATCGCAAATGCGTCGAAGAAATTCTTGTCCCAGCTCTTGGGTTAGATTCGACTGATTGCCAGCAGAGAGTGGAGGAAATGTGTTTACTCTTGGGAAATAGAAAAACAGGACAACAGCCAGAAGAGGAAGAGGAAGAAGATCTCCGGCTGGAGGAAGTGCAAGGAGCCCACCAGGTATAATTTTGAAATTCAACATTTTGATGAAACACACCCACTTTCATCTGTCTTTTTAACCACAAGAATTCACATTTTTTATGGGATGTAAGGGTAATTATGTGCTATAACAGCACCTTTTGATTATTGTGGCCAGATGTAACTTGATGATTGAAAAAATGTAATCACTGAATCTATGTTACAGGCTGTGTGATGATCAAAAGCATACAAGTAAACACAGATCATAAGAGATTGGTTTGTCTTACATAAATAGAGATGGGATTCATGCACTGTTTCATTCATCCAATAGCTAGAAGGGGTGTGGCTATTGATAAGTAATGTTAATCATGAATTCTGGCATCCAAGTAGAAGTGTCCTCATTAAACTTCTCTTCTAATAACTTTAGGACTGATGAATTATTGATAGATAAATAAAAGGAATATCTCATAGGCTGACTCCTGGCTTGGGTGAATGTGTACTGTGTAGTCACACTAGTTTTCTGTTTGAAAATTCAAGATCAGACACCCAAAGGTGCCTACAACAGCTGGTGTTGAGGCTGATAATTAAGCCAAACCAAATTATTGCAGGAAATTATTGTCAATATTTGAAACTGTTTTGTTTTTCCTCCAAGCTTTTATTACTGATAGTTGTTTCCACGAACTTCCACTAGAAATATATCATAAATTTAATTCCTTCATATTTCCTCCCTTTTGGGTTTTCCTAATTTGTGTTTATTTATTTATTTATTTTTTTTCAGGTGGGATCTCAGATAACATCTACACTTCAGTGTTGGGGTTTGTCAAATGCTGTGATCACAGAACTCACTTCCCCTCTGCTGGAAGTTCATCGAGCAGTTCAAGAGCGACATTACACCGTTCTGGTAGCAGCTGCTAAAGCCTATTTCCGGTTCCTCAAGATCAGTCATGGGGTAAGTGATTCCTTTATCTACATCCTTTGGTACAACAGTGGTGAATATGTGAAATAGATATAAACCTTAAGTTATGATGATTTTTGTGTATTTGTTGTACTGTACAGGGCGACCTTTTAAGGTGTCCTTGAAACCTCAGACAGGATACCTCATCATCAGTCAGGGATATTCATGGATATGTGGAGTGCAGGACAGGGCAGATACAACAGTGATTGGTGAGTGTTATTTGGGTAGTCCCCAGATCTCTTAAAGGAGGGGGGAAAGAGCAACTGGTGCACATGTCCTCTCATTACCTTAAAAGACTGACCCTACTTATGTTGGGGGGCTCAAGGACCCCATGATAACATATTTTGGTGAATATGAGCTGCCCCAATTCTAAACCACAAGGTAAATTTTTGACAGAATTCATGCAAAAAAGCTTGGCCTTCGATTTTAAGCCGTACCCTAAAGTTGGTAGGGATAATATCATATTCACATTCAAGAATGTTCAGAAAACAAGAGATACATACATCCTGTATATGAAATTGCATACACTGTACTTGTGTACTTATGCACATACAGTATTAGAATAGTTGATTAGGGTAACAAAGTTCTGGTGAAAAGTACACAAGTACATAACAAAAGGGGTAGATATGGCAACAGTGCCAGTAAGCAAAAAGGTATAGTCACTAGCAATGATATAACAAAAAGAAATATGTCGTCACAAATGTCTGTGAACACATGAGTCATGCCTGAGAGTGTACAGGTGTACCGCAATAACTGACGCATATAGGGAACGAGAAAAGTCATTGGTTAGTGAATCAACAGTTATCGGAGCAATTAATCCCATAAGAACATAACAAATACAGGGGGTTAGGGACTGGCCACACTCCAAAAACTTGTCTACCCTTGAAAATGTCTGGGAAGGCCAAGGCATCCAAAACAACTGTGTCTCTGAGGTGAAGCTTGACAGCGTAAAGCGGCCATGAGACTCCCCAGAGACTGTGTGGGAGTCAGAGTGATATCTTCACTCCTCCTACAAGAGTCCTCTTAGCCTCAAAGGGGACATGTGATGATGACCAGGTTTGTTCTTCATGATGTGGTGAGTGTTGTTTAATTGTTTTCTATTGATTTTATGAGTGTAGGAATTTTTTTGTTGGTAATATATGTGTGTTTGGGAATTGGCTGGGAACATATCCCATTGAAACCCATATTATAATGTTCACTATCTATGATATTTCACTTAGTAATGGGTTTTCAGGAACCTAACTCTATCATTTATCGAGGTTTACCTGTACATAAAAATATGATATTAGAACAAGAGTAACTGCCTGTAACTGTTTGCTTCCTAGACCTCAAGAATGGGTACGTATGTTCATCTTTTAATGCACAGGACAGAGATTTACACAATTCCTTTCCTAAATTTACCATGCAAATAATAATCTCCTTTTATTATGAAAACAAAAATAATAATTGTCAGGTTAATATCAATATAGTATATGAATTAATTTTTTATAGTATTACTACTTTTAGGGTTTCAGGCACAGTAGGTATGGCTCACAGAACTTCACTCTTGTAAACAAACTCACAAGTATACAACATGCAGAGTGATGATGGTAATGGTGGTACTGATGGGAATTTTGACTTAGGGTGAGGTAATAATGGTGGTGGGGATCGGTAAGAGGAGGCTCTAGAGTGTACAAGGAATTAAAGTAATAATTACACGTACTGTATTTTTGAGACCTTACTAAAATTTTATCTGATAGTAAGCAACACCCTCACCAGAAGAAGTGATTTCCATTTATCTTTTTCCTTAATTATTTCTCAGAATTGAATTACTGTATTGTTCTCAGTCATACCAGAAATCCAAGTTTCAAACACTTCTGCATAAATTATTTGCTAAGGTAACTACTTTTATTCATGGAATGGAAAAACACACACACATACTCTGGAAATACCTCATGGTCAGTGTGTTGTACCAGTATAAAGGCTAGCTGTGGTGTAATGGTCAGCATGCTCTCCTCACAAGTGAATGGACCTGTGTTTGATTCCTGGGCAGTGTGAAACTATGGGAAACTTTCTTTATGTCATTTTCCTCCGTCTAGCCAGCAGTAATTGAGGACCTGGATGTAAATCGGTTTGCAGATCGTGTTTTGGGTTAATGGTTAGCCAGTATACAGTGAGTTGTCCGGTCTTCTCGGATTATTCCTTGACACTGGGTCATGCAACTAGTTAACTTAGAGTGTGGTTGTTGTGTTGTTAACAGCCTCTACACCTTAGACAAATTCACACCTAGGTGGCCCTAAAGCCGGCCATCCTCGAACACGAGGGGCAACCATTATATAATAGAGAAGAGTCTATATAGCTTTTTGACACCTAATAAAAGCTATTATATTAGTGTTCCTTAATTTTCAGTTTACTGTGAGCCATGCAGACCAGTGTACAGTATCTACTTTACGTCTCCTGAGGCTTATGGTTAAACATGCCTCAGAACTTAGAGACGTGCTGGAAAAAGGACTGGCAGAAACACCTACACGACCATGGAAGACTATTATTCCACAGGTGCTACTCCTTTTTGTGTTTGATAAGTGTTTTTTGACTATGAATGGAGTAGAATATCTAAAAAAAACTAAATTTAAGGCAATTCCCAAAGGGATAGGTGTCAAGGGTTTCCAGGATGAGTTTCTACTTAGTAGATCCATCAGTAACACATGATGATGACAGTGTTCACCTGTGTTGTATTTTATTTCCAGAAGAATGAAGACAGATAAGAAAATATTATTTTATATACATTACCTGTACAGTACTTCTGTGTTCTTGACTTTTAAATCCAGGATTTAGGGTAGTACAGGGGGCCCCCAAATTCGCTGATTTTTATTTCGCGGTCCTCTATCATTCGTGGATAAAGTAATAAAGCACGGACTTGAGGGTAGACTCACATTTTTAATAAATTTGTTTCTGATTATTTGTGTGAGTATTTTCCCATTATTATTTATTTGTGTGTGTGTGTGTGTGTGTGTGTGTGTGTGTGTGTGTGCACATATACTGTACTGTATATACAATACAGGTAAAAGAAATAATTGTTCGAAGGGCAAACACATAAAGGGAATATACATTTTTTTGGTTATATGTATTATATAGTGAAGATTATGTGGGTGTGTTTGGGACTCACTTTCAGTGGATATGAAGTGGATCAGAATTACTATATGCTTTCAGTCAATTCAGAGTTCCAAATTTCTGCATTATCTCAGGAACAGAGCATTTATTGTCGACCATGGCTAACACTTCAAGTTTATCCTTCATGGTAAAGTTCTTTATGCTCTTTGTAGCTTTACCAACACGCAATTGCTTGTTCATGATAAAACAGGCACATTTACACTTAGTAATCTCCACACATAGTCTGAGTGCAGCATGATTGGGACCACATAGCCTGTACAATGTCACTCAATAACAATGACCTGCAAGATACACAAGATATTTGTTTAAATTTTAAATAATTTTTTCCATGACTTGTCTGGTTACTCAGATGGTCTGGTACTCGGGGCTTTTACTGTGTACTGTATGTTATGTTTTTTTAAGATGTTGCCATTTTTGTAAAGAAAACTATAGAATCTTAGAGAAGAAAGCATCTCAAGTAGTTGAGATGAATTAATATTGTTCTAATACAGGTACTGTATTTGTTTTTGAAATTGACTAACATTTTTTTCTTTCAGCTGTTTGCACGGTTGAATCATCCTGAGCCATATGTTCGAGGGAGCATTTCAGAACTTTTGTGTCGCCTAGCTGAGGACTTCCCACACCTTATTGTGTTTCCTGCAGTGGTAGGATCAGCTGGTGGAAATGTTGCTGCAAATCAGGCTTCACTAACTGGTATTTCAACTTGAGGTTTTCACAGTAAATTTCATTATATCTGAGTAATGAGCATGCATATTTTCATTTTCATTCATCTCATATCACTTGTGAGCCCCGTGTGATCACTTGAATATAGTATAGTGGGAGGATATATTAATTATAAGCTGAGACCCTTTCAAGCTGGAATATTTCTGCCAGGGGTAGTTCAGATAAATGGAGTGGAGCAACATTCCTGTAAATGATATTATTTTGGCTTAAGAAATGGAAACTTAGTACAGTATACAGTACAGTATATCAATCCACCATTTATTTCATTCCTACATATTTCTATTTTTCACACTGAACTGTTAATTATAGCTAATATCAGTAATTAATAAGTTTTACTGATGTATTAGTTACTGAAGGGATGTATCATTTTACAGATATGTTAGCTAAATATTTACACAAAGGAAAACTTAGGGGAAAAATGAAACAGGCACTTGGAGATGAGGATGAGGATGAAGAGGAAGAAGAGGAGGAGGAGTTTGACCAGGTAGAAGAAGAGGAAGAAGAGGAGGAGGAGGAGGAAGAGGAAGAATTAATATCAGAATCCACAGAGGAGCAAGAAAGAAGAACTCTGATGCGGAATTGTTTTTCTGCCTTGGTTGACACCCTGACAAAGCAGGTAAGGTTAATAATGAAATGATACATAAATAACAGTTACAACAAATGGTAGAATGCTTTTATATATATCCTAATTTTTGGCATTTTAGGGAAGACATTGTCTTCACATTTGTCTGTTTGTCTTTTACTGGAATAAACCCTGAAGACAGGCAGCTTTTGTAATACAAACTACTTGCTGGAGGATTGGGGGGTTCTCCATTCTATCCTCTATTATATGAGACAGGGTTGACTTGTTCACCCATTTGGATATGCCTGTTACCCCTGCTTCTCCATCACACCATCAGCCTCAAATAAAGACTAGGTTCAATAGTTCCCATGCATTGAAGGTTTTCCCTGAGCAGTTTTATCCAGTCTGCACACTTTTTAAGATCAGTCCATCATTTTGAAGTTCAGTACCTGGCTGACTGCTGACTTAGAGATCAGACACAGTAGATCAGCTCTTCTGTGACTGCTCATAGACTCTAAAACCTACTGTAAATATCTATCTCCTTTATGATATCCTAAAGATATGGTGCAGGGACTATCACAGTTCTAGTGTTATCATGTCGGTATGACTAATATTAGGTCGTAAGTGTATCAAATTGTAAGATTTATTTGTGTGTTTGACCAAACTCACCAAGTCTGTGATACATTAGTGTGATTTTTGGAGTGACTGGCCTTCACCTTGGGCCTATGATCCAGGCTTCATGTGAATGCACATCGGTCTACACTCTTTAGGCTTTTTACATTACCTCACCGTGGAATGCTTATTTTTGTGTAAGTAAAAGAAGGGGGAGTGATTCAGGAATGCAAATATTTAGTCCAGGAAGAGAGTCTGGAACCTGACTCCACAATTACTTCATAAAACTAGTCTTGAGATGCAGTTTATTTTTGTGTGCCAGCTAAAAGGCATTAAACCTCCATACAATGTGGTCAATTTAGTAATTTGTTTGTAAATTGTGGAAATGTATTTATTGATAATATTGAACTTATCATAACTTTGCTTTTCAGATTGGGTCCAGCATTAGTGAGGTGCAGATGCTTGTTCATGAGCTGCGACGCATTACTGTGCTGTGGGATGAGCTTTGGCTTGGAACATTGGCACAGCATCACAGCGATATGTCCAGAAAGTGTCACCAGTTGACAGCAGAAATAGCACGTCTCAACAACAACTCATCACTCTCACAGACAGAGAAACAGCAGCTTATTAAAAAGAAATATGACATTATATTTAAACCAGTATGTAAATTTTTTCAGTTACAACCGAGTGTTAATCTAAAATCTGCCAGGTTTTAGTTGGATAAGTAACTTAGGGATATTTGTGCAAATCTTTTTTGGGTCTTTTAATTTTCAGTATATGCTGTGTGGTACTATCAATAGTACACAATTCTTTTAAAAGACACATGGTGAGTTACTGCATTTTAATTGAATTAGTTTCCTTGAATATGTGATAAATGTTAAAATAACTTCAAAAATTTACAGTGATCACTAACTAGAACTAACAAACCTTTACAAAATTTTTGACTTTGTGGGCCAGTAACCCTCAGGCTATGGTATTGACAAGGCTGGTGGCTAATTCAGTGCATACCACCAGAGAATAATCCCACCATCCCTGCCATGTTATGCAGCTTGTTAATCCAGAATGCTACCACCAGAGCCATGGAACTTCTTGTATTAAGTGTACTATAATTTATTTATTGTACTGTTTATAGGTACAGTACTTAAGTATATCTTCACCTGTATTCGTATACAGTATGTACGTTATTATTGATTAATTATTAAAATCACCTTCCAGCTGTTGTTTGTGCTCGATCAACTTGCTGATATCACCTCCACCCCACCAGAGACGCCTAACGAACATCATTTCCACGATACATACGGCTCACAGATTTCTACAGCATTGTCTAATTTAAGGGAACCAGAGAGTTATTTTGATCCCCAGTCTGCTCTCTCAGGCTTACGGCAACTACATCAAGTAAGTTTGCCTGATATTTATTAGAAAAGAGAACCATTGACTCCATAAAATCTTCAAAACCACTTTTATAATACAGTGGTCCCTTGGTTAACGAATACAATTCGTTCCAGAAGGTAGTTCATAAACCGAAAATTTCGTTAACCGAAACCATTGTTTCAATGGGATTTTGGGTAATTGGTTCCAGCTCACTGAAAATTACATACAAAGTAAAAAAAAAATGCAGTAAAGTACACTTACTTTGAGGTGTGTATGTAGAAGGCTCCTGGTTGATGATGATGGGAATTAAAAGTGGGGGTGCAGGAGAAGGGAGAAGAGAAGGAAGTGGGGGTGGAAGAGAAATCACCCCATGCTTGATGCCATCATTTCACCCATAAAATTTTAAGTTCACTAGGTGTAAATCATGATTATTTTCTCTAAATCAACACTGCACTGCACTATATATTGTCAATTTGTTAAATAAATTTCAGAATGACCAATAATTGTACTGTAAAAATGTAAAAATACTCTGTGTTCAAGAGACCCACAAGCAAGATGTTTCCTCCACTGAAAAGAGATACAAACTGAGGCCTTGGTGGGTGAGTCAAGTGGCTGATGGGCACACCAAAAGCTAGTTCCCTGTACTGCAATTATGTTAAATAAGTGTTAAAATGACGAAAAAAATTAATATAAAACTTGGAAAATTATTGAATAGTACAACCTTCTTGATATTTACTCCAATATTAATGAATGTAAGCCCTAGAACCGATTTCTGTATTGGCGGACTAATCTTCCAGCTGGTGAGCAAGCCAAAGCATATTGAAACATTTTCGTAAGAATTTCGTTAACCGAATTTTTGTTCGTTAACCGAAATGAAGATTCTTATGGAAGGTAATTCGTTAACCGAAATTTCGTTAACCGAGGGACCACTGTATTGAAAATTTAAAGATTTGCCAAAAGTAAATCAAACTACTATAACAGTCATGTACAGTCCCCTTCATAAGTGTGTTTACTGGGGTTGTCAGTTTTTGTGCAGTGTGCAACGCTGTATTTGTTTACATTCGACAGAAACTCGCAAGAGTAAACGTACTATGGAATAAATTTAAAACAATATTAAAACACTGTAAACACACTAGTGAAGGGGACTGTACATGGGATGGGACCGCCTGCCTCAGTGCAAACAGTATACGTGTGTCGGACACTCAGTCAGGGGCTACGATCTACCACGTAGCTTTTTCCACTTGTTTTTCCAACGTTGCCAAGTGTTTGAAACATTTTGTCTGACAACCCTAAAACTGGTACTGTACTTAGAAATGTAAAAATTTTTATCGGGGCAGATGACGGAAAATTACTGTTGTTTTGATTATTTTTCCCTTGGGAGAAGGTGTCCCTCGTTATTCATAAGCTCTAGAGCCCCTATGTTTTTTTCTTTACTGTATTCTTGATTGCTTGTTGTCCCAACACATATTACACATACCACCATTTTTTTCACTCTATTTTCGTGCAAAATATTGGACAGTTAGCTGCAGCAAACAAACTAAAAGAATAAGTTTTATTCAAGTGTGACTTATCAATCCCACCAAACTAGATGCACTATGGTTGTCTCTCAATTGCTTTGTTAGTGCCCATTTATTGGAATATTCTCACCAAGATGAGATTCAAACCAACCACTTATTGGTTCCCTTGTTCTCACTTGACATTTGCATTTGTGCTATCACTAGGGATGCATCCAGCTAGGCTACAACACAAAATAAATAAATGTCTGCTCTGACCTTGCCACAGTACAATGTCAGAACTGGCAATCTGTCAGGTTTTTATTGTAATTTGATATATTATAGTTATAGTTTTATCATGTTAGGAAAGTTTTTGTTGTTCATTAAGTTAATTTTCATTACTTTATGAGGTTTAGCTTGCTGATTTCACCCCCATGAAGATAAAAATAAAATGAGGTTGAAGGTGGGTAAAGATTATATATTTAACTTAATCCTGTCTTCTCATCCATTGTAATATTGTGGTACTCTACTTCTCCTGGATAATGAAACAAGGTGTTGATGGAGTGCTAAAGGCGATTTTAATTAGGTTTTCTTATTTCTTAATATTTTATTCTTTATTTCTTTCTAATTTTTGACAGATGCTTCAGCAAAAAGCTCACCGTAGAGCATCATCAAACCTGAAAATGGTTGACGTATCCCCCAAATTGGCAAACCTTCACAACACCAAGATTGCCATGCCTGGTGTGGTGTCTGCCAGTCAACAGGTAAGGAATTTTGTAGCTTGACACTCTTTGTCAAGTAATTGTTGTTTTACACTAGTCAGTAAAGGGGACTTGATCATTATGCCTTGTGCCCCAACCTTGCCTCCCTTAACCCCTTTGCTCCAAGGGGCTGGTATGGCACTAAACCCCCTATTAGAGGTGCCATATTTTACCTGTACATAGCTTACAATGTTTAATTTCTAAGTCATATTACCTTATTATACTTACTGTTGGTTTGTCCCTCTTTTATTTCTTATTTTTCTGTGAATATTTATAATACAGACACTCCCTGGGTTATAGATGGCTTCTGTTCTTGGAGGCCATCTGTAAGGCGGAAGTTACCCTTCCATAGCCATAGGTAATCATTGAACACACGCAGTACACATAATGCATATATAATTAATGTACAGGTATGGAACCATTTATCCAGCAAGCTTGGGACTTTGGGGTTGTTAGGCCTAAAATGTACAGTAAAACCTCTGTAACTGCCTGTGAAGAATGTTCAGATCACTAGATTCATCCCTAAAAATATCTTTAACTGTGTACACTGTAACATTAACCTGTTGGAAGTCAATCACGGATATATCCGTGATAAACAATAGGTGTCAGCTGGCATCGATCGCGGATATATCCGTGATGAAAGGTTACTAATCCCTCATGGCATTACATGCAGTACTAATAGCTTGATTTTTATGAAGTGTTTCAAGCACCTCTAGACCTATGTTTTGACATCACTGCTAGCTGATGTGTCTCTGTTGCAAATATTACGTGTTATTGTTGGGAAATGTGATAAATTACAATAATATTAAGTCATTTATAGATTTTTTTTTTTAGAAAATCAATATATAGCATTTTTTCACACCCATATGTACTCAAGCATGCCCCAATACTCATACATCGCTGATCCGGTGACTGCACATGTGTGTTTCCAGCCAAATCGTTACAATAACAATTACGTAGACTTGGTGAATATGATAATAATGTACTTAACGAGTGTCACATTGATCACTGCAATATATCATTATGAGTTGTGGGCTAAAAATAGAACATACGTACAGTGATGTCAAGAGTACAGTATACTGTATTGGGATATCATAGTGTTCCACTAATGACACAGAGCAGTATTTCACAAGATATTCCTGGTACATCCTCTGGTGCACTGCTTGGTGTTCTAGTAGCTACATCATGGTACAGCCTGTGACTGAAAAGGCTTGGGGTTTAATTTTACAATCACCCATCCCTTCTCATCACAGTTATCACCCTCAGTAAAGAGAGATTGAATGCTCCTTCAGCATATCCCCACTTTATTGAGAAGAGTTTAGCACTTTCTGTTCTATGCATTTGGCATGTTTCAAATATTTTGAAGGAAGTCAGATGCATGTCTGTATTTACTTAACTTTGTCTTGCAGGTAATCACTGTGGCTGCTGTTGATGGGAATATCTCCATTCTACCCACAAAGACAAAACCCAAGAAGCTTAGTTTTCAGGGATCTGATGGCAAAAAGTAAGTGAATGATTCTTATGCAGCAGTAGTAAGCTCATTAACCCCGTAATGTTCATGACTCATATGTCAGTCACAAACTGGTTTTGTCCAATTTGATCAGTGAATGATATGCATCATAGAAATGAAATTATTTGCCATAAGCTAAGTTTTCATCCTAGGAGTGTCATATTTTAGTGTGTCAAAGAGAGGAGCCTTCACTCCCAAGGTAAGTTACCAATTAGTGTTTAGTGAGTTAGGCTTGGCAGTGTATAGATGGAATATTTTCAGAGTTTTTTTTAGCAGGTAAGCTGTCCTTGGTTATGGTTCCTTTAAATAAAATTCCCATCATCATTGCTTCCCTGCACTCTTGGATTTCAGTGAAATTGACTATACAGGCTCTCCTCGACTTATGACGGGGTTCCTGACCGACAACCAGGTCGTAAGTCGAATTGGTTGTAAGTCGAAAAGGCGAAAATAATACATAGAAAATCTAAAATGGGTGTCTCTTTTTCTTCTCAGCACCACGAGAACTCTCACTTTTACGATTGCCAGCCATTTTAAAGGGAAATATAAACGAATATTTTGTCAGTACACAGCGCGATCACTAACGTCGGGAATTGAAAATATATAATTTGAAAAATATTTTATATGACTGCAGCGGTCGTTTGTGTGGGTGGTTGTAAGTCGAGGAGTACCTGTAATGTTGTTGCTGTTTTTTGGTGATTTCTGAAATGCTATTTGAATATTCAAACCATGATAACAATCCTGTCTCACCAATGTTATTCATATTCATGCACTTCTTTGGGGGTAAGCCTATCAAGTGACCGGTCGGATTTCAGTGTTGTTATCATGAAATAGTGCTTTGTGTTATATGAAAGTTAAGATAACACAGTGAAAAACCTTCAGGTATACTTCTCCTCCTACCTTATCCCCTCTCCAGTTCCTGATGCGTGCAGCCTTGCAAGAACACATAAATGTTATTATTTTTTCTTCAGGACAACACATACGGTATATTGGTGCAGTGATCTAAAGATATTTTTCTTCCCAGGTACACCTACCTATTTAAGGGTTTGGAGGACCTGCATCTAGACGAGCGTATCATGCAGTTTCTTGAGATTGTCAACACCATGTTAGCAAAAAATCAGAGGTAAGAATATTAAACAAAAAAGTGAAGGAATTGGACCAATCAGAATTTTTTGTATTACAGTATTAGTAATTCAAAGATAATTGTTCACAATAATATGTGTTGACTCCATGGTGGATTTTGTAATGGAGGCATGGATCTTTGCACGAAAACTTGGAAAATGCACAGTATAGCACAAAGGAAAATTCTATGAAATATTTTATTATGAAAAAGAATTAAACATCTTCAAAAGGCTCTGCTGAGTGATGCTGGTTTGTATGAAGTGAAGGTGATAAACCAGATGGGTAACTTGGGGCCATGTTATGAACACAGGACACCACAGAAGAAGACATCTTGCACAGTAGTTAGAATGATTGACAGCAAATGAAGGGAAAGCCTGTGTGTGCTCTTGATTCAGATCACTCAGCAGCATGATGACAGAAAGAAGGTTGTAATTGAAAAAAAAAAATGTTTGGTTATTAATTATGCTTGTCATTCTTAATCCTATTTAATTTTCTCCAAGAATGTAAAAAATATCAGTACCAGACTACAGCAATTACATTTGACTTGTATTTCTTAACGTGGGCCAGGTAAAATATTAAAAGTGGTGTCCCCTTAATGAAGGGATTAATTGGCAGCTAAGTATCCCCCCACCTACCCCAATATGTGCAAAAAATGGAAAACAAGGAATATTAAACTTCCACTTGTAAAATCAAGTAATTTATTAGCCTTTAGCTTGCAGTAATCCTTGAAAACTTTACCAAATTATTGCTATAAACTCTTTTCGTCTCGTTTTACAGAGGCAAAGATTGTGTTTACCGAGCACGTTACTACTCGGTGGTGCCACTTGGACCACGATCAGGGCTTATCCAGTGGGTTGGTAGTGCTACACCTCTGTTTGGTCTCTACAAGCGCTGGCAACAACGTGAAGCTCATGCCATGTTGCTGAAGACTCACTCCTCTGCAGTGTCTATACACCCTCAAGGTTTGTTCTATATTTTTTGTCTTAGTTGAACCATTTTAGGATTATTATTTGGACAATTAGAATGAATTACAGTACATATAGGAAAAGGCTGTGTTTTTTCTTGAGTTCACTACAGTAGAACGTCGATATAACAGAGATACGTTCCAAGAGAGGTCGCTTTAAACCGAATTCGCACTAAATCGAAGTGTTGTTTCAATGGAATAATTTAGTTTGGGACTTGAAAGAAATGCAAAATACTAAATAGACTGAGAGTCTACTCAGATGCACCTCAGCCCATCTCCTAGAATAAACAAAACATTGTTTTTTGTAGTATTATGTTAAAACAAACACTCATAAATCAACACAGCTAAAATTAAGGGATGTGAAATGGTCTGTTTACTGGCTGGGAAGATGGGGGGGGGGGAGAGGGAGGGAGGTGAGGTAAGGTGATATGTTGACAGCTGATGCCAAGGTCTAGTGCTTATTTATCTGTTCTTAAGAGTGATTTTAAGTTTTTCTCTTATAAAATGTCACTGAACTGACAAGGGAGAATATAATTAACATTGCTGGAATTCTTATAAGATTATGATTAATTTGAATATAAACATGCTATAGCTCACATTAGATATACAAATTTTAGTTTAATTTAAGAATTTTATTACATAGAGCAAAAATTTTTATCTCTTGGGAAAATGGGGGGGGGGGGAAGTGACAGTGACATGTTTGACAGTTGATGCCGAAGGTCTAGTGAAGTATTTATTTGTTTATTTATGCCCTTTAGCTTGAGTTTATGTTTTTTGCTTATAAAATGTCACAGAAGTGACCAGGGAGAAAACAATTTACACTGCTGGAATTCTTATAAGATAGTGATTAATTTGAATATAAACATGCTATAGTTTGCACGAAACAAAAATTTTATTAATTATTTAGTACATTATTTTGAGTACATGTACAGTACAGCTTTGCCCTTAGGACAGTGTAGCATGCCTAGAGAAACATTAGGCGCAAAATTTTAAATATGATGCGCCAGATTGGCTCTTGCAAAATAGGAAAGATTCGCTTAAAATTAAAACATTGTTCATAATTGTGGGTGTCGCTTTAAATCGACGTTCTACTGTAATTTGCTTCATGACAAAGGAAGGCTTGCTGGAGGGGAATAAGGAAATGAGAAAGACTAAACGGGTCCTACAATGATCTGCAGAATGGATGATTCACATAAGAAGAAGCACTGTAGACTCAAAATTTTAGAATTTTGCCACTTATTACCAGATATATATAATGTTTGATAAGGTTATTCTGTTCTTTGTCCTTGAATGCTACAAACTTCTGAATGACTACAGGTATTGGGAATTCAATTCTTGCCAAGTGCTCACCTGGGGAACACCTTCTTGTTTTTAATCAGTCAATGTCTACTTGCAGCTCCACCACAGGTTCCGCGACCCTCAGAATTGTACTACAACAAACTGACTCCTCGCCTGCAGGAAGCTGGTATTAGCTTAGATAACCGGAAAGAATGGCCACTGGCTGTAATGCGAGATGTGCTGAAAGATCTTATCAAAGACACCCCTTCAAATTTGCTCTCTAGGTGAGATGTCTTGCTGTTACTTAATGTTTGGTAGTTTTCCCCTTCACTGGTTGAGTAGAATATTGTTTTATTCATACAAAAATTTGCTCTGTGTGGATTTTTTTTTTTTATCAAGAATGGATCTTAATATTATAGATAGTCAAGCTTTGATCAAAAGTTCCAGGACAGAACTTATTAGGCCTAATGCACAATGAGTTAATTCCATAAGAACACAAAGGCAATCAGTTTGTTTTATTTAGATAATCTGAAATGCCTTAACCCCTAGGCCCCGGGTGATGTTCCAGAACGTCCACCTATTTTCCGTGTTTTTTTTTTTTTCCGATTTATCCCTGTGGGAAGGGTACTGCCAGCAGCACCCTAACCCAGGGCTTAAGGGTTAAGAGTCTAGATGTGGCTTGATACAAATGAACTGAAAAATATAATGCAAGAATTGAATGCCATACCAAAAGTGCCAGAGGTGCTTTAACAAATGACAGGATTCCTGGAATCACTGTGTATAATCAAGGGAAGACTTCAGTATTTTTAAGGTGATAAATATGATTAACTGTATGACCTATAGTTTAGCAAAAAATAAATCTGTCCATAAACTTTTTGATGAAACTTCATATATTATACATGGTGAAAATATTTGTATCATAATTATTAGTTTTTGTATTTTTTTTTCCATACATGATAATGTAACAGATTTTAATCAAATATAACATCTGATGAATTGTTATTGATGGTACGATTGTGAATAAACTCCATTGGTTGTGCAGTTGGTATGGATGTTGCTGCCAGCATTTGGTAGAATCTGCCTTCCCTCAATGCTTTTGGAGATGCACTGAGTGTGAAGGCTTTGTCTGTTGGAAAGATTGTCTGGTTCTCTTAATTTTGATAAAATTAAATTCTTTTTTAAAACAAATTTTTCTTATAACTTGTACATTTGTTAAACTGAAATAGGATAAATATTATTTTTTATAAAATACAGTACAGTTATTATATTGGAGGCCATTATATGGTTAAACACATGTTGAACACTGTTGTGGATTATATTAAAAGACACTTGGCTACTGTTGATAATAATGATGAAGTTTTTGTTTAAATCTATAATGGTCTATTATGTTTTATCACAGAGAGTTGTGGATGTGCAGTGTAAGTGCAGGAGATTGGTGGCACCTCACACTGACATACTCCATCTCAACAGCAGTCATGTCTATTATTGGTTATATCATTGGGCTTGGAGACAGACATCTGGATAATGTCCTTGTCAATCTTACTTCAGGAGAGGTAAATGACTTTTTTCTTTTAAATATTTACTAAAAAAGATGTTAACCAGCACAGATATCCAGCATTTCTCCTATATTCATTTGTAAAGTTCTGTACAATACTCCATTTTCAATGAATTAATATCTACAGTATTTATCAGTAATGAATATCTGAAAGAAATTTTTTCTCTCTTTATAGTATCCATAATTTTTCTTCTAGGTGGTCCACATTGACTACAATGTGTGCTTTGAAAAGGGCAAGAACCTCCGTGTGCCAGAAAAAGTTCCCTACCGGATGACTCACAACATAGAAGCAGCACTTGGGGTCACCGGAACTGAGGTCAGTGAATTACATATTTTGTGAAATACAGTACAGTACAGGTAATTCCTTATGCTCTAATAGTTAAGAAGAAAAGGAAAAATAGACAAAACCTCTTTAATATAATTTGTTAATGAATACCTGTATATTAAAGTTATGAGCTAGAAAGGAAAGTATGGTACTCATTTAAACTCAGAAATTATATGTTCTGTACAGTGGTCCCTCGGTTAACAAGCACAATTCGTTCCAGAAGGTCGATCGTTAACCGAAAAATTTGTTAACCAAAACCATTGTTTCAATGGGTTTTTGGGTAATTGGTTTCAGCTCACAGAAAATTGCCAAAAGTCGACAAAAAATGTAGAAAAGTACACTTATTTTGAGGTGTGTATGTAGAAGGCTCATGGATGATGATGATGTTGATGATGGGAATTAGAATGGGGGTGGAGGAGAAGGGAGAAGAGAAGGCATTGGGGTGGAAGAGAAGTCACCCCATGGTGCCATTTCACCCATAAAATTTTAGTTTACTTGGTGTAATTCAAGATTATTTTCTTTAAATCAACACTGCACTGCATTATATATTGTCAATATGTAAAATAAATTTCAAAATGACCAATAATTTGACTGGAAACACAGAAAAAAAGCGTTTATGTTGAAGAGAGTCTGAAGCAAGATGTTACCTCCACTGAAAAGACACAGAGACTGACACCTGTATGGTGTGGTGACAGGCTGTTTGGTGCACTAAAAACTAGTTTCCCTGTACAGTACTTAAATTATGTTAAATAATTGTTAAATTGACTAAAAATGTTAATATAAGACTTTTAAAATTATTGAATAGTGCAAACTTCTTGATATTTACTCAAATAGTAAGGAATTTAAGCCCTAGAACCGATTACTGACAGCTAGTGTGCAAGCGAAAACATGTTGAGGGGCGCTCGTAAGGAATTCGTTAATCGAGGGAATGCTTGTTAACCGAAGTTAAGAATCTTATGGAAGGTAATTCGTAAACCCAAATTTCGTTAACCGAGGGATCACTGTACATAAGGTGTCAGAACTACATAACAGACTGAGAGGGGTGGGTGTATGTACGTAAGGGAACAGTAATACAATTGACCCTCCTACAACATGGTTTTTTCATACACATTTTTGTCCTAATGTTTTGTGATAAAATTTCTTTATACTTCAGGGTGTCTTCAGAAGTGCTTGTGAACAAGTGTTACGTACTATGCGCCGAGGGAGAGAAACACTACTAACACTCCTGGAAGCATTCATATATGACCCTCTAGTAGACTGGACACCAGACAGTGAATCAGGATATGCTGGTAGGAAATTAAATTACTTCTGTTCATAACTTGTTTACTTGCACTGAAGGAGCATAAATGGCAAGGAGATTTAAGATATGTTTTTAAGTGATCCCCAGTATTTTTTTCCCTAAATTAAATTTTTGTAGGCATACAGTACATGATCTTCAAATTTAAATAGGTTATTGATGACTTGATGTGTAGGTAAAACTGGATGTCTTAAAGGTATAACCTTTGGGGATAATATGATTTCCAGTCTTTCCCCATCATTTTCCCAGGTGCTGTGTACGGTGGTGACCAGGCACTAGTATCAGGTGCACGGCAAAGTCGGCAGCAGCTTGAGCGTGGCCTCACCCTTAGCATGTTTGCTGTCAGGATGGCAGAGATGAAGGCTGACTGGATAGCCAACAAGTGAGCTCACCTTCATGTTGAAACTTAAAGTTCATAAGTACTCTTATTATAAAGATTTTAAAACTGAATGAATTATTTCTAATTCTTTTGATTAACAGTACGTATAATGGTGTAGTAAATATGAGGCGTCTAGCATCGCACAGATGAACTAACCAAAACATAGTTTTAAGTAAACAAGTTTCAAAGTTTTATGACTATAAAATCCCACAATGTCATCAAATATTGATAAAATTGGCAGCAGTTTTCCCACCCATGTGGCTGGCATGTGATGATATGGCAGATGATAACAATTTTCTGAACTCCCGGAACATTTGTTTACAGACCTGGAATTGAGATAATTTTGCCGGAAAAAATTTTGGGCCGATTTCAGTTCTGGCAATTTGAGAGTTCCGGAGATTCTGGCTAACAGAGAGATTACTTATATACTGCATTCATGTATACAGTAAACCGATCTTATACGAGTGTATAGTTTGACCAATGATTTTTTGGTAAAAATATCCTGAGTTTTTCATATATCTCTTGTATAATTTATCCCTAGCTTTTGAGAAATACCTGTACTGGGTATAATCCTAAACCTAACTTGTAGCAACACACCAGATCCACACCAACAAGTCTTGACTGTGACCATCACCACAACAGCTGATGCCGTGCACAGTGTTACCAACTCTGAAACTGCATTCCCGCCAGTTATCAACTCCAATGAGGAATAAGATAAAATAATTTATACCAGTAAATATGAGGACTAAATAAGAAATTATGCTAGTAAATAAAATAAAACAAAAAATTACTCTACAGTATTCCAATTTGGCTTCTGGACGACAAAAATTTTCGTTGTTACACTACACAAGGAAGACAGCTCAGAATAGCTGACATCCCTTACTTTCCCTGTATGCTTAGTGTGAACTCTTAATACACAAAGAATGTTTATTCCATTTTTGGTTTGACCTTATTATTTTTTTCTTCACGTTCCGTATAAGATTGTGTGTGCATATAACTTAGTAAAAAAAAATAAGAAAATTATGGACTGTACAGTATATTTACCCAAAATTACAAGTTAAAAAATAACCATAACATAGTTGACAGTTTGGCCTGGACTGGCAGGGGGAGGGCTAAGGGGATGTGGCTATAATAACAAGTCTGATGCCCTTATTATAAATATAAAATACTGAAAAACAAATAAAAATTACAAATAAAAACATAAGGAATATTAGCACATGTAATGTAACTGGCTACATGGTAAGTCACATGGCTGAAGGATGTACCCAAGAATGTCTGTGGGTAGTTTTAAAGTTGCCGGCATTTTTGCGGCTGGGACAGGGAGCCATTTATTCTAGAGACAGTAATTTCTTTTACCTGTATTGTAAATATGTGAGTGTGTGTAGACAAACACATACAAATAATTATAATTGGAAAATCCTCTCACAAATAATCGGAAACAAATTTATTAAAAATGCGACAGTAAAAATGTTGCTCGCGGATTTGGCGATTCGCGGAAATTTTGAGAACCTAACCCCTGCGAATTTGGGGGGCCCCCCTGTACCTCCTTTCTCAGCATTCATAAACCATGCCGCGTCAAAAAACATTTGTATACAATCTATGGTAGATGAAAAAATGCAGCTAAAACCATTAAGGAAAAGCTGCTTTCCTCAACACTCACCACAGCAATGCAGCCGACACCCTAGCAACCCCCTCCCCCCAACACACTCCGCCGCTCCTGCAGCTTGACCTCCTAACTCACACACAAAGAATTGTATATCTTATGAAAATTATTTATTTTACATTTTTTCATAATATGTATGTAGGATTGTGTGCACATACAATTGAGTAAAAAAAATGAAGAATACTGTATAATTTTTATCTACTCGAAATTACGAGTTGAAAAATTACCATAACACCTCACAGCTTGGTAAAGTTACCTTACTACGAGCATGTCCCGGGTAGCTATTGTAAATGACCCGGGGAAATGCATGAATTGTAACCCCTCAAAATTACTATGCATAAATATAGTTCAACCCCCCTACTTTTGCATAAAAAATTGATCATAAAAGTTTAAATTATACTCGAGTACTGTTTATACGGTAAGTCGTGCAAGCATGGAAAATGGCCATGAGATAGTGACGATGGTAATGTTGCACAGCTTTTGAGTCCCTTTTCTATGTACTAATTTGTTAGATTAATTTCTATTACACATCTTCTTTCAGGATGGAGGTATTGGCTGCAATCCCTGAGGTGGAAGGAAGTCTTGGTGAGTGGCAGAAGTCTCATGAAGAACTTGCTGAAGCAGAGGCCAACTTACAAGATGGACATCACCTAATGGCAGTGCTTAAGGTTATTATGCACTGCACAAAACATTTCTGTGCCATAAAACTTTGCTAACTTATATAAGTAGGATAAATCACATGCACAAGTAATACCATCATGAATTAAATAACAAATGTTAAGTGTAACTTGTAGGAAGATCAAGTTGCATCATAACTGCTGATTACATTTATTGATAGTGTAGGGAAATGGGTCTTGCTTATAATAAAGTGCACCAATCCTTGTTGGAATACCCCTTAAGTGAATTATTGCATTATTGACAGGAAGCAGAAGCCAACCCACAACATAGTTTATACAGTCTGAGACCTCGCTATGAAGAATACTCAATGGTGAAGAAGTCCATTGACCATGCCAAAGATCTTGTCAATGCCCGTGTCTTGGAAGTAAAGCAGTGGCACAACCTATACCTGGTAAGATGATTACATCATTTTATGACCTTAATCCTCTCATTGTCTTTTGATGCAGATTGCATTGCTGAGCACTCCTGTCCTGGGCTAACCCCTCTCACTCAGCTGTATCTCACACTGAGAGAACCCCTCCCATAAGCAGAAATGCTGGAACAGTGGATCAGACCTATCAACCACCTAAGTTCCTCCCACTAGCCTTGTGGGCCAGCTGATGTATCTCTAAGGGTGCAATTTGGGTCTGGATCACTCTACCCAATGTTAACTAAAATGGAAAAACTGTTCCTATTACCGACTGCGAGGGGATGAATTTGTAAACGCTATTTGTGTCAAAAGACCATGAGGGGTTGAGATTTCTGACCATAGGCAGCAATACTCAATTTCATAAAGATTTATTTTGAAATTAAATTTCATTTAAAATATTTATAAGATCCCATCATCCCCCCCCCCTCCTTTTTTATACTCCCAATAATTTTTATGTGTATTTGTCTGTCTCTTTATGAGGGGAATTTTTTGTATAAGGAAGACAAAGTTATAATTCTGTGCTTTAATAACCCATTTATAAACATCTTAGAGAAACTGAAGGAAAGGAGAGGAGAGGGAAGTAGAATTTCCCCTAACCCTAGGATATAACCCCCATTACCAATACTATATACAGTATCAGACTCATTATCAGGGTTGGAAATTTTCAGCAAATTAATTCATATACAGTAGAATCCTAGTTATTTAGCACCTACAGGGATTGAGAAGTGCCAGATAAAGAGATTTTCCGGTTAGTTGAACCTCATTTTGGATCCCCCAAATTAATCCTACAGTACACAGTGCTACAGGCTGACCTCACAAATTTGTGTCTGAGTAAAAAGACTGCATTGCTTGAACATATTTTCATTATTACTTTGAAGAAAATTACAAAAAGGGTAAAATTTTCCATAGTCTTAGAAATAACTTCTGATAACCAGTTCATACCGGTACATTTATTCTGATTTTAACCCTTAGACCCTGGTCATTGTAAGACCCACCGAACCCCCCGGGTTAATCAATATAAGAAAAACACCAGAAGAATGTGCGGTACTTGCATTCAAATTTCATTGTAGCATGGTTGGAGAGTTGTCTAGTGTTGATGAGCTGTGTGGAGTGATGAAAGCTGTCTTGTTCAAAACTACTGCGCACAGTCCACAGTGAGCGGGAAGTGATGTTGACACTCACTTGCTACACACAGTTCTTACTTGAAGGCCTTTTTAAGTCATATTTCTATCATACAGTAAAGCTATTACAAAACACAAAATATTTATATTTTCCTCAACAGAATTATAAAATACTGAGCAGTAGGAATATTTAGGCAGCCCAAAACTTATCACTTTTTTCAAATATATACACTATTTACATAAATACAGTATTTTACGGCATAAGATGCACAGTATTTATGAAAAAACTTTTGTGTGGATTTTCCTCCTGTAGCCATAGTTTTTGTAAAATAATATATACAGTACCAGTTATTGTGAGGAATAAATAAAAATAATACCAATAAATAAGTTACAACAAAAAATTCCATAGCCAAACCAGTAAATAAAACCCAAATGAAAGCTTTAACACAGTCGCCATTTGCATATAGTCCCTGCTTCTCCATAGTAACAAAGACTAGTTGGGACGCCGATTCCCTAGCAATGTCCCCCCTCTCCCCTCCTCTCCTACCCCACATGCCTCGCTGCCACCTACTCCCCCGAGCCAGCTAACTCATGTGCAAAGAAATGTATATTCCCTTTATGTGTTTGCCCTTAGGACATCTTATGTGCCATGAAATACGGTACTTATACTGAATTTAGAACTTCTTGATCGTGTGGAAGTCTTTGTAGCATGGGATGCACAAGGCAACTAACTCCACACTCCTTGCACCAAGTCGTGGCGGGTGGGGAGGGGAGGGAGAACCAGTCTGTAGGTCTAACTGTCCTCACTGCCTCAGCAAACTCGACATCATCTAGGTCCTGTTTCCTCCTCATCATTGTCATCGTCACACAATACTATAGCAATGCCACTCAAATCAAGCAAAGCAACTCTTGATGAACAGCACTACTGTCCTCACTGCCTACGCTTGCGATTAGGTGTGGAGGAGTGAGGTGGGTCATCAGAGTGGTCTAAGGACGTGCATCCCTCACAATGTCTGGTGGGTAATTAACCATGAGGCACGAGTCTTGAGACATATACACATGAGTTGAGTTGCCAAGTACATAAATATCCCATGCAAAGTATTTCCTCCAGCCTGGAAATTCAAAATGTGCCCCGAAAATTAAGAACGTTCAGGAACATCACCCTGGGTTTAAGGGTTAAGCTTTTTCCACATTTATCCTGGTTTTTGGGAACACATTATATTTGTTCTAATTTTGAGCAACATTTGTATTTTCACATATTAAGCAGCATGTGTATGTGTTCTATTTTTCAGACTGCCGCTAGAGTTTTTGAAAGTGGACAGGCAGGTGAGTGGCGAGGAAAGGTCAGCAGCATGGGGAGTCTCCAGCCTAGTGTGGCACCCGTAAATGAGTTCTTAACCAAGGCTGGTCAAAGTCAACTGGCCACACAATGTGAACATACAGAAGGTTAGTTTGAGAAATCCTTTATTACTCCACTTTATGATCTTTTGAATAAAGCACGTGGTTGATAGGTGATTGTAGTCTTGCAATCATAGTTTGAAGCTTTGTTAATAGTTTTTTGTTTCCTTTAGGTAGTTACAAGCAAGGGTATACCCACAGTTTAAAAACTTAAGAGTACATTACTGCCTCTTCTTCCCCCTCCCCCACTGCACCATACCAGACACAAGCAGTCCATCCACATAACCTCACACTCCAGTGGTTTCAACTGTATTTTCATATACTGTAATTCATAATACAGTACACAGGTGCACATAAAATTTTGTCACTACCAGAAAAGCATCTTAAGTTCACAGAAATAGAGGGAGGGAGGGAGGCAGGATATACAGTACACAGTAGGAGTACTATAAAAGTCAAATGGATTTCATAGTGTATAAGATAGTGGATTGGAAATTGTTAGTTAAGTTTAGCATTAAGGTTATTTGTGATAAAATGACAATATGAGTACAGTAAGAAGGATGAGAACTTAACTTCTCATAATTCACTAATTTGAAAAGTTTCAGAAGCCTTTTAACTTTTCTTTCTATGAAATATTTGTCCTCTATTCCATGTTTGCTGATATCACCTTTCATAGTTGTGTCACTCTGTAATACATAGAGTTTTTCCTTCTTTTCTTCAAAGTTGAGTTAGGGAAAGTGATAAATCAAGTGCAAGGTGTCCTCAGTAGCAGTCTAGACCTGCTGATTAAATATGGAGGTGTGTGGGTCAATTACCCTGCTGACCACTTAACACGCCACCGCCTCTCACAGCAGCTGGTATGGCTCGCCTCCCTTCTTCAAGATTTTTCATTGAATAAGTAAGTGCTCCTCACCCCCCCTTTTTTCTCGCTCTCTCTCTACAGGCTTCTTGTTGTAATACAGGGTGGTAAGCCAAGGGCTGATCCTCTAATTTGTAACACATTATATTGCTAGTTAATTACCCCACCACATTGGTAGCATGTTTGTTCATTCACCAAAAGGTTGTTCAACCATCAGCAAGTACACTTGATGGTGCATTCATATTATTGCTGAATGTGCAAGGGTTGAGGAAACCAATTCCTCCACTGTGTCCATGAATCAAACCTGTAACTTTTACTTCTGAGAGGAATGCTGTACCACTGAGCTGCAGGGTCAGACCTTCTTAATGTGATATAATAAAGAGGAAGGCAGAAATATATTACCTTTCCTAAACTACTAAAAACTGAAGAAAATCTACATGTACAGTACTTTCCTAAGATTAACATGATTCACAGTTAATATATACGATAGATATAAGATTTCCCTAAGTTTATGTACAGCATATGTCATGTTATGTTTTTACATACCTTTTCATAAGATAAATGCAGCAGATAGTTACCTGTGGAGGTTTTGTTTATCCCTCATCTCTGCAAGTCAGTTATTACTATGATGCAAGTGGCTGAAAGCAAAAGCAAACACAGAATTTTTTAATACTATTGGTTCTTTCTTTTGTTGTGTTGTATTTAGTACAGCTACCTCATCTTCAGTCATTGACATTATTCACAAAGTAAAGAAGTTAAGATTCAGGCGTCATCCAACCATAGAGGTTGTTTCAGTGAGTCAGTGATTTAAGTTGTTGAAGCCCAGTATTGCACATTAATAACATTATGATACCATCATCAAAATATCTTGATTTTATTATTTGTGGAACTAAGAAAGTTATAGTTTAAATAAAATAAAAAAAATTAAAGAGTTGTAAAGAAAAGTTAAAGGATTATAATTTGAAATTAACTGATGTCCTTAACCTTTTGTGTGTACAAGGGGTTGTGTGTAACTCATGTACTTTGATCTGTGTAATGATATAATTTTTGAAGGTCTATAAATTTATTTTGACGGTTTTTGTATTTTTTCTTTACTGAGTGGAGATAGTTAAACAAGAGAAGTACAGTACAGAAAAATAGAGGAAAGCCAAGGCAACAAGTAGAAATACCTATACTGTATACACGTGTTTCTGTTAATAAAATAAATAAAGATTAAGAGAATTATATATTTGTTTAGTGTTCAGATGGTGATCAGCAAGAGTCACACAGATGCTCCAGATGCCAGTACAGTGAGCCACGTGTGTAGTGTCGACATGGAACTTCACAACAAAGCCCTGCAAATTAGCTCCCAAATTCAAAAGGTTTGTACTGTATACAGTATATTAACCCTTTGGCTGCGGAAGGTTTCCCATTAGCTGAATAAAATGGTCTGGCGGTAGCCAGAATGAGATGGTAAGTGCGGGAATTGCAGCGAAAGGGTTAAAGTTCAACATCATAGGTGATAGGTTACCATGATGAAAGGCTCAGTACCTCTATTGAATTTGTATCTCATACTGTAATATGAAACTGCCTGTACATTTTTTCAAGTATGTATTACACAAAGTACCTTGTATCAGACACAGAACTTGGATAAAGTAGGGGATGATATTGTAATATCGAAAATATATTACTGTACTGTACCATTATAAGCATTAACATTAGATAATCCATAAATTTCATACACTAACTTCTGATGTATGATTTAATGGTACAGTAAACTTCATAAAATGAGGATGTACTAAACCATAAAAGAATATACAGTATTGTACAATGTAATAAACTTTTATGAGTCCCTTTATCATCAACTTATTTGATATTTGAAAAATGAAATTTAGGATTTAAACATGAAATAAATGATTTACAACTGATATGTTCACTAATTTGGTCATTAGTGAGTCCTTTTTCTATTTGTTCCTGTGTGAGTTTGTCTCTACTATTTACAGCCTCTTGTCACACAGTGACATTGCAGAACTGTAGCATACTGTACTGTACATTACAAACAGACCTCATTAAGTAAGTTAGTGTCCCAATCCAAATGTATTACAGCTTACTAATCCTTCCCTGGGTTCTTTTGTAGTAATGTACTGTACTGTATCATTAAAGCAGAATCTTTTAAAATATTTGTCTTTCTCTTTAGTTAACAAATGAAAAGTATGTTGCCATTGATTAACAGTTTATTGTTGACACCAGGTTTATGAAAGAATGAGAGCTGAGGGCCTCAATGACAGAGGTGTCGTGGTGAACACAGTTCAGGAGACATCGTTGGCAATATCAGCATTAGTAACTGACCATGGAATATCAGGAGTGGCAGCCATGACATGTGCACTCCTTAATTCCCTCACACAGCTCACAAGTGCCAGGTATGTACTCTGTATAGTTTTTCTCTTTTCTTTTTTAGTTAGACATATCTGATGAGTCTGAAAATACATTAATACAAGAAAGAATTTTACAGCAAAGAGCACAAACAATTAACCATTTTTTTTCTTGTACTCATTCTTTGCATATTATCTAATTGTATCATAATGTGTAGTAAACATTATTATTTTTTTTAAGAGATTGGTGTTTTGGGGTTTCTTAAAGCTTGTATGGTTTGATAGTACAGTAATTGAATTTACTATTTCATACTAAATCATAAAACCTATGATTATTAATTAAACCTCAAGGACTATGTGGGTGTGTAGTGCATATGATGTGGATGTTTAGTGGAGATGATGTGGAAGTTTAGTGTATATGATGTGGATGTGTAGTGTATATGATGTGGATGTTTAGTGAAGATGTTGTGGGTGTATAGTGAAGATGATGTGGATGTTTGGTGGATATGATGTGAGGTGGATGCGAAGCCATCTCACAGGACACAGCTGATTGATGAGGTGTGTTATGTTTGAGTTGTGTTCTACGTTTTGATCAACTGAAATCAAAACAAACAATGTTGGCAATGCATTCTTGATGGAGTCCATTGGTTTTCTTTGTTTTATGTTTTTTTATTATTTAAACTTAAGTCAGACTGGGACTCGTTCTCGTATCTTAGGTATTATAGAAATTAGCATAAACTATTTACCTTAATAAACACAAGATAAATTCATACAGGCGCTGTATAATATGTTTGTCTTGTGTTACCAAACTATATATAACAAAGAAACCTGATTCTGTGACATTTTATCTGGACTAAAAATACCAAACTTTTTCATATATACCTGCACTGTACTGTATACCAAACAAATTTCAGTATTGGATGAACTTTTTTGGATTAGTTTTATACCAAGAACCTCCCTATACTGAACTGGCTGCTCACCAATTATTTCTGTATAGAGAGGTAATAGAAGTAATACTGTAATAATAACATTTCATTCACTTTCATTTCTTCTTACCACTGCAATAGATGTATACAGTACTGCTCTAGCACCCCCTCACAACAGGACCCCCCCCCCCAGGTCTGGTCACCTCACAAAGGCTAGCAGCACTCACCAGTGGCATACCCTTCACCAAAAATCATTAGATGGCCATACCCCCTAATGATTCAAACACACTGCTTCCTCCTGAATGCAATTACCATTACCTATATTTTGAATGTACAGTATACTTCACCTGTTACTTCCATCTTAATGCAGTTCTCATCCATAACTTCCATCCTAATGCATTCCTCACCCATTACTTCCATCTTATTTTTGGCCCTTTCTTTCCCTCTTACAATCAACTTCTGTATTATTATACACTTTTTGTAAACCAATCTTTCACTCCCACTTGTACTCCTCTAGTCTGTGTTTCCCAGTCATTTCATTGTATTCACCCCACATATTGCACTGAAGCATATTATTTAAAATGTTTTATTTTTTTTCTTCGGGGGCATCCAGAGATCATGCTTCACACTCATGTAATAATGTCAGTTTGATGATTCTTCTTCATGTTCCCATCTGTGGCTCCCTTGATGTGGTTTTCATTCTGTGTAAGAATGCTCAAGCCACTCGTTACTTTTTTCCTTCAGCAAAATAATTGAAAGGATGATTGTTATTTTGTTGCAATAGGTTACGTGCAGACAAGACTGCAGCTGGTACTGGAGAGGGTCTAGTAGACTTAACCATCGGAGGACTGTGGTGGTTAAGAGAGAGTATGGTGACACTCGGTGGGATGGTGGAGCTGGTGACTTTCCTCACCACACACTCCCCACCAACATATCCTCAAGAGACACCTGTTATACAAGCCATATCTGCCCTTCATGATGTGTTTGCCAGCCTTCATGTATGTGTTGACTGTTAGCTCTCTTAAAAGTCATTTATATGTTGATCCCTTTATACCTGTAGTTTTGCAGTAAAACCATGAAAATATTGGTGTACAAAATATAAAGGTTTTGTATGAAATGCTAGATATGTTACCATATGCAGTTTTCTAGAAATGCAACGAAGCCAGATGACTCAATTATAGGTTGTGGATTGAGGAATAAGGATATACAATACCATCCATCCCCTATTCATGGTTAACTTCAGCTTAACTGTTTGTAAAAACCCTGTATTTGCATACTGTACATCCAAGTAAACTTTTGTTGAAGTCTAATAGAACTGAAGATTGATATATGTTGCTTTTTTTTTCATAGTATTAATGTGGTTTTACAGGAGCTGGTCTTAAACACAAGTGGAATTATCATCGTAGAAGGCGTGCGACTGTTCTGGAGAGGAGAGCCATCTGTAGTTAATTTGGCCACTGAACTTCAATCTGTTGTGTCCAGTGCTCCTACTCCGCCTGCCACACTTTGTCAACAACTCACCACACATCTCCGTCTAATGATCCTCATGATGCCTGTAAGATGTCTTCACTCTCAGTATAAAAAAAAAATTGATGATCCCACATTTACAGTAAGGAGGTGCATCAATCTTCCTCACCTATTTAAATTCTCAAACTGTTGTAAAACTAGAGCAGGAACTGTAGTTGGTGATGCAAATTATAGAAATTTAGACAATAAAAAAATTCTTGGAGCCCTCCACTTAATTGTATTGTTGTAATAATTGTGGCCTGCAGCCCACAAAAGGTTGGGAATCACTCAATCTCCTATATCAAGAATCTACTATTTATTCAATAACATTTTGCCATTTGCACAGCCTCGCCATGAGGATGCCCTGCAGGAGGCAACAGCACTTCATCACAAGTTAATTGAAGTCATTGAAAAAATCACATCAGGAGGAAGCAACAGTGCATCTTCTAGTGCAGATATGAGCCAAGGGCAGATGCTCCTTATGGGCTTCCACTTATTATTTGAGGCTGTAGAGACACAGTTGGATCAGTTGATGGATGCTGTGAGTCATGCTCCTCTTCCCCAGCCCTGGCCTAGGGTTGACACAGCAAGAGAAGCTGCTGAGATAATGGTAAGTCTTCCTACTTTAAATAAAGCTTGAAAAAATTACCCGGAGATTGCTTAATGCTTATATTATGTAAAGAGATGTAGTACAGTAATGTATTGCACTTAAACCCCTGAACTTTACATACAGTAATTAGATTATTAACATTGTCTAAATATATTTTAGGCTCCTTTACAAGATCCAGCTCTTCGACAAGTACTACGATGCTTGCTGCGTGTGAAGAAGGTGCAGACCATTGTTGAATTTTTCACCACTGCATATCAGTCCTCTCCTTCATTCAAGAGAGATGAACCATCTAGTAAGTACAGGTACTCTGTCATAGGAGGCTGTCTTGTATAGGATGCTTTAGAAGTTTTGTGTATCCTCTTTGTATTTCATGGTTTTCAGACTGAGAATCAATCCTCTGTTTTTACTTATTATCTCCCATCATCTCCCATTTTTATGTGGGAGAGATCTAGGGGTTCAGAAACCTTAAGAATGGGAAGGAGGAATGGTGTAAAACAAGAGTGGAAAGCCTCAGTAAAGGCTTTGACAATTAAAATATCCTCAACTTGAATACAACTCTTATTTTAATTTTAGATTAATGGTTGCTGTATTCATTATTCTGTTGGGGGAAAGTGATTACGCTGTATTCGTTTTTTATTATTTATAGAGCTACTTTAAACATTTAAGAGTTTATGGTATACTTCTTTAATCTGGAAAGTCTTTTTTATAGTGAAGACCACATTATAGAAAATAGAAAGGCATCTCTAACTGTACAAATGCAAAGAACAGATTTCTCTAGTTCCTTAGATATTTCTCATGTAGTTGTTTTGGCCATAAATATTGTCTCTGTTGTCACCCTCCTATGCTTAAACCCAAACTGTGCTAAGTTAATGTCTGTTCTCAACAGAATTAAACTTTATCAAATGTTGGTCATCAATATTATCAATGAATTAAGTATTTTTTGTGGCATTTTATCTCTGTATAAGGTCTGCCTTAGTGACCTCTTAAAATTAATATCAGTGATCCATTATAGGTAACAGGAACAAAAATAACTTGTGCGATGAAGAACGACTCCAAAGAATTGTTCGTCGATACGCCAGTGACTGTGTGTCCCTCCTGTTGCTGGGTCTTCCCTCACACCTGGCAACTCACTTACTCTTACTGCACAGCCAGAAGCTTGGGATAAATGTGACTGGTAAGTAATTAGGTGCTGTTTCAAGCAACTCATTTGCTGTACAGGGGTATAGGCAAAACTATGAGTCATATACAGTATATCCTTTGTGTACTAGATGCATGTTTGGTGTACAGCTAAGAATACTGAATGGGAAACAAAATTGTATATGCCGTATATTTTTTTATTGCAGGTTGCCTTACATATACAAGCGGGTATTGTTTGTATGAGCAAAGTGATCTGATTTGATCCCCCATCGAAAATTTATGAGAATGCCAGGTAAACAAAGGGACATTTAACTTTGGGACAAATCAGAGGGTCTACCCTCAAGTCAACTCCGTGCTTTGTTAAACTTTATTAACAAAGCACGGAGTTGATTTGAGGGTAGACTCGCATTTTTAATACATTTTCGTTTTCTTGTTTCTGATTATTTGTTAGAGGATTTTGCCATTATTATTTATTTGTACCGGTATGTGTTTTGTGTGTGTGTGTGTGTGTGTGTGTGTGTCTATGCACACACATATACTGTACAATACAGGTAAAAGAAATTACTGTCTCTAGAACGAATGGCTCCCTATCCCGGTCGCAAAAATACCCTTAGACATTCTTGGGTACATCCAGGGTGTCATCCGCGAATAATCAAGGACTGTGAATTAAATATTCGCAAATTGTCTGGGCATGCTGTAATGTTTATTTTTAACTCTTTACTAATTAATCACAATTGCAAGGAGCGATGTCTATCCATATGGCCTTAATTAGTGTCTGCAGAAGTTTAAATCTTGAGTCATTAACCAGCATTTGTAATTACTGTATATTTGTTAATACCATTAATGATTCAAACTATATAACAGCTTTATTGCATTTTACGAGTATTTGATAGCTACATGAAAACTTCAGTTAACTCAAAACTGCAAAAAATAATTGTTTGCATATTTTCCTGAAACCAGTAAGGTATTTTGAGGATTAGAATTACACTTACTGTATTTATTAAGGGATATTGGTAACGACAGTGTATGTTTTTATGTTCATACTTACATTAAGGTTCAGTACTACCTTGATGAAATCATCACCACATGGTAATTTCTCTACCAGTACTTACATTTAAATTTGCAAATGAACTGTTGCTTATGAAATATCTGATTCTATTTTGGCAAGATGGACATAACCATACCACTTAGTGAGTACAGTGGTTCATGATAGCATTATACTGTACTGTACTAATATGTAGTTTTATCTGGACAGGTTTTTGTTACTTTAATTACCATTAGTTAAGTTTGCTCTCTTTCCTTCACCTGATAATTTCCCTCACAAATGTGCTGTAGACAGGAAAGCACTTTAGAGAAAGCTGTTTTTCCAAAGATAATTTTTTTCTGGTAGATAGTAACAGAATTGACTGATGCTGGCTTGTATTCATATGGCAACTGTATATGTTTTCTCCAAATGCCTTAGATACGTAGTTTGAGTGAAGAGGCTGGCTGTATGTCATTTAACATCTTTGAAGCCACAAAAAAATTGTGAACTTTACTTTGAGTAATTGTTTACAATGAGGTGGGCGGTCGGTGGTTGCATCCCAAGGCAACATGTGCATCATATACTGTACAGTATATTCGAAAATGTCTCTCATAATCGGAAATTTTACCAAATACGCATTACGATAATTTTAATAAACAGTCTCTCCTCGACTTGCGACATATTCGACTTACGACAACCCAGACATACGACGGCCATGGTTATATAAAATATTTTTCACATTACGTATTTTCAAGTCCCAACGTTAGTGATCGCGTTGTGTACTGACAAAATTTTCGTTTGTAATTCCCTTTAAAATGGCTGGCAAGCTTAAAAGTGAGAGTTCTCGTGGTGCTGAGGAGAAAAAGTGACAACCATTTTAAAATTTTTATGTATTATCTTCGCCTTTTCGACTTACGACCTGGTCGTCGGGACGGAACCCCGTCGTAAGTCGAGGAGAGACTGTATATATATCGTAATACGTATTTCAAATATCTCATATTTGGAAATTTTACCAAATATGAAATTTGTAATATATATTTTGTAACAGGAAAGCATTACAAATTATAAGTGATTTCGAATTTGGGGGTACAAATTATTGTAGTTTTACTGTATGACAGGCTACATAGAGGCACGAGACGTAGGTACAGAGGGTCGAGTCAGCTTAGAAGGAGTAGTTCAAGAAGCACTAGAATGCTGTATGACTCGGCATGGCCTGGACCCAGTTCTTCCCGCCTCTGCTGCCACCACACTGACACACCACTTGAACGCTGTCCGAAAAAAGTTGCTCCTCAGGTTTGTTTACTGTGTTTTATGAAAAAATACAGAAAATGTTTTGTCTTAGTTCAGATTTTACTGTATCAGCAGGGAAAGGCTTGGTAGACAAAAAAGAAAAATATAAGAGTTTAATATTTGATCAACCTTCTTACTTTATTTGGAATACTGTCCTGTACATTAAATAAAAACTCTGACACTGCCACAGACACTGGGAAGCTGAGGCAGAGGGATTGCGGACAACTCACCAGAGAGTAACTGCTCAACACCTCGGTCATCAGTGGCACTACGAAGACATTTTGAAGCAGCGTGTTGTTGCCCCTCCTGTACAACCAAGTAAGTTTTAAAATTTACTTTCAGATATAAGAAGCAACCAAATATTATATGCTCAAGGTGAATTTTTTTTAGGGGAACCAACTTAACATTCCATATCTCATAAAAAGTTAACTTGTGAGTACTGTACAATGGTTTCAATGTGTTTCAGACCTACTGTACAGATTTTTATTAAATCAGGTCACATTCTTCCTGATCTTAGACTCAGTATAAAACCTGAGACACAGTGATATCTCCTTTAGCCGGAACAATTGGTGCAGAGCACTTCCGGAAATGAAAGATTTCCGCGTAACAAGACGACTCTCTCAAAGCCGGAAAACCCTCGTCCCCGGACTTTTCCTGGTAACGGAATATTTTTTTTCGTAAGTTCCAGAAATTGTCCATTACATCATCTCTTGAACCAGGAAAAATATCCCCCATTCCCGGAATTTTCCGGGTAACGGTAAAATGTTCTTGGAAGTTCCATAAATTGCCCATACATCATCTCTCAAACGCAGAAAAACATCCCCCCATCTCCGGAATTTTCCAAGAAAATTTCAATTCCGGCAATTGGAGAGTTTCAGGTTTGAGGGGTTCCGGCTAACGGAGATATTACTGTATTCCTATGAAAAAAATCCTTTTGTTTAATTTCCACATATAATATGAGAGTAAATGAGGAGAAATAGAACAGTCAGGTTACTGGCTGGGTGACTACTGGTGGAGACAAGTCTACTTCTTCTCTGTGAGTTTGATAGTAAGCTATTTGGAGATTGTAGGAGAATGATGACACATCAGAAACTAATTTGTAGACTTTTTATAACATGCGAGTGTTGGAGAATAATTAATTAAGTTTGTGAAATAATTAAGCTTATTAATAGTAAAAAAGATGTTATATTTTAGCATACAGTATGTTCACTATTACTTAAGAAAAAATAACAAAAATGGCCAAAAATTTGAACTTTAGTTATGTTCATGTGTAAATTGGATCATAGCCCCCCCCCTCCCCCCTTTTTTTTTTTACTTTTTTTTCATACTTTGAATTTTTATAAACTATGTATTCATAAATTGGGGTTTGCCTTAACAGTACTTTGTAGGAAACCTTCAACATTTGCAGGGACTATTGTATATTTCCATGCTTATATAAGTACCTCCTGTACCCTTTCCAAGGTGGATAGCACTTAATTTTTGTTTTTTTCATACATAGGTCGGAGTGCCCTTCTTGGAGATTTAAGAAGTAGTGTGAGTAAACTTCTTGCTTTACACCAGAATGTTTCTGAACTGCGGGAGAAATACACTAATCTAACGGGAAATGTTGAACAGCGTCTCAAATGGGCTGCTGGTTCCAACCCATCAATTGCCAAGGTATGTTTGTGTTTACTTGTATTTAATATTTTTAGTGGTAATTTAATCTTGATATTCTCGTAGTTATAATCCATTTTTTTATTGATACCAAATTGACTTCAAAATGTCCCCTAACTTTACAAGTAAATACTTTTGTGTTTATTTTGTGCTTACAAGGCTTCGGTTCACATCATATGATGTGTCCTTAAATGATTTTGGTTCATGTCATTTGACCTTTCGTAATTTTGCAATACTGTACTGTTTGAATTGCCACCAGAGCCTGGATAGATTATGTTGCCAAGTAGACATTTATCCTTGACTCCCTCACACGTGCAAGCCTTCCAGTCTCCATTCTCAATAGCTTCTCAGCTTTTATAATGTAGAGATCTCACCCTTGAACTTCACAGTAATAATAGTAATTGTAAATAGTAATAACATAATAAAACAACTACCTCATACTGCCTACAAGTCAGTGTTGTTTTACCTTGTACTGCCAATCTCAACCCACCCACCCACACACACACTCCTCATGTGCATTGTCGACCCTTCCTGGCCCCTGTGTTGTCAACCTGTGGTGAGGAAAAGTATATCTTTTAATGTTTATGTCAGGCATGACAATTTTGTAGGATTAGAATTGTTTATTTGTTTTTTAAATTTTCCTGAATATACCCGTGGGGGGAAGGGGGGATATGCCTTCTGTAACCTGGTGCCTGGGGGTTAATAATCTTCTATTATACACATCATCTCACACAAGTTCATTGACCTTGCCTTAACTTACTCATGTATGTATAGTAGTTACCTATCTATCTTTTATCTTTACCCAAACAACTTTTTTCTGCACAAACATTAATAATTTTCCTTAGCATGTTTGCCTATAACCCCAGGTACTGATCCAACTATTGTTAACCTTTTGACATCTGTGCTTTATCAACATTTAGATCTATTTTTTTTCTTCTGTGCTCCTCTGTAAAAGGACCCCGGTTTCTAGATCTGTCAGTCAAGTTACATAATTGAGCTACAGTATGAGAGTCTCTTTGTGCAATCTTACTTTTGACATGAAGCAACTGGTATAAAATTATGGACACTTTTGAGCTGTGTTATGGGAGGCGAACACTGTAGTGGATCACATGTATTAAAGCAGCTGGAGTGAGTGTATTAACTGCAAATGAAGAGAAAGTCTGTGTTTGCCTTTGGTTTTTTCTGTCCTTCATCTAAGTGGGGGGAAAAGCTTACAAGATATAACAAAATTAAACCATAGAGTTCATTTCTTTTATCTTAAGAATGCAGGATTTAACTTATGTCAGGGAATCACAAGACATTTGGTTTAATAGTAGCAGCTTAATTTATTTTGATCTTGATTTCGTAAGATGTTGTGTTATACTGTCAAGTATACTCACTAATTTTAGTGTTTTACTGGCATTTGTAAAGGCACTGGAAGAATTTAGCAGTGGTGTTGAAATAGCATTAAGTGGTGTAGCTGAGTTGCTGCAGAGGAGTGAAGAAGTTGCCTCGCTGTGTAATGCTGTGTTGCACTATGAAGCTGTGCGCACACACACTGTTGATGCCATCACCTGGGATGGCAGTTTCACCTCAGTGAGTTTTGTTTTCCATCATGAAAAAAAAAATCAGATACTGTATAGGTGAATAGTTTCATGCCTTATCCTTTTCATATATCAATATTACCGATACATAAAAAGTTAAGTATTTATAATTTGTATGACAAAGATGATCTTAATTTGTATGAGACAGAATTCTCGGAATAATTTTAGCTGTGTATGGATTAACTTTAAAGATGTACTAACTGATGACATCCCAATAGGTACTGAATACATGCCAGGAAAGCTGCATGTTACTTGAACGCTACCACACAGCTGTAAACCCTCAAGAGGAAGTATTGGTGTCTCTGTGTCCTCTACCGGCAGATGTCAACACTCACTGGATCCAACACGCATCAGTTGCTGTTTCAGGTAAACTTAGAATGTTATTTCACTTATGTAGTTTGGATCCATCATGAAGAAGAGAGGACTCAATGAGACAAGGTATAAAGTGGAATGAGGTTTATGACCAGTGAGAATGGAGTAATGTTGATAAATGGATGAGTTAATAGAGATATAATGTACAGGTAAATCTCGATAAACGATGACTCATTCAGCGAAATTCCGCTTTAACGATGGCCATAAATTAAGACCATCTCGCTATATCCCCAGGCCCCGATGTGGGTCAGTGACCTGTGCCCAGGTGGGCTAATCCCCGTAAAAAAATAAATTAATAAAAATAAAATAAAAAATTGCTTGGTTGGATTTTTTTTTTATCTCTTGTGTAAACTATGGGGTGTATATACAGTAGGGTCGGGATATGTAGCAACTTTACGTATATAAAGATTTTTTTTATATCGCGGTTACCAAAATTATCAACATTTTCCAATATACAGTAGACTCGCAACTTTGAGGGTTACGTTCCTGGGACATCTTGTAAAGTCAGAAACACTCCTAAATCTCCCTTAAATCACTATATATATACGTACATATACACTAGACCTCATAAATCACTACTGTAATGTGATACAGGTGATTCATTTTTGTCTCTTGTGCAAAATATACGATGTCTGAATTAAAATTATTCGCTGTCTTGCAAGGATTCAAGCAATATAATGTATATTCTGCTAACTTTAGTCTGACATTTTATAAGATCAAAACCTTAAGCCTAAAAACCACACTCGCTCTTACTGGAAGTCGGAGAGGAGTTGAGGAACCTAACCCCATTGTTTATCGAAGTTTATGTGTACTATATAGCTTCCTAGTGTACCAGTTATGACTACTAAACAGTTAGGTAGAAAAATGTGGGTAAGTAAACTGTAAATATATGATTGGTGATTGGGATCTGTTTGTCACCCTATTAGCTTTATCAGAAAAGAAAACCTCTGACTTGTGTTATGTACAGTTCACACCACTTATTAGCCACACAGACTGGCTGCCTCAAAATTCCTAACCAGCAACATCGCTGGGTCCATCCCTCCCCCACATCCTGAAACATACAAACCAGGCAATTAATCGGTAAAGTCAACGCTTACCCCCAAACATGTTAGCATGGATAGATTTTAGAAATAGAAAGAAAATACATCTTCAAAATTATTTATCAATGCACATTACAAAACAATTTTGTTATGTAGTGTACATTAAAATATTCAAATGAGCATTTTATTTTCTACATATATTTTGTCGAGAATTATTCATTAGGCTTTGCTGTAGTGGGCTATTACAAGTCGTCTTGTGGTTTTTTTTCTCAACAGATCACATAGAACTTCTGACAAAGTTGGTGGGTGATCAGAGTGGAGAGTTAAGGAAATCTGTAGACAGTGTGCGGTCTTCTGTCATTTCTTTGCGCATCCATCTCACCACACATCATAAATTTATGTCTGATATCCGAGCTCTCCTTAAGAGTATGGCAAAGGTGAGTGCTTTTCTGCCTGGTGTCTTAAGTTGTCAATGTATGTAGTTCTTTTATGGTCATTCATGGTGTACTGAAGTCATAAAGTGGGAAAAGTGTCAGTTGGATGCTGGTACCTATATCTACTGTATACAGTACAGTATACAAGAACCGGCAGTATGACTGAAGTCCTAGTGACCAGAGCAACTTTGGTTTGTATATGTAAAAGTCTATAGGATTTCTTTGCTAGAACAAGTTAATAGTTATAGTAAATCTATTATGAAGTTTTCCATGGTGACAAAGCCTGCCAGGGGCTATAGTTGAAGGATTACACTATTAATAGTATCCAGAAGATTTAGATTTTGTTTCTCTATTTGCTAGAGATAGTTAAATGTTGTTGGTTATAGTGTGCCTTGAATTCTCTGACCTAACATGCTAAGGTCCTTGAATGAGCTTCTTAATATAGTCTCATCTGGGAGATACCAGCCTACAAAATGAAAATTTTATGTAAGATCTTTTTTCTTTTTTAAGGAAGAAATAATAAAATTTTAATTTGATTCCAGTTTGAAGGTGAAGGTGGCTTAGCTGGTGTTGAGGACTATCTTGCTCTCTATCGCAGTTATTCAGAAACTATTTCAGGACTGATTCGACAAATGCTCCATGATCCTTTAACACCAGATAAAGCTTCTGTCTACCTTCAGAAGCTAAGGGATGTCACTACTCAGACTGGTTAGTTTTGACATTTTTATTGTTTAAAAGGTAGGGTATAGTTTTAGTAGGAAATGTGAATTGTGGAGGACGAAAACAGTAATGTTTTATTAGCTCTCAGTATCATTTCATTTACTATATGTTTTACATAATACAGGTACCTGCATGATATCTATGAGTATAATAATAATAATGCAGTTATAACAATGATAATATTAATGCTGTATTTCCCAGCATACTATATTAGGCATAGCTCCATGGAAGATGCATCCCTAACTTGGCAAGGAATATTTAGAAAAAGCCATGGTGTTGCAATCTGCTTCTTGTTGTGACACACTTTTATATTAATTGTGTCGTTCATACAGTATGTCAGCTATACTCCCATCATGTCATCCATTGTAGGGATCAAGCCAACGTTATGTGCAGTAGACCCTTTGATAAGGTCATTATAATGGAGAGTGATAACGCATTCTCTTCTGAACCATATTATCCCTCACATTCAGGCTTAGTACACTGACTACTATTCTGAGGGACAATACAGCTTGGAGGATTCGGGATTCTGATATTATCATTGTAAACCTCCACTACCAAGACACACACTCTCAACTGTGTCTTCTCTATTATAAAGAATTTCTCCTGATTATTTAATAATGATCTATTCTATTATGTCAAATAATGTAAAACATGATTGGGTAAATTGTTTTGGGAATTAATTAGACAAAACAATGACATATTTTCCCAATCCTTATTGTGAAATAGAAGTATCAGAGCTCAATTGTTGAACTGCTTGGGTGCTTCTTTATGTGTTGGGGGGCAATGGATGGACAGCGATCCGCCGTCCAGTAAGGGTGAGGGTGGACTTTACACAATCCACCTTGACTGTATCAAGAACTATCATCTGGGGTGTACATTGAAACCTGAGGCTGGGTTCTCGCTTTTTCTGGAATCAAGGCTTGGCTTACAGGCACACACCACATATTTTGATCTTCCACCCATATCACTAACAATTTTCCCTTTCAATCATCAATCCTCTTCTTTGTTTTGTATCACAGTTGACTGCATTGGTGTAGATCCTTTTACATGTCCAAGAATTTTTTCTTTGTGTTTCAAAATTTTTCTGATCGTTGACACACCGAAGCCCAATGCTCTACCAATAATTGGTGGTTTCACCTCTTTCAGAATATTTAATTGCATCAACCTTCACTTCAATTGTAATTGTTTTCCCTTTGCTTGGATGCACTAATATCACTTGCATCAAATTTGCATTTGGGAGCCATGATGAGGGCAGAAGAATAGAGTTTATAAGCAAAAAAAACAACACTTTGCCCTTGGTCAAACACGTTACTGAGATGAGCGTAAGGCGTAAGGCGTACTGGTGCTACCACAAAGTGCATGGCAAAGTGCACTCCACCCACCACTCTGCTCCACCAGACAAACTAGTTCTCATACGTTCTATGAACGGTTGTACTTATATCGGATTTTTAAATTAATATACTTTATTGGGACCTCATTCATATTGGCAGATGTTCATAAGTCAGATGTATGTAACCTGGGGACCTCCTGTGCTGAACTGTAGTTTTTCCCCAAGGAATAATTCTCACTGAACTGAATGTTTTTATCCATTTTAGCCCCACCGACACACACACACACCAAAAAAAAAATATACATCTTTGAAATCTGACCAATATCATGGTCATTTTGAAGCCATGTGCACTTGATATTAGGAGATATTCCGAGGTCAATAGTAATTATTTTTTACGTTACAAAAATGCCTGAGTACAATATTGCATTAAAGAAAAAATAATGGATTTTTTTTTATGAAAAGGAGGGCTGGACCCCAGGACACCCCCAAGATCTGCTCCTGCAAATACATCCCCTTTACCAGTGTAAGAATTCATGATCACACTCTTCCTTCAGTCGTCTGGAGCAGTACTTTCCATCATGATTGTGTTGGCCAGTTCAGTCACCAATGACACTCCTATATTGCCTGATGCTTTCATCATCTCTCCAACTAATTTTCCAAGAGTTTTAACCTAACCATCCAAGTATTACATCCTAACCATCCAAGTATTACATCCTAACCATCCAAATGTTATATCCTAACCTTTCCAAGTGTTACATCCTAACCATCCAAGTTTTACAGCCTAACCATCCAAGTGTTACATCCTAACCATCCAAGTGTTACATCCTAACCATCCAAGTGTTACATCCTAACCATCCAAGTATTACATCCTAAACAATTAAGTGTTATAGTTCCATCCAGAGTAAACAAATGAGAGTAAGTGAGTAAGAGTGTAGGTAGGAAGTGTAAGATTGGTGAGAAGAGTATATGATTCAAAAGTTGGGGGGGAGGAGGAAATAGGGAAAGACCAAGGAGATTGGAGAATTATTATGATGGAAATAATAGACATGAAGGGGACAGACAACCAGGAAACAGTATTTTCAGTGAAGTATACCAGAGCAGGGAACCAAGTGGTTTATGGAGATGTTACAGCATTGGAGGTGGATGGATAACAAGAAATAAAGAGATAATCTGTGTTTACTCATGGCTCTGGGCCACCTTACAGGATAGCAGGAGGGAGCAAAAAAGTAATCAAGGTTTTTTCTTATTTATATACAGTATTTGCTTGTTTATATTTTGTACATTGTAATGAAAATTTTTAAATGATATATTATTGTCATGAAAATGATGATTAAATCCTTAATTTTTACAGGGACTATATATGATCGTCTCGTCGAATTTGGCAACCAGTGTGTTGTTGAAGAAAAGCAAGAGGAAACTGAAGGTCAGAGAGAGAACAGTGGAGAATCTCGCAGGCCGCCCTTACTACGCCAGTCCAGTGTTGTAATGTCTCCCACCAAAACTTCTACTCCAGACTCAAGAAGCAAAGTTAAGAGGCATCCTCTTACAGGAAGAGGTTAGCCCTTGAGCTTTAGTCTAGACTAAGATGCATGATACAATAAAATCTGGGAAATCTTTTGCATGATTGTATAAGTACTAGGAAGAAATCTTTACAGACAGTAAATTTTAGACTAAAACCACCAACACTCCACTTTTTTTTTCCACCTATTAGCTTACTAGTCATTTGGGCAGTTGGTCTATCCAGTCTTAGTACAGGAGGAAACTGGAATCCAGGAAACCTGTGATGTTTGGTAGGGTCACTGGATGACACCTTTTTCATGTGTGTCTGGACCAAACAGGATTAAAACCCTTGACATATTGGTGAGAGATATGTACATTACCACTGTACTTCAAACAAATATTAATTTAGAAATTGTATTTTCTGTTTATTTTTCAGCTGTCCAAGAACACAATGCTTATGCTTTGAATGTTTGGCGACGCGTCAAAGTAAAGTTGGAAGGAAGAGATTTAGATCCAACAAGAAGAGCATCAGTTTCAGAACAGGTAAGGAATACAGTAATTGAGATTTCAATCAATTAAGCTATGACAGTATAGTAGTATACCCACGATTCATAATAAGGGCTGGATCATTAATCTTACTTTAGTGGTCAAACAGTTCTACTTTTAGTTGACTGTTAAGGTAGAGATTCTTCTACAACTCTTCTTACTCAAGCTTGCAGAGGCATCGGCTTTACTGTTCTGATCAGAAGATGAGATCTTGAATGATAAGTGGATCCTATACTATTAAACTTAGGAAACCTGCAAGACCTCATCACTACACATGTAAAGTGTTGACTCCCTTTTGTCTGAAAATTTAAACATACTAAAATTTGTTGGTGTAACAGATAATAATGTACTCTTGTGGCTTGTTGAGAGTCCCTGCTAGAGCTTTCTCATTCATTCTTGTGACAGGCTGTAAACTTACTGGGCCAGCTGTTAGAAATAGAACTTGGTTGAAATTATGGTCGAGAATATTGTCTCAGAATTACTTGAATCATCAGTGTAGGAATTATGTGTATCCAGAGTACCTCTTTATTATGGGATAAATGGTTAAATGCCTAACAGTTCTTGTTATCAGAATGAGCTTTCATTTTATCACTGACAATTTCTTGTACTTAAAAGTCCATGAGTCATGATCTTAGTATTCTTTCTCTTCCGTGTACTTTTTCGCTTCTGTTTTCATTATGTTTATTACATGAAAAGTTTTTGTCATTTTTACAATTTGTTATTGAACTTGTGTGTTTGATTGATATACCCTACTATTGTTTATTTTTAGGTTGATTACACCATAAGAGAAGCAACAAACCTGGATAACCTAGCAACACTATATGAAGGTTGGACACCATGGGTATAGGGAATACAGTATAGCATCATCTGTCACTTAAAATAAATTGTTCATAATTTGTACTTCTGAGAAGATTACAAGAAATTAAACATTGCAATTGTTTTATTTCATCTCTACCTGTTAACTTTATGTTATAAAATTTTAGTATTCCAAAAATATTTTTGTTATTAATATTAACAGTAATAGGGTATATTGAAGCCACCTGTGATCCACAAAAAATGGGGGTGTGGTGACGTAGGAGGGGAGATATAAAAACACTAATCGCAGGCTTTGAGGCGAGGAGATGAGCAACCAAGGGTATACAGTAAATCCACAATTTGTTTCAAAGACTTTCTTCAAAATATATAATACAGTACCATAGGGATTAATATGACTGGACTATTTGAATAACCACATGTTTGCAGTTGACTTCTTACAAAGCAGCCCTTCTTATTTGTGGTAAAACAAGGGTGGCAGGTTGGGAAATGTTCTCACGTGCAGGTAATTTTACAACTTGTATGATTAACAATCTTAATCATAATGTTCAGCCCTAATGAATATAGATGTCAGGTGCACACTGTAACCAGCCACCATGGGACTGATAAGGTCACTTGACATCAATCTACTCGTCACATTGTCTAGCAACATTGAGCCTTTACCATCGTTATACAGTGGTCCCTCGGTTAACGAGCGCCTCGGTTAACGAGATTTCGGTTAATGATTTACCTTCCATAAGATTCTTAACTTCGGTTAACGAGCAATCCCTCGATTAACGAGTTTTTTACGAGCCGACTTCAACATGTTTTCGCTTGCATTTGCCAGTCCACCAGCTGTAGTATTGGTCCGCCAATACAGTAATCGGTTTTAGGGCTTAAATTCCTTACTATTTTAGTAAATATCAAGAAGTTTATACTTTTCAATAATTTTAAAAGTTTAATATTAACTTTTTTAGTCATTTTAACAATTATTGAGCATAATTGAAGGTAAAGAAACTAGTTTCTGGCGTGCCATCCAACCTGTTAACACACCAGACAAGCGTTAGTCTCTCTCTGTTTTCAGTGGAGGTAACATCTTGCTTGAGACTCTCTTCAACTAAACGCTTTTTTTCTGTGTTTCCAAGCAAATTATTGGTCATTTTGAAATATATTTTACATATTGACAATATATAATGCAGTGCAGTGTTGATTTAAAGAAAATAATCTTGAATTACACCAAGAGAGCTAAAATTTTATGGGTGAAATGGCACCATGGGGTGACTTCTCTTCCACCCCAATGCCTTCTCTTCTTCCTTCTCCTCCACCCCCATTCTAATTCCCATCATCATCATCATCATCCAGGAGTCTTCTACATACACACCTCAAAGTAAGTGTACTTTTCTACCTTTTTTGTTGAATTTAGGCAATTTTCGGTGAGCTGGAACCAATTACCCAAAAACCCATTGAAACAATGGTTTCGGTTAACGAGCAACCTGCTGGAACGGATTGTGCTCGTTAACCGAGGGACCACTGTATACATTTTGCTTTCATTAAATGACTGACCTAGTAGGGCTGCTTATGTCACATTATTCACCTAGCCTCTCCCCGGGTTATGCTTCCTTCCAGCCACCCAGTACTGTATTACCACTAACTACAACACATTTGAATTTTGTAAAAATAGAGTGTTTGTCATTAACATATACAGTACAGTACAAATCAATTAATGTGGGGTGGGTCTGTTTCCTCCTCATCATTGTCTTTGTCACCCGTACTATATCAATGCCACTCAAATCAAGTAACTCTCGACAAACAGCACTACTGTCAAGGAAACGCCTTCGCTTACGGTTGGGTGTGGCGTGTCTCCCTCATAAATCATCACGCACAAGCGTTCCCATACATGTCACGCGGCCAATCAAAAGCGTTTTTTTTTTTTTGGCAACCAATTTAAATAATTTTTGGTTTAATTCGTGGTATTTTTGGCCCAATCAAATTCGATTTTTATTTTGGGTCTCATATTTCCAAATTCAAATTCATTTCCGACCATGGAAGTCTGTGATGGGTGTCACTTAAATTATATGGAGCTGATTGCGAGTTTTTTGGGAAAAAAACAAAGAAACTCTAGCATTTTTTCGATCGCATGGTGTTCTCCCGACCTCAGTAAAGTGTCCTCAGTGCAAGACTGAATGTAAATATCGCAAAGACCAACATATGTGGAGTTGTCCTAACTCGTCCTTTATCCCAAAGACAAAGAAGAGACGTTGGTGTTCGTTCACTCGGTTATTATAAGGGAACATTTTTAGAAAGGTGCCATTTTCAGCCATGGAAATTACTTTTATTCATAAATCATTGGTGTCTCGCCTTTGGGACCACAAGACCGTAATTGAGTGCTTGAAACTGTCCTCTCATACGTCTGTAGATTGGCGGAGTTATTGTAGTGAAGTAACACAATTCTGGTTTGAAAATCAACAACCTATTGGAGGGCCTGGAATTGCTGTTGAAATTGACGAAACTCTAATTGTTTGAAGGAAATACGAACGCTAACGCATCTTAAACCAAGTGTGGATCTTTGGGGGGATCGAAAGTCTCAAAAATTAATTTTGTGATTCCGTTGGTCAAGCCGCTACATGAGAAGCGTGACTGGGAAACTTTGATGCCTCTCATTTTGAAATATATATGGCCTGCATATAAAAACTTGTGATAATGGTTACGAACACCACATGATTAATCACTGAAAATTTTATAGATCCAGCCCAGCCCGATATACACACACAAACAATTCAGAGGGATTGGTGTGACTTATAGGAGTGGATTGAAAGGCCTGGCATCCGGAAACACCTCCTAAAGCAATACTTTGCAAGATATCTGTTCATTCATGATTCTTCGGGTGTTGTTCTTCATCACTTTTTGGGAGAAGCTGCCCGCCTATACCCCCCCCCTTCAGCAACCTGTAAGAATCTCAGAATCCAACTACGAATGAGAACCAGGCCAATAAGGTAAGAAATAGGTGATTCCATCATATGGTGAGAGTCAGTTAGGTTAGGTTTGGTTTATGTTATGTTTTTCGAGTGTTTTTTGTGTCTTGTATTTGCTTTGTGGGGTATGTGTTGTTTGGTTCACACTCAGGATGGGATGGAGAAAGGAAACTCACAATGTGCTCTCTATATACATGTTGTATTGGATGTACAATGCAGCTTGGTGCTGGGAAGGCAGCATGGTTACAAGCGTGATGTAGAGAGAGCTGGTTGGTGAGGGTGCTCAGAGGAGGACAGCTTGTGGGTTGCCATGCTCGCCGGCGGGAGAGAGGACCGCCAGGCAGGCGGAGGAGGAGGTGTTGCTGGCTGGTTGGTGTGGGTAGAAAGAGGCAGGTCACCACGAGGTCAGGTCTTAAATAGCGGGGGGTAGGTGTGGCTTAGTAGTTGACCCCCGCTCCGTGATGTATGGCGGCGCTGGTTGACCTTGACCACGAGGCATACACTGGGGAATTGGTGGGGTCGGCTACTCAGCGACAAACAGCGTTTGTAGGGGAGAAATCCACTACAGCTTAGCCATTTTTTTTTTCGGAAAACGTCCCACAAAAAAAAATGATAAAAAAAGGTCAATTTCCGACGGAAATGAAGGCCATATTCGGTCTAAACACACAAAACACTAGAAAAATATATTTTTTACTTTCTAACAGAGTTGGGTGCGCTTATGCAAATTTACCTTTCTATTTATATTTATTTTATTAATATTCTTTCTTCATATACTTCAACAGAACACAAACTTGAGACTATAAAATAAGTTAAAGATTGAAAAATTTAGCCAGACAACGAAGGGGTCACGCCTGTCACCATAACTACCGGACACACAGGGAGACGACAAGTTACACTTTACTACTTTACTGTCTTATATCGACAACCATAAACTGCTTCCCACTTTTACTTTATAAAAACATTGCATCGAATAATTACTCTACAAACATTTAAGATAAAAGCTATAGTGTGGAAAGGTGAGGAAGTTTAGTGTTATGCTAAAAGCTGTTGTGGGTGTAAACAAACCCTTCTCAAAGGTATTTAAAAATTTATTAGTAAAAATATCAATAAAATCAATTACATCTTCAGTGTTAAGTGACGATGTTGTTTTGATATTTAATGAATGTTTTAAGTGATAAATAAGTGATCTCAGTTAAGTGAAAATAAGTGATCTCAGTTAAGTGAAAATAAGTGATCTCAGTTAAGTGAAAGTAAGTGATCTCATATGAGTGCTAATCAATTAGTGACCTCTTAAATGAAAATAAGTGATCTCAGTTAAGTGAAAACAGGTAATCTCAGTTAAGTGATAATTAGTGATGTCAGTTAAGTGAAAATAAGTGATCCCAGTTAAGTGATAATAAGTGATCTCAGTTAAGTGATAATTAGTGATCTCAACTCAATTGAAAATCAGTGATCTCAGTCAAGTGAAAATAAGTGATCTCAGTTAAGTGATAATTAGTGATCTCAGTTAAGTGAAAATAAGTGATCTCAGTTAAGTGAAAGGTGAGCTCTTAAGTGACCTCAGGATGACGCCATCAGCAAGACCAGTAAGTATTTTTTAGTATTTTTTGCTAATATTCAAAATGTTGTTCCGGCCTTAGCAGTTACCTGACGTAATTTCTTCCTAAATGATCAAAGCTTTCCTGCCTCGAGAAACAGACATATAGGAGGAATTCTTTTTAATAAGATTTCAGTTTTGACAAAAAAAAAATCATTTTAATTTCTAATATATAGTAAAGATTCCAATTTTTTTTATAGAGAATAGTATTAGTAGTAAAGGGGAGAAATCATATATTACTAACTGATCGATGATTTATTTTAATTATCTTGGATGAAGGCCATTGGTGCAGTGCCTGAAGTGTGGGATATTTTAAAATTCTTAGTGATACGTGGTTTCTTTTTTTTGTCATGGCAGTAGTGTCAAGTACAACTACTGTATTGTGAGAGGGTTTATTCTTTTATAAATTTAAATGAACTTACTGTAGCAAAAAATAGTTACTAACATTGATTTATGGTTTTACAGGTTAGAACTTCGGAAGCGTCTTTGGTAAGTACAAAGTCCCGATTGTTTGAAATTTGATCATATTTTCTGTATCAGTTATATTAGGTTGGGTTATACTAGGTTACTGTTTTAAATAAAAATTTATCCTTTAATATTTTACAAAGTGGGGATAAACTTTGTTAGCCTGAGTCTTGCTTTATCAAGGAGCAGACTGTACAGTCAGCCAAAGATGCACTGACCCCTGCAAACCCCAAATTGCTTTAGTTCCCCTAATCATTTTACCATTTTCTGTGAGGAAATGAAATATTGTAGCATTAACTCTTAACTTCCAGATTTATCCCCCGATTATGCCGTAAAATTTTTTTATTAACATAAAGCAGAAGTCTAAACTCATGCTGACTACCTTTGATAAGCCAGCGGTATAAACGCAACTGTTAGAAAGTCAATTAAATGAAACGGGTATTTGTGCTGCCCGCCTTCATCAGTTCTGAATCAGAGAATTGCGTGGTGACTGCACGAACAAAAGTGCCTTTGAAAATATTTGTGATTTAGCAAAGATGATAAAATAAAATACTGTTTTGAGGTCATCCCTCAATGCTTTGTAATTACCGTGGATCCCCTCCTCATGAGAACCCAGAAATGAAGATAATGAATCGAGTGACAGACAATTGGTTGACGCTAAGTGAGCCTTTGATAATGAGACTTGATTTATAGATAAAAGTATTAAATTTTTACCTACTCATATCTGAAACACTTTTTTTTACATTATATTGCGAATGATAAATAAGACGACGGGTCTCATTCTTATAGGAGTAGAAATAATATACTTTTGTGGGCAGATATTCAGAACCGAGAGACAGTGGGTGTACTTACCAGGGTTGTCAACCGGAGAGAAGAGAGCGTATGTTATATATATGGAGTAATTAACTGGCCAATCAGCAGTGTTTTGGACTCCCAACTAAGACGACGTGAAAAATACAAAGCTAGGTGGTATTATCCGAGAGGATAAGACATAATTAGGATGAAAATTGTAATATAAAGATGAAAAATGTGATCCTTGTAATCTTACATCATTTATTGTCCGTCATAACAAAGTTGCTCTCAATCAAAATATAACCACTAAGTAGAATCTTGATTAAGGCTACATTTTAATTTCTCGCAGTCTTTGGAAGGGAGGTGGTTAACCAGTTGCTACTTGCTGGGATGTATGTTGTATCTGACGTACTTACCAACACAATGATGGCACATGTTACACATAGGAACTCCAGAGTGGACAAAATGTGTGTGTTGTCAGGAGGAACAGAAAAATATCAAATGTCACAATGTGCTTTCCATTTATTTTATTTTTTCATTTTATGTTATGTATGGAGGATTTTTTTTATTAAAGATCAGGGTTCAATTGCATTCTTTATTTTTCGTTTTTCATTGTATCTCCCACAAAGAAAAAATCACTGAGTTCGTTCAATTACTTTACAACTAACTCTTACGAACATTATCAAACATTCTACAAGTGAAATTTAATCGGTGGTATTCATCATGTACTGTATTTGGCGCTATTTCTTTATAAAATCCTAGTTATTTAATGAGCCTGCGGTTTTTGGTCGTCACACCATCTCAGTTCAACAATTGTCAATCCTGTGGTCAGTGGCAACAAAGCGTAAACAGAATATTCAAGATGTAGTGTTGAAGGTCGCTGCCACCCTCAACCTAGTACGTAGTTACTGATGATTTCATTCTGTTTGTTTAGGCTACTGGCGGCCGCAGTATGTGATGTTCTAAATTTGAATACTTATGGTTCTGTTGTTTATTATGAAACTGTTCTGGTTCAGGTACTTTTGATATTTTGTCAATATTATTCATCATGAGTATACTCCAGTATCCATGGAGGTCTGCCTCACGACCTGTCTGCTACCAAGTCGAAGCGAGTTTCCATTCAGAACATTTCATCAGATCATCAAACCGTAACAAAACAGAAATGATCATCAGCTAGTGTTTGGTGGAATAGTTAATTCTTACGTATAGAGGTAACCGTATGTTAGGGAAAGTGTTGCAAGTATCGATAGAATCCATCACTTACTGTACACACCCTGGTGTTAATGCAGCGTTGTCGTTGAAGTGGTATAGCCACTGTCAATATTAAAATATGTGGTTAACGCTGCGGCAAAACAAACTCCAGACATTTAACTTGATAACATTTTACAAATCTTTGTTTATAAAATCAACTTATAAAGGAAATATGCATCGAGGTCAAGCAGCCCCACTTGCCTTAATGCTTGAATTCACCGATTAGTATAATGTCGCCTAGGAGGAAGCAATTAACTGAAGAAGAGAGATAATTGAACTGTGCTAAACATTATTTTTTTTTTCATTCCCGTTTACTGCTTATCTACTGTATTTGATATGAATACCCATTTTTTGCACTTTCCTCCCATTACTTTTCAGTTTATTTTGAACAGATCAAAACTCGAAACAAGTATCATTCGAATCAGTTTCATAAAAAGGAATATCATTGAAACAATACTCGAGGCACGTTTCATAACAGTTAGACAAAGTGTCTGTACAGACATTTTATAAAAAATATATGAGTCGATAGGGCAAATATTAATAACACTAATAAATTACAATATATACACGGTAACATTATCGAAAAAGGATGCCGTACTACTAGAAGACTGTTTGAGAGCTTTATGGGTTCGAATACCGTAAGACACCCGTATTCATACCTACGGTTGACTATGTATTTTGGTGATCTGTCGGTGTAATATCTGCAAGTCTGTCGAAGTAATCTTATGGAAGGTCTATTTATAATGAGATAGTGTCAAAGGTCACGACGCAGTGGTATAATGCAAAATATTGTCTTTATATTATGAATTTCCATGGCACTAAAATGCAAAAAGGGGTAGTTCTCATAGAAATAATTATTGACAACTAACTAGCGTGTAACCAATACATTTAGAAGGCAGCGTTTTATAAGGGAAGGTTTTATGATGTAACTATGTTAAGCAATCCAAAAGAAATTAGATTCTATTGTTTGTTGGATGAGTCAACTAAAGTGTGGAGAGGGGTAGACATTGAAGAAACTATAAGAGGTTTGTCATAGAAATTTCATAGTCCTCAAATATATGAGTATGAGCTCACTTATCACTACCGCTTAGTCCCCCCCTCACACACACCACACTGATGATCATTTCCTGACACTTAAAATCCTGGGACTTCTTCAATGAGTTGAATTAATGTATAAACGCAATTTGTTTATAAATTTTGATAATTTTGTTAATCCAGTGACAAGATTGATTTTTTTGGGTGGTGGAAACAGCACTTGATTCATGATTGCCCCAGAACGATTACTGCACCGTCTTTTACTGTAAATAAGACCAATGTTATGCACCTCGTATATTCAGCTCAGACATCTTTTAATCACTATTGATAAAATGTTACCGGTACCTTAATAGAAAAAGGTCTAATTGAAATAATATTTAGCCGGATTTTTTTTTAATTTACCTCCAGGTAAGAAATCATGACGTAACTAACAAAGTAAAGGGTGAGGACTTTAAACCTGCGACTATATTTTTTTAATAGTTAGTAAATTTTGCCAAAGGAAAATGAAAAACGTCTTGTTCATTTTTTATAAATCTCGCTTTCTCATCATGAGCATTGTAGATTTAAAGCCAAAAATAAACTTTTTTAAGTTTACCGTTATATTTACACAAAAAAGTTCAGTTGTTGTCCACAATTGCACAAGTTACACAACTCGAAGATTAACCCTGACTTCTGATAAGAATAGCGCCCCCGCCACCCTGAAGCCGCCCTCGTTTGTTTGGCATCCTATCCTATCCAGCAGTAGTAAGTAAATACGCAATGTGAAAAATGACGACTTGGACACGTCATGCAAATATTCTTAATAGTGGTCATCTCTTTAGCGTCTACTCAATATAAATATCACCTTTTTCATTCTGCTGCCAGTGTTATACTTTATCTCCGCTCTAGACAACTTCAATGGGAATTTTCTGTGCTTCTCTTCCACTCATCTACTATTGAAATTAGTCTTGCGGGTAAGTCTCGATCTCTGCTGGAGTTTGTGTTTCCACTTGCTGAAGAAGGCGACGAAGGAGTAAATAGTTAAAAGTAGACAGCTGTAAAGGGGAGTGTGATCTCTGCTGCCTAGGCCTAACTTTATGGCGAGGCTCCGTACTGTGAGACTCGGAAGTGTGGGTGTTGATGTGGGGTATTGGCTGGCGGTGTCCATTGCTGCTCTTGTGTCCCAGGAGTTTCCACACAGGAGGCAAGACGTTACTGGATTCCGTGAATTCTTCGGTGTCTGAAAATTAAACCCAAAGGTTGATTAAAGTTAAAAGTTTCTAAACTGAGTATTTCTTTTTATGTCTCTTCCTGAGGATATTTTTAAACTTAAAGGAAGGACTTTTAAAGTAGTAAACACTATCGTGAAATAAGATTAAAAAATATTACATTGTTGTTAAATGTTATTACTGTTCTTTAACAACTAAGGTCGAAATCTGGAATAATTTTCTTAAACTTTTAATAAATAAAACTGTGTCTTAACATCCGCGAGAGATGACACATACACGGACAGAAACGGCCCTGTTAGTCATGCAAATATGTATAGTACAAGTCTACTGCAGGTCACTGAATGAAGCTCCTTATTTCTTATTTACTTTCTGAGAACTGTTGGTCGCAAAAATCCACCCGTTAAGTATTACTCGGATCAGACCATCACTTTTCAGTAATTTGAGTGATATTCATCCCTCCGTTGATTTAAGCATTTTTGGAAGATGATGATGATGATGAGAGTGTTCTAATTAGTAAAATATTGTTGCTATACTTGAAGACAACCTTTAAAATATCAGTGCCCTTGATTTATATTTTAAGGATTTCGTTTTAGTCGGAGGCCTAGTACCCGTCAGACTATACATCCTTAGTAGGTCAGTGATGCCGATATCGACGTTATTATTGGACTGTGTGATCACGTGTGAGCTTTCTACAGCGAATCTATATTACTCTGTATTACTTGTGCGTCTATAGTATAGTACCAGTACTTTTAAACTTGAACATGAGTTATACGCTACAAACTCTCCCAGGCTTTTGGAAATTACTCAGATAAATGCCTTTTTATTTGTATTTTTCTTGTAATCATCGGTAATTATGAAACATCAATAAATATGTTGTGTTTACTACACGTTCAAAGTCACATTTTACCAAACCACACCGTCTATAGCTACACCCCTCCCATTCCGACATTCAGCCGGCAGGTGGCCAGCCTAGCTATGGCTCCCCCTAACATTCTCCTGAGCACCGTCATCACCCGACACCGTGCCTAGAATTCTCGCCTAACGTCCAATTTACGCCCATTCTCACTAAGATGAGAGGCATACTACCCACCAGCGAGGACTTACCCCGGGGACTCTGGACTGTAGTGTGACCCAGAACGTATGGAGATCCTGATGACGTTCATCAGTATAACCATTATCCTTTATCCCTGTGTCTCTTATATGTCAGGGGTGACGGATGCGACTTGTGGGACTTTGGTACAATCTCGTCGTTGAAAGTATTGAAGATCATAAGGAGTTTACTTTTTTACTTAAATATTAATTGGATAGAGATACTCCAAAAATAATTTAGACAGGTTTCTTGGATAGGATTTAAGTATATTTAAATATGTTATGTTTAGTCGGCACATACAAATTCTTCTCCATATAATTTTTCCCAAAGTGGTTTATGGTTCAGAAGAAAAAATAATCGACTGCATTGAATTTGAATTGGACTGAAAGGGACAATCGCCATTGATTGTTCAACTGCACGACCTAGGAGAGCGTGGTGTTACCTGGCCTTGTGTTGAATTTGTTTATTGGTTGCATCAGGCAGCACTATGAATACCATTCTTGACTAAATGACTGACAGACTCACTGACAACATTTTACTTGGCCCACGATAAATTAGCTTATGATGTTTATAGTTTGTTTTCATCACGTAATCATCAAGTTCCTTAAGTTAAAAGTTGAGAGAGAGAGAGAGAGAGAGAGAGAGAGAGAGAGAGAGAGAGAGATATTAAACGCCTGAGGCCTCACCTTGGTCTCGGGTCTCCAGCACATACATCAGAGGCGCTAACCAGTTGCTCTTGGGATCTTCCAGTAGAGGCCAGTTGGCCAATGTGTCCCCGACGCCCACGCCGGCTTGACCTGCAACATCATTCAGGTGGTTCCTCTTACCCACCCGAGGGAAAGGTATAAGATCCTGTCGCTTACGCTGACGGCACTCACCTGAAGGAGTAGCGAGATAAGTTTAAAGTAAGCTAAGTTACTTATATTTGTAAGTAAACTATATAATAATGTACAGTAGTAAAGACCATAAACTATCCCAGCAAAACATTACAGTAATATGCTAAATACTGGGATGATATTCATATTGTTTCTGTAATCCATTAAAACTTATCGATTCCTGGCGCAGTACGTGGGGGACTTACGCCCCACACCGGCAATTCTACGAACCTCCGGCAAACTTTTGAAATTTGGGAACTCAGGGGCAGAGACGAAGACAGACAGGTCAGGCAGAGTTAGTGAGAGATGCCTGGACCAGTATTGACGGGCGTTCCGGGAAGAATATAATTGATTGGAGGTAAGCATTAAATTGCAAATATCGTCTTATGTTAATTTAGATGTGCATACCAATTATTTCTCCTACATTATACATATTAAGTAAATGTTAAATAATACATATCTAAAAAGACTCTACAAGAATAGGATGGGTTAAAAAACACTTTACATTAGTATTATATTACCTACTTTGTTCTTAACGTTTATTATATAGTTTACATGTGAATCAATAATGTCCCTAAATTATATCGTCTTATTTCACGTCTTATAAGCGATATTTTTTTACGAAAGTCATCAAAAGTTTCCGGATTTTTTTTAATTTAGAAATTAACTAGAAAAAAAAGTACGTACATAGTCAAAGTACCGCACAGTTTATATTATGTCTATAATTAATTTTCTGATATTCAATAGTTTGAAGTTCCGGAGCCATGATGACCACAAATTAATTATTTAATTTCTCCAAAACTTTTCACTCGGGTTCCTTATTAACACTCGCCCTACACATCCGTCTCCTATACTGAACCAATACTGCTCTTGAATCTGAGAGGATGAACAGATAATCGTGATATATCATTAATACATAGAAGTTTTACAAATTATATTTTGATATGGAATAGACTACAATATATTGATTTGATAGTTCCGCTGCATCTATGAATCAGGCGCTGAAACTGTGACGTGGTATTACTGAAGAATTTAAAATGAAATATGTCACAGGCTCTTTAATTTTATTCATCAAAAGCGATTTTTCTTGTTGTGGTAGATTTTAATAAAATATTTTGTGAATTATTTGGAATAATTATAAAAATCATTCATTGTCTGACACGCCTGTTACTGCTGAAAACTGAGCAACTAGTCTGAACTATCCTCTACACGTTCATTTTTTTCAAGTTTATACACACATCTTTGCACACACACAGAGTAAATAGTTTGCGCAATCAACAAAGCTCTCCTACCCTTGATTAGTTTTGCTTGCTCAGATTTATTTGTGAAGAAAGGTCTGATCAAATGTTTGAGCTGTGTAGCGGGTTTAAGGGCAGACGGTGGTGGGGAGAGTTGTGGATCACTTGTAATGAACCCTTACCTGACGGTTCTGGGGAAGAAATGTTTCCCACCAACGAGTGTGGGTGGGGGAAGAAGAGATAAATGAGGAAGGAGAATAAGGTTTAGTATAAAACTACGCTAGAGGGAGTAAAAACTCTCGTTTCCCTTATAGAGGTCCCACGAGCGACCTCCGAAAACTCCACTAACCATTGAAAAATTCCCATTATCTTGTCATTACTATTTTTTATTTCACTCAGTGTTGTTGTTGAAACTATTTTAAACTTAAATGTTTTGTTAAAACTAGGTTTGGTAATATGCTAGTCCTGGATTGCAGGTTTTCCCTTGCATCCTTAGGTGTAACTAGTTTGTCTAATTAATACTAGTTGTATCATACAGCCTTTGTGACTTTTAGTTTTAACCCGTTAAAATGGTTTTTACTTATTTCGGGTTTTAACTAACATATATATGTGTGTGTGTGTGTGTGTGTGTTAAGTGCGGGGAGCACATTCTCTTTCATACACAGTGTTAAAAACGATAGTATACTAACAGTTGTTAATTGTACAGTATACAGTATTCCTGAAGGTGCCTCTTTTGTAGGGGAAACTTTGAATTAGAAATGTACAACTTCGGTAACCAGGTGTTTGAACATCCACCTCATGGAAGAACAGTCTTAAGAAAACTAGGATATTAGAAAGATTAACAACTCTGAATATCTGTGTTTCACTCAACATGATTACAAACCCTTTTGCCCATCATTGAGGATAATAGCCTAATAAATCAGCGTAAATATGGGTTTGCATGTACTGTGTTATATAATGGTGTCCAAGAATCGTATTTCAGCCACACAGTGTGCTTGAGGGAGGTGAACGATAATAAATGTGTCGGTAATATTCAGGTTCACATAATATATTATTGTATGTTTGGGCGCGAAGAGTCCAGAGAGGGTTCAGTATACACTACGCGTTGGGTACAATATGATAAAAAATTTAATTCTCAGCCAAAATCGATCTCCCCTTTATCGTCGTCGGTAAAGAAAGAGTAGAGTTACTAGTTAGGATATCTACATAGTTTACAGAACATTAATGCTTACTAGCACTGTCAAAACCTATAGGAGCCTCCAGTCTCTGCATTCTAGTTAATAAATCATGTTAACTCCCTCGCGCTGCTGATTGGAAACCGGGTGTGGTTTGGTTCGGTTAGGTTAGGTTAGGTTAGGAAACAAGCAAACATTGGGAATCTGACTCTCGTGTTTCCTTCTATACCACAAACCCATCTGACACACTGAGTCATATTCACACTTAATATCGTTAAATGTTTCCACCATTAACTTTCATTATTAAGATGCGTATATCATCCTCCTCTGTTACCTTATATAAAGTGTGCTAATCCCTCATACAGTTCATTAGCACCCAGCCAGCCATTAGCACTTTTAACCTGACGACTCACCTGATATTAACAATGTACCAGCTAATAACTCTAATGAATTATTTATTAGCGACGATGTACACGGTGTTACTGAGTCTTATACACACACCTAAGGATATTCAACTTGTCTGTCTGTCTGTCTGTCTGTGTCTGTCTGCTACTATCTGTCAGCCTTATGACGGGCTAATACGCAGTGCTGGCTGATGAAGGTATGTACAGTATGTATGTATGTACAGTCCCCCTCACTAGTGCCTTTACATGGGCCCGTCATACAACATTCCAGAAATCATTATCTTTGAGATATTTGTTTTAATATTGTTTTACTTTGATTCCATAGTAAGTTTGCTATTGTGAGTTAACTTCTGTCGAATGTAAACAAGCACAGGGCTGCCACACTGCACGAAACCTGACGAGTCCCTGTAAACGCTGTAGTGAAGGGGGGCTATGTGTGTGTGTGTGTGTGTGTACATGTGTGTATATATGTATGTATGTGTTTGTTTTTGTATGTGTGTGTGTTTGTTTTGTATGTATGGGTGTGTGTGTGTGTTTGTTTTTGTATGAGTGTGTTTTTTTTGTGTGGTTATAAGCGTCATCAGTAGCTATTATGGCTAAGTAATGGACATTTATTCTCCGTACATTATATTAACACATCCACAACACTGAGTCAGTTTTATTTTATAGTTTAATATAACGTGTCTTTTCATTTGTTAAAAATATATAAACCGATTTTGTTACTTTATGTTACTTTAACTTTTAATGGTATATAAAATTCAGGTAAGGTGATATGCTACATGATGTTATCTTAACCGAGAATCAGGTGTCGAAATGCAGGTGTTGGTTATTTTCACAGTACGACCACAGCCTCGTTATTGTTATTAGTAATAGTAGTATCATTATTATTTTTATTTTCATCATTATTATCATCATTGTACAGCATACGCGAACTTCAATATAATTTCCCGAATTATGGAACAGTAAAGTGTTATATACAGTTGTACATCGTGATCGCGGGTGAGGGTATGGATGACACACAACTGAAGCTCCTCACTTTACCCTCAGATACAGTTTGAGCATCACACGATTATTAATGGAACTGTGAACTATCCTATTATGTTGTGCTAGAAAAGTGTTTGTCACTGGGTTGAGTAGCACCTGTTTACGATCATTATTACTGCATCTTATTACCACAAAGTTTTGACATCGAACAAGTAATTATCTTAATGGGTCTTGGTCACTCCTGTGGGGGGGTGGGGATGGTGAGGGTAACTTCCTGACCGAAACATGACCACCGATTTTGTGATTCTTATTCTAATTTACGTTTATCGTGCTCCAAGTCCCATGGGGAGTTTTATATGGCTATAGAAATTAAAAAAAGAACTCGTGCAACAATACGATCTCTCTCGTTCTCCTATGGATGTCACGATTTGTTAAGCGTCTTAAGGTCTTCGACGACTAAATTTCACATCGTCATGGATATGGATGTCAGAGGGTATCCGGGGTATCGTATCCCACACCTCTCTTGGCAGCAGTTTTCAATTGACAAAGTTCCAACAGTCGCTGGTTAATATAAAGCTGTCTAACTATGTCGAGTTACTCACCACTGAGGAGGATCAGCGCCACAATAAACGTATCCAAGAACGATGCAACATAAAACTATCCAAGCAAGTCCAGCTACTCACTCCCGAGGACGATGAGAGCGACGAGAAGAAGGATCCTAAGACAGACGAGGTTCCTCATCTCAGCTCCGGGTGGTCCTTCTGCCTCTTGCTGTATACACTCTCCACCAGCGACCTTTTCCTGGTAACCCGAGCGGCAGCGACAGCGGGTCGCTGGAACAACAGACGGGAAGACCAGAGTGGAGACGTAAACAACGGCGGGAGGTGTGGAATGAGAAGTAATTTGGAGGAAGAGAGGTTATATAGGGCGGGCAAACCGAGCACCTCCCACGCGCATAGCCCTCACTACCACAGCACCAACACTACCCCCTCCCCCCTCCTCACCCATTCTCTTTCACCCCTCTAACACACACACACTCTTTCTCTCTCTCTCTCTCTCTCTCTCATAACCATCTCGTTCGTACACCCAAACATTATATCTCTTACGTGTTGCTGGTCGTGTTCTTTGGCGTGATCTAATGATTCAAATATGGATGTTATTATTTATTTTTAAGTTTGATGTGGAGATGAAGGTTAGTCTTTGTGTCTTCACAGTTTTGTTGTTGTTGATGGTGAACAAGTCGACGAGGACAAGTTTTTTTTATCAATGAATTTGTCTTATTGCATCCAGGAATTATTTTCTTCATGCATACTGTATATACTGATACATAAACGCTGGGGCGAATGTGTGTGTGTGTGTGTGTGTGTGTGTGTGTGTGTAATAATAAAGATTAACGGTTTATTGAAAGGGCATGGCAGCTGGAGGCTGAAAATATACAGTTACATAATTGGGGAATGGGTCTCTTGATTTACAAGTAATATACAAGTAACATAAGTGATACAAATATGATATATAAATGACGTGTGTGTGTGTGTGTGTAATGGCCAGCCCACTTTATTGGGTAGTGAGGTTGTTAAGTATTAAGGCAACACAATACCTGTGATCCAGGTGATCCACGCTAAGGGGGGAGGGAGGGATGAAGGAAGGGATGGAGGGAGGGATAGAGGGAGGAAGGAAGGAAAGAGAGACAGATGGCGGGAAGGGAGGGAAGGAAAGAAGGATGGCGGGAGGGAAGGAGAGAATGGGGGTGAATAGAGGCAGGGATGGGTGGATAGAGGGGGCTAGGGAGGGAGGGGTGAATAGAAGGAGGGAGAGATTGATAGAGGGAGGGAGGGAAACTAAGCTCTATTTGTTATTTATATCCCCTACACACAGTTAGGTTGCTGCCCGATGGCTGCCCTCCTGTACCATTTAATGTTATTTTGGCCGCTCTATTTTTACACTTTGGTCTTTTCACAGTAAGGCTTATTCCCACCGTAATGAGAGTGAATTGCTCTGTTTTAAGTATTCCATCTTGTACGGTGTGTGTGTGTGTGTGTGTGTGCGCGTGTGTGTGTGCGTGGGTGCGTGTAATATTTACTGTGGTTCTGTGTCTACTGTGTTTATTTCTTGCAATTATCTTTATTTTTATTACACTATTTATTTTACTCGTATTTTTTGTATATCCTGAAAAATAACTTAACCTGGTGAACGGTGAAAGAATAATAGGAATAAACTATAATCTGTTAATTATGGAAATGTCAATTAGCCCCTCCCTCTTTTTCTCATCCTGGCTTGTGACTGGTCAGTTAAGAAAAAATATTAAATTCTATAGATTGACTAAAAAAAATTTAATCACAAAACCTTACGTCATGTTGCTGGGCGGGACCGAGGGTAATAAATAAATAAATAAATAAATAAATAAATAAATAAATAAAGAAAAAACATCTCCAGCATGATCAAAGCAGGATGTTATAATATATGGATCATCAAGAGTACAGTATTTTAAAAGAAAAACATCCACAAATTTCACAAGTATATTAATACAACATATCCATGTACTGTATATATGTAAGTTGTAAAATTATTTTTTTAGATTATTTAAGGCATATGTTATGATTTCTCCAAGGCGTATTTTCTGAAAATTCCAGATACTGCATTTTTTCTGGTCTATGAGGAAAATTCAAGGATAAAATTATGAATAATTTGGAGATTTTATGGAAAGTCTCCAAATTTTTCTGTTCCGAGTCTGAGAACCAATTCCAAGGTTAGGTTAGGTAGCAAATTCCAGAATTTTCCCAGTAACCGGAAAAATTCCACATCATTCGTGATACCAAGAATTATTTCTTAAGTATTGGTGAAAGGTGAATAGTCAGCTGTATCTCCACATGTGAATGAAAATAAAGGCATTAATATTACAGTATGTTAGTTGAATTTGCGAATTCTGAAACATCGTTATTTATAAGGGTTAATATTAATAAGTTTCCAACACCTACATATTGTGGGTAATTTTTTCTGTTAAAGTAATGCAAAAAATTTAATTTCCAATAGAAACTCGGATTTTTTTGTTTGATATGCAACACACTAAAAAAAAATTCTAATGTAGATTTTTATGGTGATTCCAAAACAGTGGTCCCATTTTTTTTTGAGAAATTCTTAGAAAAATTATAAGCCCTTTAAAATTTTAATGTTCTATACATCAAAATTTTAACCTAACCTACCTAACTTAGCCTAACTGGAAAAAATCGGTCAACTTAAAATCCTAAAATTCCCTGGATGACCGAACCGAAAATATAATACCACCATCAATTTCTTTTATTTTGGAAGACATTGTTAATTTTTGTTGGAATCATGGACATACAAGGCCAATGTCTTCACACTTGATTCTACTTTACTTGTAGACAAAATATAGAATGGCTGTGTGCTGTACTGTATATCAACATTGCCATTAAACATATGAAAATCCTTGATATTTGCCATCTATAATGAAAACAAAAACATAAAAAAATCACATAAGCAAAAACTGCCAAATGTGTTAGGGCCTGGGAACTACCCTGGTACAGGTCACCTGGCATATTTGGACTTGTTAAAATATTAAATTTAGGCTACTAAATATTTATACTATATCCATTTATGTAGTGTTGGGTGATTATTAATTGCGCTCATTACGAAAATTAGGTCGATATTATTTCTGATAAGGGACGTCATTTACCATCCCTGATGAAGCTGCCGTTACCACTCTCAAATTAGGCCACTTACGACTTTTTTTAGCTTAATTTGATTTCCATACATTCCTACACATAAATTATTTGGATTAGCTATCTTAAAGGCTTACCTTAAATGATGGTTAGAAGAATTTGGAGGATATAAGCAAGTAGAGGCTGGCGGAAGTTCCCACACAAATATGGATTTCATTTAAAAAGAACACTAAAATTTTTCATACGCTGTTCCTTATGGAGGATATCTTATAAAAAATATAATTCCTCTGCAGATTTATACAATTCATGTACATTCAATTCTATTTCTTTTCTTTTGGTTTCAAAATATAGTTTCATCGTAGTGGTCATCAGGCGGGGGTAAGAGTACCACGGAAATCTCCCACGTTCTAATAATGAATCGCACAGGTTTTTTTGTTTTTAAGCCCCAGTGTTTCTTGCAAAGCGACCATGGGGATACCACAGCATCGCGTACACCACGGAAGTTCTTGCAATTGGCCCTAAGAGCCATTGGACATACTGGCGTGGCGTGTGGGTGGTGGTCAGACACAAACCACCAACCACACATGCACTTCTTCCTCGTCCTCGCAGATAATATTCAGGTCAAGATTAGGATAATTAAAGTGTGTTTCTAGAAGAATAAATTATGTAGGTATATTTAAGAACACGAATAAAATTATAATTACGTGATGTGAGATAAATATGGAGGAAAGCTTCTTAGATGATGAGAAAACGTAGCCTCATTAAAAAGCACTTAAAGGTAATTAGTCTCCAGGAATCGGGTTGTAAGTTAGTTAAGTAAGTTATAATATAAAATGATCACTCGATGAAAATGCAATGTAGGGCTCCAGATGCCTGTGTATACTGAGCACCATACGTTCTCGTTGGTTCCCTCAAGCCAAAAATAGAATGGTAACCCCACCAGCCAAGTTATTGTCTCCTGAAGCTCATGTTTGTCTGGAGAATAATTAGGTTTTATGTGTCTATTGATAGCTCAACCCAACCTAAGCCAAGACAAGCCAACCCAACCTAACCAAAGCCAACCCAACCCTAAGCCTAACTTAACCTAATCCAACCCAACCCAAACCAACCCAACACCTTACCCAACCCAACCCAACCCAACCCAACCCAACACTCAACCTAACCTAACCTGGGAAACATGAACTTGAAGTATTAAAATAGGAATTTGTGATGATTTCCAGGTAATGGGGGCCCTCAGGGTGTCTACGTAATTAGTGGAACCCAGAGGGGGATAATGAGGTGGAGGTATGTGTTTATGAGGGAGGTGAGAGGTCAGGAGAAGTGTGGGGGAAGATATGGCTCCTAAGGAAGTGTAAGGGGTCATGAGGTGTTAGGGAGGTGGGGGATCATTTAGGAGTGTGATTGGTCATGCGGGAGTGTCAGGATCATGAGATGTGAGCGAAGTGAACGGTCATGAGGAGGTGTGAGAGAAATGACGGGTTCTGAGGGAGTGTGAGGTGTCGTGAGGTGTATGAGAAGTGAGGTGTCACGAGGAAGTGTGAGGGAAGGAGAGGTCAGGAGGGAGTGTAAGGGAGGTGAGAGTTCACGAAGGAGGTAGGTGAGGATTCGTGAGGGAGTATGAAGAGTGAGGGGTCATGAGGGAGTGTGAAGAGTGAGGGGTCATGAGGGAGTGTGAAGAGTGAAGGGTCATGAGGGAGTGTGAAGAGTGAGGGGTCATGAGGGAGTGTGAAGAGTGAGGGGTCATGAGGGAGTGTGAAGAGTGAAGGGTCATGAGGGAGTGTGAAGAGTGAGGGGTCATGAGGGAGTGTGAAGAGTGAGGGTCATGAGGTGTGAGTGAGGTCATGAGGGAGTGTGAAGAGTGAAGGGTCCGTCATGAGAGTGTGAAAGTGAAGGTCATGAGGTGTGAAGAGTGAGGGTCGAGTGTGAAGAGTGAGGGGTCATGAGGGAGTGTGAAGAGTGAGGGGTCATGAGGGAGTGTGAAGAGTGAGGGGTCATGAGGGAGTGTGAAGAGTGAGGGGTCATGAGGGAGTGTGAAGAGTGAGGGGTCATGAGGGAGTGTCTGTGGACATAAAAACAGCCTCACACTCTTCCCCAAACAATGCATTGTTTTCCTGGTGAGGTCAGTCATGATGTAGGGTGGTGGTGGCCCGCCCGCCTCTCCCAGTAACACGGTGCAGGGTGGAGGTGGGCCACTCC